GCAGCATGCGGCTCTTTTACTGCTACTGTTTTGGCTCCACAGGAGAATTAGATTTTTAGGTAAAAATAAAATAATCCTCCTTTACAGTAAAATAAAGCTCTGCTGATCGTTCTCACACACCGTTATATGTATTACTGCTTATTCACCCTTTAACCCTGAAGGTTGGCACACAAAATGCTGGTTACATAGCAACGTAGACAACAATCTCATCTAGTTAGTAGCAAACGAATGTTTATTTGGAGACGAATGGACTTATTTGCATTTATAACCACTCCAGCTGATTTCCTGATATGTTTTATCTGTCGCAAAGCTGAAGTCGCTTCTTGCTCGCCAGCTTCTTGTTCGAATTTTCACGTTCCACCTTAAATGGTGCAACAGTTAGCTACAAAGTTAGCTACATTCATTTAAGGTGGAACAGGAAAATTCGAACAAGAAGCTGGCGAATGAGAAGCTGACTTCAGCTTCGTAAAAAGTCAAATGTTAAGAAACATTTTACAAGAAACTACTTTTGTGGAAAAGTTTCCTGCTGGAGATGCGAGAAAAGCAGCTATGGCTGAGCTAAAGCTTAAAGCAGAGCACAGTAAGTCTGTGTTTTCGTTTATATTTTTAGACTATACTAACACATTAGCACATAGGGAGACATATTTACACCCAAGATGGTGAAACGTTACTTCAATAAAATGGAACATGAAATATTGTGGCTCCCAAGGTGGTTAGATTTTTGCTGAAACTTGACAAAATGGCTCTTAACATTTGGTTAACCCTTGCTCTAGGACCAGTACAAATCACCTTGGACAATATTATCGGCACTCGTTATGGCAGTTTCGTACATGTCTAATTCATTTTTATTTATGCTTCATTTTAAAATGATGGTTTGACCAAAAATAGAATTAACATGATCTCCCCAAACTCCAAATCTAGTCAATCAGCCAAGATATGTTTGGTATCTGAAATTTGTTTCTTCAGTTTTGTACTCGAGCTGCACAGCTAATATAATGGCTTTGTTGTAATAGAAGGTTTAAACCATCAGGTTAGCAGGTTAGAACATCATCAAACACTTGCCTCAAACCGACTGAGTTGTTAAGTCATCTCAAACAATGTGGTTTCTGACACTGTACTACATACAATCTAAGTGAAAAAGTGGTTAAAAGCATCACATAGCTAAAAACAGCAGCAGCAGACATTGTAAGGCCTGACTTTGTCCATACTTTTGTCCAGTTTTATACAGTCGTGCTTGAAAGTTTGTGAACCCTTTAGAATTTTCTATATTTCTGCAAAAATGTCACCTAAAACTTCATCATAAGTTCTAATAGTAGATAAGCAGAACCAAATTAAACAAATGGGACAAAAATATTCGACTTCGTCATTTAGTTACGTTTAGGAAAATGATGGTTTAAGAAGAATGAAGTTAATGTTATGGAATGGTCAAGTCAGAGTCCTGACCTTAATCCTATAGTTTGCTATAGCTTCCATGGTTTGTTAAATAACCTTTTGGTCAAACTACTTCTTCAACATGGGGAACATGAAGTCTTAGATGATTCCAAGATATGGTATTACCTTCCGTACAAATGAGGCCACCTGCAATCCTGCAATTGAAACAATTGATTTTGCTTCTTGAGAAATTCTTCCACCAAACTTAGCAGCTCTAATATCTACTGAGTAGCACTCCACCTGCCATCATAAAATATTCTATTCAGAATCTGGAATACATAAATTGCAGTGTATTTCACTTTCATCAGGGCATTTTTTTCCAAAGTGAGAGATACACTACCGTGTCCTGGTTTCAGAGTGTAATTCCAGCCATACTGAGGAAGACACTACCTTTGTACTTGGAGCCACGTGAGCCAGCAAGCATAAAAACCTGGCTTTCAATAATTCAAATGGCATTCCTGAAACAATATTCCTCCATCAGTGAGCAATTTTAGGCAGGTATTCAGCCTGAGAGTCCTCCCCTTCCCTCTCAAAAAGCACTCATCACCATGTTCAAGGAAAAGAAAAAACGACCTCCATAGAGAATATACTGGACCACAGAGAAAGAAAAGAGTCAAACCACTCAAACAGGAGAAAACTGTTACTTTCACATGAAGACTTGAACATTTTTCATTTACACTTTCCAGGTCATAAAATAGGTCACCATTAGTTACTACACAACTATTACTATGACTGTAACTCTAATCTAACACACCTGCTTTAGTTAATAAAATAAGCAAGAAGTTTCATAGATTAACCCCTTAAAATCTCAGGCTTATTCCATTCTAAAGTTATTATTCAGTAACTACATGGACTACAATGCAAATTGGTGGAATTTTTCTTAGTTTATAGAGGTATGTAGTTAAACTTTGGTGGGCAGTGGCCATTTAGGGTCTGAAGGAATAGTCTATTCTCACCCCCCCTTTAAAAAAAGTACAAAAAATCCAATTTAAACATTATAAAAATGAAATGGTGCTTTCTTTGTGAAATGTATGTTCCTATTGCCTCCTATAAGCTTCCACAGGACATAGACTGATAGACTGTATTCAGTTTAAAATGAATTAGGTGACTGTGCTATTTATGGGTGAGAATTTTAACATATTTATTGATTTTTTTTTATTAAAAAAATCATTACATATCTATTAGCTTATTATCTAGTATACTGGACGCATTACATTCAGTTACTTGTATTCCTCCACCTGAGAGAAAAGAGATGATTTGAGAAATGCATCACTACCCACAACATTCAAGAGAGCACTGAGAAGTAAAATAGTAAAAAAGCGTTCTTTAGTAGAGAAAATGGTTCTATATAGAGCCATTAACACTCAAAGAACCCTTTGCATGAAAGCGTTCTTCAGACTGATGGAGAATGTGCTCCAGATGGTTCTATACAGAACCTTTTTGAAAATTGTTCTGTATAGCACCCAAAAGGGTTCTTTTATTGTTATGGTGTCATGCTGTTAACAACAGAAGAACCCTTTTGGGTGCTATAAAGAACCCTTTTTAAAAGTACATTCAAGCCCATTTTGCATCAATCTGAATAACACTTTCATGATGTAAAGAACCCTTTAATCATAGGTTATTTGAGTGTTCTATATAGAACCATTTTCTTTACTAAGGAATCATTGAAGCTCCACCTTTTTTAAGAGTGGTGTTGTAAAATTACGTGCTCCAACCAACTTTTCTGTCTTGCTCCTGTGTCATGTGGAAAATGGATGTTCTGTATCCTAATACTAAACTTATTTCAACAAAAAGTATTAAAAATAATATTATACATAAAAATAATATTATAATAAGACAAATGTAGTACAACTCCTTTCAGTTAGGGTTAGAACACTACTTTGTAGAAGGGTAGATTTCTATGTACACTCCCACCAAACCACTTTTACTCCGACTCACATGGCCTACACCCTGTGAAGAGCTCAAACTTCAGCTCCGCCTCCCCTCTGTCTGACGTGCTGAACGTATTCTTTTAGCATCATGACTAAGGATGAGGAAAGACATGTTCCAGTAAGAGGGGGAGGTACCGGAGGGGCGGGGGTCTCATTAATATAATAAGGGGCAGTGAGGTAAGAGCAGAAAGAGGAGCCTGTGTTTGGAATATGACATCGTTTGTAAGATTACATTACTGTGATAAGCATGACAGCAGGGCCAATGCATCATCGCCTGCACAGGTGAAAGGTGAAGCAGACAGACAGAGGCGGACAGAGAGAGGGACATAACATCAGTCTGCATAATGTGCATATCTAGTGCTGATGAGTGTCCAACTGAGGTGAAAATCCACATTCAGCACATTGCAAAGAATGACATCTTGGCAAGTGGACGATAAAGCTGGTCAATATGTCTAATATTTCTCAGACACGTCTGCCTATTTAGTTTTATCTACACACTTAATAAAGATGGTTCTTCAAGGGTTCCTTGGCAAAGGGATTGGTTCTACTTGGAACCATGCGTTCTATATAGAACCATTTCATGCTTAAAGGGTTCTATGCATTATGAAATGGGTCTTCAGATTGATGGAGAATATGTTGTTTATGGTTCTACACAGAACCTTTTTGGAAATATTTTCCAATAAGGGTTCTGCTGTCAAGGCTGTAACGATAACAGAACCCTTGTTGGTGCTACAGAGAACTATTTTAAACAGAACCATGTACAACATACAAGCTCAATCAATCTGAAGAACCATTTCATGTTACAAGGGTTCTTTGCATGGTGAAATGGTTCTTTAGATTGATGGAGAATGTGCTGTTTATGGTTCTACACAGAACCTTCTTTGAAATGGTTCCCAATAAGGGTTCTGCTGTCAAGGCTGTAACAATAGCAGAACCCTTTCTGGTGCTACATAGATCTATTTTATATAAATCCATGTACAACATCCAAGCTCCACCAATCTGAAGAACCATTCCATCATGCAAAAGGACCATTTAAGCATGAAATGGCTTTATATATTTATAGAACTCTTGGTTCTGAATAGAACCACTGTCTTTATTAAGAACCCTTGAAGAACCATCTTCTTTAAGTGTAGTGAAATGATTTTGTTCCATTGGCTGACCTATTTGGTTTGTTTTCAAGCATTATTTCTCAGCACAAGCCAAAGTATCTGTTAGCTGAATAATTTTACTACATAAAATAACTTAAAACAAGTGAAAAATATCGAGAAACAGGCTAAATAATCTTCTAATGTTCTTATCAGATTAAACAATCTCATAACGAGAAATATTACATATACTAGACTACATTTTAAGACAATTTCATTCCCCAAAAAATCTTTATTTGCAGAGTAGCTAAAACAGCTAACCTAGCTAGGTCATTTGTGTGAAACTCAGAGGCTGAAGTCAGCTTCTTATTCGAATTGTCCCGTTCCACCTTAAATGGTGCAGCAGCTGCAGGCGCCAGAATGTAACTGCTGCACTATTTAAGGTGGAACGGGAAATTCGAACAAGAACCTGGAGAATAGGAATCCAACTTCAGCCTCGCCTGAGCTGAAAATGTTCGACTTTCTTTTTTAACACGATATTTTGAAATCGTACCTCAATCTACTGTCTTTGTTTCGGGAGAGCTGCAGCCGCGGTGTCTGGATGAAGAGTTGTCCGCACACGGGCTCCCAATCCGACCAGCCTGCTACGAGCTCCGGTGCTCTGCTACAGCACAACCCGCTGTTCCCATAATCCCGAAAAAATCAACAACTTCACAGCATTCGAGCTGCATCCGTCCGCATCTCTTCAGCGTTCAGCCCCTCCGTGTTCCTCTCACGCTGTGCGGGCTGAGAGCAGCTCAGCTCAGCGGGTCTGTGGAGCAGAAGATCTGGGCTGCAGCTGCTTTGTGCTGTGGATACAGCAGCAGAGTCTGAGCTGATGGATGCTTTATTCAATACAGGTCAGAGCGCAGCCCGCATCCTCACAGGCAGCCTCATGTGAAAGGAATGAGATGAGACTTTATTGGATCTTACCGACTTGGGCTGTTTTCATCAAATATATCACGATATTTTCTAAATATATACTTTAAAAAGGGGGAACAAAGTACACTTAAAGGGGAATTCCACCCATTTTTAAAAAAATCACTAAATAATTAAAAAAAAGAGATGTAACTTCGATTTTTTTGCAGTGGTGGTGATAAAAACCAGGGGTCACAATGTCTACAGCATAAATGCATTTTATTTACTATGCAAATGACCTCACGTGTTCTTGTCTTTTGTGAGTTTTTGTTGTATTAAATATGTGCACATATAACCACAATAGACATTAGTCATCACTCTGCTCTAAGTCTAATTCTAATAACTCTAATTTATTTATTTATCCTAGAAATATAAGATAAATAAGTAAACAAACAAACAAACAAATATGGACTGAAGAAAACAGTAAACAGAAACAACGAAATGCACAGATAAATACTAAGAAAAGAAAAGAAATAAGAGAATATTAGTAAATGGGTACAGTATTATAAAACAGAAACACCAAAATTAGAACACAGGTTCTAGGTTTTCACAACTTTACTTACTGCAGCAAATAGATCATTTCAAATAACGCTCCCTATCATTTGATGGAGTTACAAAATAGGCGTCTACTCTTTTGTACTCTACACTTTACACTGTTTTCTTTGGGTAGCTTCAAGATGCATTAAAACACTTCAGATGTCTGGTTCTTATCACCACTGCTGGAGCATTTTACATCAAACAACCCATGACCATGAGTTTACATCTTAAAGTGGTTTGGTGTGACATGCTTCGTTCTAGCGAAACTTAAGAGTCAGAACTGTTCACTGTGGTGGTGATAGGAACCAGACATCTGAGGAGTTTAATGCCTTTAAAAGCTCCCTCACAGAAAGTTTTCATGATATGGTTATGAATACACTGTCTGATGTCCGAACCATTGCTTTACAGTATTTTTGTGACACGTTTTGGCCTAAAACGTGGTAATCAATTCATTTTAATCTATTCATGATGGAGGGATTCATGAAGGGTGTTCTAAGGCAAAATAGTCCCCAAAGAAAGCTTATTTTTTCAGATTTATGACTATTTTATGATCATCAACATTACAAAAAAACTCAGAAGACGTGTAGGTTCACTGGTGGTTTGGGATAGTAAATTAAATGGCTATATTTGCGTTGTTGATATTGTGAACCCTGGCTCGTATCACCACCACTGTAAAGTCTTCGTTTACATCTCAACCACTGAATTATGCAGAAATTTGAAGAATTGGTGGAATTCCCCTTTAACTTTTAATTTGAAAGAAAATTTGAAAATTTGGAATTGCTCTTTGAGCACCAGCCGGGATATCTCCACATCTTTTGTGCTCAGAATTGATTAGTTTGAAGCCTTGGTATCTCCATATATGGGTTAGAAATACTTAAGACACACTTAAAATTGAGACTTTGTAGCAGCAACAGATCTCCACAGCAACCAGGATCATCCTGGCAGCCAGAAGGCCCCTTTGGCTCTTTGGCTAATGTGATTTTCTATGCAGCAGTGAGCTTTTATCTGATCTATACACACCACACCACACCACACTGTAATGGCACTAAACAGTGCCATTCAGGTCATGAGTCAGCGATACTGATTCGTTCTTGTTCTACGAGATTAATTAAGGGTCAGTCCATTAATTCTGACCTGGGACCAGTTTTAAGATGTCCTCTTAAAGGAGCCGTATCATGGAAAACCAAAAGTTTATTTGTGAATATAAAACAGTTTGATGTTTCAAAGTCTTCTATTCACTTTAGAGACCATAGAGTCCATTTATATAAACTAAACTGCATTATGTTTTGAAATCACTGTGGTTGAGACATCATTCAGCCTATTGCACAAACATTCCTGCTGGTGTTTTTTAACAAGGCTAATTATAAGGCAGCCAATCAGAACAGAGGCTCTTTACATATATCAAATTTAAAGGCGTATTAACAAATACAGCATGTATAATTCTAAGGGATGAAGAGAGATTGGCAAATAAATGGTCATGTGAACATGAACGATGACTATTTGCAGAACATAAAAAACACATAAATGTAAGTGAACTTCATAAAATTATAAAAATGGCCCAAGAAAATGGAACTCCTAAAAAAGATGGTCCTTCAAGGGTTCTTTAGTAAACAAAATGGTTCTATATATAACCATAAACACTCACTGAATCCTTTGCATGATTAAAGGGTTCTTTGCAAGGTGAAATGGTTCTTCACACTGATGGAGAATGTGCTGTAGATGGTTCTATATAGAACCTTTTTGAAGAAGGTTTTATACGGCACCAAAATGGGTTCTCAGTTCACAGTGGTGGTGACCCGAACCAGGTGTCTGAAAAACTTCAAATCCTCTAAAATCTACCGCACATAAACGTATTACATGAAAAGGTTGTGTTGTCCAGTGCCTGGGACACTGTTTTATGATAACTATGAGAAGTTTTGACCTAAAACGTATTTTTTCAAACCACTGTGAATGACTTTGTTTATATCTCAACAACTGAATTCTGCAGAAATGTTGAAAAATCAGTGGAATTTTCCTTTAAGGCTTTCTTGCACTCACAGCCCACTTCATATCCCTTGCCCAAGGTTCTAGGATGAGTGTTGTGGCTTACATCTTTTCAATTGCTTAAGACCACAAATGCTGGTAATTCACTATTGATCTAAAATATCGATACTGTGGTTTTACTCTCCCACCCAGACACCATGTTTCAAGATTTTTCTCATGAAGCATGGCATCTAAAATCCATTCAGCCTCCAATGCTGAGCTCCCAAGACTGGTCCTCACTTGGATTGGGTATTGTCCTCCAGCTGATGCGTTCCAAAAAGGCCAGGGCGCCTGGGGGCCTGGTGGAAGCAAACTCATTAAGCCCCCATTAACGCAATAATTGGCTAAATGAGGGAGATTCAGCACAGCGAGGCGCCGGGTATCTAAGGCTAAGGTTGCTGACCAGAGCCTTCGTCTGAACTGTTTGCCTGCCTCAAATATGGAGTTATGGATGCAGCTGGATTAATGACATACTGTTTGGGTAATTTAATATTCCCCTGGTGCTCAGCAGAGCAGTGGTTCTCCCACAGTGAACACTGTGTCAAGGTGACTATCACAGAGACAAGGGTAGGAGGAGGCAGATGAGGGATACATTATGGCTACCAAAGCTCATAAAAACATGGTTAATGAACACAGGCCCTGAGGCTCAGGACGGCCACATCGAAAGCCTGTAAAGATGCAGCACGCTGGATGAGCATTTTGCACATCAGTGGCGTTCTTGGAGTTTTATTCATCACTTTATTCTCTTTAATGCAATTCGATTCGCTTGCTTGCTGAATAATCTTCAGCTCTGTTGACACACATCGGTTATGACACAGGATGAGTAGAGTAGCTCAGAAACAGCAGAGCTGTTGAAGTGAGGAGGTTGACGAGCATTTCTGCAGGGGAGGGTAGTCTGTTTGCAGAGCCAGAAAGGCTGCTATATGATGAACACACTCCGTGCTGACAGGGATCAGCACTCAGAGCTGCAGGGCAGCAAGGCCAACAAGGCCAGAGCCAGGTCACACTGAGTCACTGCCAGCTGGCTTTCCCAGCCTGGAGCTGCAAAGCCACATCTACACAGCACTCAGCAAGTCCCACTACACATCTACACTGTGTCTACTCATCTTCTCACAGGCTGACTGACTTAATACAAACATGCTGTAAGAAGAGGTAGTCTCAACTAGGGCTGCACAATACAGATTTTTTTTAATTTACTGTGTGACATGAGCATCGTAACCAATCACAGTTCCTCAAGGTGTTCGTGTAATCCAAAAAAAATCAACTGATATTGGCACAGCGACTTTTCATAACTCTGAAACCATTCAAATGTGAAGTTATCCAACCAGTAACTACTGGTGACACAGAACATGGCGATTACCAAAATACAATATTTAAAAACTGGAATGCTATAAATATCAGGATTTATAGGCACTTATTGAGCAGTCAGGTTAGGTTATGGGAAGGGAAAAGTATCAACGCATCCCTGGTCAAAATAATGCATGTCATACACTCTTAAAAAGATCTTCAAGGGTTCTTTAGTGAAGAAAATGGTTCAATATAGAACCATGAACACTCCAAGAACTCCATGCATGATTTAAGGTTTTTTGCATCATTACATGGTTATTCTTCAAATTAATGGAGAATGTTCTGTAGATAGTTCTATACAGAACCTTTCTGAAAAGGGTTCTATACAGCACCAAAAAGTGTTCTTCGACTGTTATGACATTAAGGTTGTAACAATAGAAGAACCCTTTTTGGTGCTATATAAAACCCCTTTTAAAAAGGTTCTATATAGAACCATCTACAGAACATTCTTCATTTAGCTGAAGAACCTTTTCACCATGCAAAGAATAATAACCATGTAATGATACAAAAAAAACCTTTAAGCATGCAAAGGGTTCTTTAAGTGTTCATGGTTCCACATGAACTCTAGAAGGACCATCTTTTTTTAAGTGTTTACCAGTGACTGACCAACGCTTTATTTTATTTATTTGTAATTTTCACCTAATTTTCCACCCAGTTTAGTCTCCCATTCACACGATGCTGCCAAGCTGGGAGTGATGGGGGAGAGGGAGGGCAGTCCTACCATCAAGATAAAACTGTGGCACTGCCAGGGGTCAAACTCTGTCTCCCGCCAATAGGTGGTTACACCATTAATGTAATGCAAGTCGTATCAAAATAACATTGTGATATCACAATAGTAGTATTTTGTACATATTGTGCAACCCTGGTTTCACGAGTCAACTGTCCACTGTCCATGTTGAAAGTCCAGTAAAGCAATTACTCACTATCCCCAAAACAATCTACAACACTGAATTTTTTTTTCCACTTTTCCTGCAGTTAAACTGACAAAACACTTAAAAAAGATGGTTCTTCAAGTGTTGTTTAGTAAAGGCAATGGTTCTATACAAATCCATGAACACTCAAAGAACCATCTGCATGCTTAAAGTAACAACAGAAGAACCTTTTTGGTGCTGCACAGGACCCATTTCAAAAAGGTACCCAAAAAGGTTTAAGCATGCAAATGGTTCTTCAAGTGTTCATGGTTCTATAGAATCATGGTCTTTACTAAAGAACCCCCAAATAACCAGGTTTGAGTGAAGGGGAAAAAACAAAAAACAAATAACAAAAAACAAAAACAAGTTCAAAAGTATCCCACACTGACCAAAAAAAAAAACAAAACAAAACAAGAAAAAACCCCCAAAAATAATCCCAACAACTACTGTAATTAAATCTGAGTTAGGGCTTTAATGTTATACCCACAAAAATAAATGTTCATCTTGGTACATTTCCTTTTTTAATATACTCCAGGAACGATCACATCGATAAAGCTGCGAAACAATGAACAAGCAACTTTACTGGAGCCAGAAAAATATATAAAAAAGGGTATGAAAATTTAGGCCTATGATAGAACACAGAAGACCAACAAGGCAGAATATTAGCTGATAAAACTAATAATAACATACAAAAGACAAAAAAAATATATTTTGAGGGCCATCATTAGTTAAAAATAATTAAATAGCCCCAAACAATATTCTGCTTCTATTTAGATATTGTTTCATAATTTGCTTACTACATCTCACAAGGGTTGGTTTTTGAATGTTAACATATAAAAATATAACATGTAAAACTATATTCAACATAATACAAAACACTGAAAACGTAGCTCTCAGCACTACTTCTGGATTCTTTACAGTAGTTTCTAATGCTGCTTCAGGCCATTATGTGTGGATGCGAGTTGAGGAAGTGGGTTTGTTCAGGCCCGTTTGTGTGGGTACCAGTGGAAGAAGCTGGATCCAGCTGCCATGCGGGCAGCTGGGCGCAGGGCTAGGGGGCTGGCGTGGCGGAGGAAGAGGGCATCAGGATCCAGACTATTTCCGGTGTTAAATGCAGGGTATATAAGGCTGGAAGGTGGTGAGTGGAAAATTTCAGCAGACATGTCTGGACAAAAAAGAAAATAAATAAATAAATGAATGAATGAATGAATGAATGAAGGCTATGGTAGTTATATACAAGGATAACATCTATTGATACAGAAAAAGTATGAGAAAATGTAATTTACTAAAAAAAGAAGTAGCCAAGTAGAGGATGCCAATATCAGCGTAAATGGACATTTAATATTGATGTATATGGATAAAAGGATAACTGCAACACATCTTCCACCATCTCAAGTGGATGTTCATACAAAATTGGTTTTCTGAACTAACCTGTACAAATCGTGTGGATCCACTGATTAGGTTTCTAAACAGTTGAGCTCACATGTTTCGTATGACACGGATGACTTTCCCAAATATCTCTCTGATCAGCGATCCACTAAGCAAAACTTTACTAAACAAAAAATTTCCACTTCACAATTGCTTTTAAAACTGTATAATGGTTTACAGCTGGTTCGCAACACAGATTCCAACAAATAAACAAAATCTAATTTCCAATTAGACAAGCCAAATGTTAAAAAATAAAATCTACTATTAAGGGTGGGCAAGATGGAAAAAATAGGGCAGCCAAATGATTAAAATAATTGTGTGTGATTAATCGTGTTATTTTCTATAGTTAATCATGAATGATCTCATTTGTCTTATTTGCTCAAATTTGAGCCTAAAGAAATATTTTTTCCCAATGAAACCAGTGCATGCTGTTGTAGCAATATGAGTGGACATAATAAGCATTAGAATGTATTTATTACTTTCAGTAATTCAATAACATTATTTTCATCATCTGAATGCAGGGCTCACATTAAGTAGAACCAAAAAAAAAACAACAACAACAAAAAAAAAATCACATTATTTCCACACAGAGTGAAGGTTGGGCTGCCAAAGGTGTCCTCCAATGCTAATGTTACTGATATTACAGGCATCAGTGCTGACATTTCAGACATTTCAGACATTTTTCGGTCCTAAATAGATTCACATATGGCAGTAGCTGGAATTTACCTTGGTTTTATCAACAAAGCCAACTATCATAGAGTTATAACAACAGCACGCAAGCAGCTGGACTTCTGGCTAGAACTATGGATGGTTTGAAGGGTCTGCCAAGGAGAATGCATTAATGGTGACACCACTAAAAAGACAAACACACAACTATACTTCACTTATACCTTTAAAAAAGGAGACTGAACAACCATTAAGTTTGTAAAAACAACTATCTACGAAACAGGAGAAAAGATTAATTGGCAAAAATAAATTATTGAAGTAAGAAAGACATAATTAGCTGAAATCCAAACAACTACTTGTTACTATGCAGTTACTATCACTGGTTGTTGCTCTACATAACTGGCAGTTGTTCAGTGTTTTAGATGTATTCAGAAAACTGACAAAAAGTGAGGTAATTCATTAAGATAACAGTGAGATACGGTCATATTGCCCACCCCCTCTATAGTACAATCTAGAACACTGAGTCTGGAGTGATGCTGTGGCATGTTCTACCCGTGTGGCCTCCGCAGCTGTGGATCATGCCTGGAGTGTGGAGGCTGAGGGTCCACAGGGTGGAAGCAGTTGGCTGGGCTTGTTCAGTGTCCCCACAAGATGGCTGTGGTTCTGAGGTCAGTTTGACAGATGGAGCAGACGAGAGCAACACAGACTACACGACAAAACAAGAAAGTTTGCATCACGCGAACATGTCAGAAACATAAAGACACATATGGTTACATTACTTAAACGTAACTTTATCATCATCTATAGTCAAAACATTTCTACTACTTCATTGCCTATGAGCTACTCAGCAAGAGACAGCAACGTATACCTGATTACCTTTTAAGCTTTTATTCTCATCTATCCTCACCTATTAAACTTGTCTTTCTTCACAAAGTTGTTTTTTTTTAACTGATTCATAAGACGGGCTTTTGTGGAGAGGATAATTAGCATTTTCATCTAATTAACAAATAATTAATGGCAGCTTTGTCTCCTGGGAACACAGATTATAATGAGTGACAATGAGCTGAGCGCTAGGAGATGAATTATACTCAAACGGCACAGCTCCCACTTCGGAGAGTGAAAGGCACGCAAGACTGAACAGAGGCTGCTGTTTTGAGCAGCTAGAAGACAATCTGAAGAAGGAATATGGACGACACCACAAATAGGGGTTATGTCTCAAATCAGAATCAGAACCCAATTTGACTATATAGCACATTACAGATTGCAGTCAGTGGATTGTTCTGGAGAAGGAGAATGTTCTTACATTTGCAGTGTCCTCTTGGCAGCTCAGAACAGGTTTGGACTCATCATCTGCACTGCTTTTGTCAGTCCACCCTGGGTCCCAGTTATTAAGGCAAGCTGGGTCTTTAGTCAGCAATGCCCCAAATGGGTTTGCCTTTTCACCCTGGATTGGAAGGAAAGTTACATGAGCTTGATAAGACAGCACATGCACAACCCCATTTCCAAAAAAGTTGGGACGCTGTGTAGAATGCAAATAAAAATAGGATGCAATGATGTGCAAATCATGTAAACCATATTTTTAAAGGAAAATACTATAAAGACAATATATCAAATGTTGAAACAGAGAAATGTTATTGTTTTTTGAAATGTATATGCCCAATTAGAATTTGATGTCAACAACACATTCCAAAAAAGTTGGGACAGGGGCAATGTTTACCACTTTGTTTCATCATCTCTTCTGTCAACAGCACTCTGTAAGCATTTGGGAACTGAGCAGACACTGCTGTAGTTTTAAAAGTGAAATGCTTTCTTGTTCTTGTTTGATATAGGATTTCAGCTGCTCAACAGTTCGGGGTCTCCTTCGTCGTATTTTTCATTTCATAACCCTCCAAATGTTATCAGTGGTGACAGGTCTAGACTACAAGTAGGTGAGTTTAGCACCCGGACTCTTTTAATACGGAGCCATACTGTTGTAATTTATGCAGAATGTGGTTTTACATTGTCTTGCTGAAATAATTAAGGCTTTCCTTGAAAAAGGAAAGTCGTCTGAATGGCAGCATATGCATTAACAACATTACCCATGTCATGTGCACTAATGCACCCCTATACCATCATAAATACTGGCTTTTGAACTGGGCACTGATAACAAGCTGAGTGGTCTTTAGCCCGGAGGACACAGTGTCCATGATTTCCAAAAGAATTTCAAATGTTGATTCGTCGGACCACAGGACACTTTCCCACTTCACCTCAGTCCATTTTAAATGAGCTCGGGCCCAGAGAAGGTGGCAGCATTTCTGGATCCTGTTTATATATGCTTTCTTCTTTGTGTTTAAGAGTTTTAATTTGCATTTCTGGATGCAACGACGAACTGCTTTCACAGACAGTGTTTTTTCAGAAGTGTTTCTGAGCCCATGCTGTGATTTCCACTATAGAATCGTGTCTGTTTTTACTGCAGTGCTGCCTGAGGGCCCAAAGATCACAGCCAGCAAATACTGGTTTTTGGCCTTGTCCCTTGCATACTGAGATTTCTCCAGATTCTCTGAATCTTTTAATGATATTATGTACCATAGAAGATGAAAAACAAAAGTTCTTTGCTATTTCATGTTGAGAAACGTTATTCTTGAATTGCTACACTATTTGCTCACGCAGTCTTTCACAGAGTGGTGAACCCCTCCTCATCTTTACTTCTGAAAGACTCTGCTTTTTTAAACCCAATCATGTTACTGACCTGTTGCCAATCAACCTCCAGGTGTTTTTTAGCATTACACAACTTTGCCAGCCTTTTGTTGCCCCTGTCCCAGCTTTTTTTGGAACATGTTGTTAGTATCAAATTCAAAATGGGCATATCTTTTTCAAAAAACAATAAAATTTCTCAGTTTCAACATTTGACATGTTGTCTATGTACCATTTTCAACCAAATATAGGTTTTAAATTATTTGCACATAATTGCATTTTGTTTTTATTCACATTTTGCGTAGCATCCCAACTTTTTTGGAAATGGGGTTGGAGAAGTCATGATGCTCAAAACCCCACCTGAGCCACATTAATGAACTCCAGCTCAGGAAGTTCCGGAAGATCCTCTGTGTCTTTGCCGGGCTGCTGATTCTCTAGACCATCTGTCAAAACCTGAGAGGGACACATTCATATTCACTATGTAAATTGAACAGCAAACAGCACAAAGGCGCCCTATTGATCAGACAGTGGTATGATAATTAAACATCAACAAATACGGTTCATAATTCCTTTTTGAGAACAGATCGATACAACCCAGAGACACTCTGAAAAAGTGCAGTGGGCATTCAGGCGACAGGTGATGTATGGACCCTAAAAACCCAGCTTGATGACTGCTGTCCAATAGCGGTTCCCTGTAATTCCCCACTTTACCGTCTCAGCAGAAAGAGCTTGGCTGTGTACGCTGGTCCTGAGGACCAGAGTAATTTACAGAAAGCTGAGGGCAAACCGGCATGCTGCCCAGTACAGGCACCACTGCGCCTTCCCTGAGACACTAAATACTGTAAGTGTGGGTAGTTACAATAAACTACCAGATAAATTTGACTGCATACTGTGGAAGGAGCTTGCTGAGGCCGATCATTTAGGTTTTGTCCATTTGTGATGCCCAGGGAGGGAGTGAAATGTTCTTTTATTTCCTCCAGCTGGTCCTCTCCAAGGTAAAGGGTTATGGGGTTGAACTGCGCTAACACCTAAAAAAACCAAACAGAACACAAAAAGCCATTATGGCATAAATAACAGAAGCAGACTGGGAACAAGTAAAGAGAGAGATGGATCTTTGACCGGTGTGCTAGCAGGAGAGCAGGCTATGGCATGGCCCTCAGCCTGAAGTGCACTGTGGATGTAGATGTCCTCTTCAGTGTGGGTGTCGCACAGGAAGAGCAGCAGGAAGTCCTCCAAGTAGCTGTGGACTGCAGCCACTAGGGTGTGCTCACAGCACAGCTTCTGGAAAGTGTTGGTGGCATCCTTAGTCCAAGTGCCCTGTGATGAACACAAACTGAAGAATTGGAGACTGAAGCTTTGAGCAGACATTTTGAAAACCAATCTGCACAAATGATATAGATCTGTAGGCTGTTCAGGTGAGGTGTTGACACTTCCATGTTTTCTCCAGCATCCTGCTAGCAAATCCTATTAACGATGAATAACTGCATTGTTAGATACTGTGCTATGAATCTTCAGTATATTTTTTGAGAAAATGTTGTGTGAAAACGTCAGTGCACAAGCCAGTCATTTGATTCCCAGATATTTCCCTCCTCCAGAAGATGTCATGTCCAGTATATGCCATGGGGTCCAAAAGACCAGAGCACTACTGAAAATGCTTCAACTGTGCATTCTTTTCTCATTTAATACAAGGTTTTTCACTACAAGTTAAAATTATCAGCATAACAGTTTGAGTGAAAAGTAAAATCTTTGAAATATCTACATAATTTTCAGAATTTCTTAGTATTTATATGTCCCCCTTCTGCTTTAATGACAGCGTTCACTTTAGCTAGACTTCATACATTAGGACAGAAGCCTCTGAGATCAAACACACTTAAACATGTGCCTAAATTTGAACGGTTTCCCAACAATGGTGTCAAATCTTGAATATTTGTTTTTTTTTTATTGTTTATTTCCAGGTTGGATGTAGTATTTAAACACTGATAAAGCTTCAGGACATATCATTCACTCATCAGTCTATACATGTAAGCTAAGATGCAAAAGTTTTAAACTCATCATTTTTGTGATGGCATGAGAACTGATAACTGCCTTTTTAGCCTACAGCACGACTGTTTGAGAACAAGCTTTACAACCTGGACTGTATTGTGAGGCATAATACAGATCAGCCAGTCAGGACAGAGATCACTTACATATACAAGTCATTAAGGCACAGTAACAAAAACGGCCAGTTTAATTCTGAGGGATTAAGTGAGGTTGGAAAAGGGTCATGTAATGGTCACTGTTTCTGGTACATAAAAGCACAAAACCACTATCAGCAAACCTCAGTGGGTAAAAAGAGAATACAGGAAAGTAGTAGGATATGGGGCCCTTATAGGTTTGGTCCAAAGTTGAGCCACAGTTATAAAGGTGAGGGACAAATACCATCTTTGGAAAATCACTTCTGTCTAAATATCATGAATTTGTATCATATTTGTGTCATATTATGACTACAGGCAATGGTTTTTACTTTCCCTGTACTTATAAAAGAACAAAAAAACGGATTACAAGTGCTGAAGCAACTACCCACTGGGTTCTATCACAAGTGTGTTTTGAGTCAATGAGTTTTCTGTTTTTTTTTTTATTGTGCATGGTAATTCTTGCCTCGGTCTTGCTTTTGTCTTAACTGCAAATTAACACTTTTCACAAGGCATTGTTCAAACAGAATGAAGCCTTTGTTGATGCCTTCAAGATCTGCAGTAACTTGTGCTGACCACGCAGCAGCTCTCTGCCATAGAATCAGCCTTTATGAACGCAATAACATGGTATCAAGCAATTTCACAGTGGAACAAAGAAGAATGACAGTAATTGGCCATGCAGTGCAAAGGAAGACAGCAGTAAACTGCCTCATCACAGCTCTCAGATAATTGTATGTTGGAATAAGTGGTAGAGGTATCCACCATGAAATGACTGCTAGCATAGGACGGCATTGGGTCTCTACTCCAAACTGATAAATACTTAAATTCTTAGTTAGGTAAAGAAGGCAGCTTTACTCTACCTTTATTGGCTTGACTCCAGCAAGTACAGATGGAACAGCTTGTGCTGGAAGCTCAGCATAGCATGACCTGCAGAAAAGGACACGTAGTGCGATGTTTGAAAGGGTAAACTTATTTTTGAAATGCATTACAGCCAGTGTACAACAAGGATGTACAGTGTCAGTGATGCGAAGAACTGTTCTTATGAAGCATCAAAAGCTATTTGACTGCTAATTGTCAATAAGTCAGCGAGTTACATAGTGAGTTACAAGCTCCATTAAGTGATTCATATCTAAAAACACATTACATATTCAAGACAAAAGACTGTTCAATGTCTAATAAAGGTAAGGGGTCACTGCAGTACATGAAGAACTTACTTGAGGAACCGGAGGCTGTTTCTACTGACGGTAGTGAGGTCTCCAAAGTCCACATAGTACACGTCCACCTCAGTGGTACTGAGAACCTGGTGGATGACCACACGGTAGAACCACATGTCTCTGGGGGCCACACAGCACACCTGGCCAGGCCGAACATAAGCATCTGGGAGCCAGTACCGCTCAGTAACCTCTGGGCATGTGTAACAGCTCCTACAAAACAACACACAATCTCACAAAGGAACCAAAACCAGCAAGTCCAGCTTCCCAAAAGCACCCTTGTATTGAGGTAACTTCAAAGTCAGACTCATTCTACTGTATTATGATAACCTTTGTACACTTTTGGGAAACTTGTGGTGTCTGGTTGTGAGAGAAAGGGCTGTGATCACAGAGGAGCTTTCAAGACAATTAACAAGACGTCTGTAAAATCTATATGATAGAACAGGCAAGCCTTCTTATATGCTGAGACCCTTCCTTCCCTGTTAGCTTACAATCTATCTCGTTAGGCTACTATTACAGGAAGCTGTAATTGTGTATTCCCAAACACAATCAAAGCTAATTGCTGTGCTCACTGTCTTTGGTGACTGTTGCAACCGCAACACAGTTGGTACTCCTATAGCCCCAAAAATGGCTCCAGCTATATTGTGCGATGTTCCTTACATTCTTGCGCCTGCACATTTCATCAATGCAAAGTCAGTGTAGTCAGAAAATCTGAAAACAAATAACTACATAAAGAAATACGTTCAGAATGCGTTCATAAAGGCTGATTCTATGGCAGAGAGCTGCTGCTTGGTCAGCACAAGTTACTGCAGATCTTGAAGGCATCAACAAAGGCTTCATTCTGTTTGAACAATTCAATAACCCAATGAAGTTGAACTTCATAGTAAAAATCATTAATAACCCCTTGCCTTGTGTGCAACATTAAGAAGCACTTATTAATATTAATTCACAATCCATATAAAATCTAAAAAATAACCTCATTTCAATCATCATATTCTCCAGGGTCCTGGCCTCCTGGTTCTCATCAAAACGGACATAGAAGAGGCTGGGCGACTCAGTCCTCTCCACTAGGACAGGCACCAGCTCCCTGTCTTTCCTGCGGGTAGGAGGCTTCAGCTTCTGGCACTGCAACGCATCCAGAGGAACCCCTGAGCCACGACTCAGCATCGTCACTGGAAATATGTCCACCATCTGAAAACAACAAGCCTGAGTAATTAGGGCAGAATGATGTGGGGAAGTATGCAACTGTGATTTTTCTGTCTGATATTGTGATAGCAATTTAAATTGTGATTATTTTCCATAAAGGCCTGTTTTATGGCCAGGAACACCAGAATATCCTTTCCTATCTGGCTTGAGGCTTGAATGCCACCATTTATTGCCTGTTAGTTGATCTACAGGCGCTTCACAAGCTCCATCTTATAAAGTTAAATTTCCCAGCTTAAAACTTTGTGAGTTAAGACTGTGTTAATTACATAAGCTATAAGCAATATGAAAATTGAAAATTGTTACCAAAGTGCTATTTTGATATAAAATTATTCATCTTTAAGCAATGTGAGTCAGCACAAAGTAATACGATCAGGTATGCAGTCTAAGACAGTGGTTGCCAAACTGGCCCTCGAGGCCTTTTACTGTATACCATAGGTGGGTACTGAGGGCCAGAGTCTAGCACAGACTGGTGATTTCTCCGCTCTAGCAAGCCACAGTAAACTTGCTAATTAAATTATGGGTCAATCAGGTTAATTAGGAAAATTACTAAGCCCTGCAGAATTCCCCACCCCTGCTCTATTGCTGTGTGTTGGGAGTTGGGATTAAGCAAAAATTGGACTGTGGTGATAGGGCTTTAGGCCTTGTGTGACAACCACTAATCTAAGATGTACATCTACTGGCATCGTGAAAAAATTAAAGGCTGTTATCAATATTTAGACTAACATATTTTCTTGCAGAAAAATATCTCTCAAAATCCGTATAGAGAGTATAGAGAGCGAGACTGATTATTATAAATGCTGGGACAGCTGTGAGGTGCTTTTGCATTTTGGATATACTTTTAAAAATCATAAACTATTAACAAGCCTCTGTATTGCCTGAATTGAGCTTAATATGAAAAAAAAAACCTGATGGATGGTCTTGTTGATGATCCTGAAATCAGTATCAGATTCTGAAGATTCTGCAGTTTCGCCACCCTCGTCTTCCTGCTCCCAGGCTGACTTGCTGCAGCTGAAGTAGTAGCCCTCATTGGAAGGATTCAGTGATGACAGACGTTCGTCACTTTGTGACAAGGCTGGCAAACAGACAAACACTGCTCATTCGCAGTACAGAGCCATCAGGAGAGGATCATGTAATGTGTATACCTGTATAACAGTGTGCATGCCATTTATTTCATGCAGAAGCACAAGCACAGTATCACTTTTTTTTGGATACCTAAACCTTATGTATTAGCTGATGAAGTTATTAAGCTGACTGTTTTTCCCTTAAAAACTAAGCTTTAAAACTGAAGCACTTTGTTGAAGATGAGCATCTAATAGCACCATGCTCAAACAATTTTTATTCAAACAAGTATTGTTCTCTATCTAACTATCACAAACACATCACTTATAGTGCAAATAAATTCAGGTATTTTAACTGTATACTGCTTACACAAGCCAAATATAATGAAATCAATCTTAGATCTGTTATAGAATCAGACTGGATTTGTTATTATTTCCTCCGATATCCGATCCAGTATTTTCTTCACCCAGTATGAGAACTGGGTGTCGGACTGGTGTCATCTCTAATGTTGTCAATTGTGCATATTTGCTTCCAAAATATTACACCTGTTAATGTTCAGTTCAGCTGTTGCATAAAAATGAACTGTTTCTTAATTTACTGGGTGATCAGTAAATCGTGGCCAAGTCGCTCATGTAGTGGACATAAAACCTGGTTGCGCATCATGTTTGAGCTCCATGATGAGTAAGTGCTTTGCTCCCTCCTCTGATCCTGGCTGCAGGTAGAACGTGTCACTGAGGGCTCCAACCATTTCAGTCACGCTCAGGAAGCCACACTGGGCCACAGGCAGATCCTCATCATACATTTTCTTGAACCAGAAAATAAGAAAGAAAAATAAGTTCATTTCGTATGACAAGCAGGTATTTTATATGCAAATAGTTGCACAAGATATTACCTTGTACTCTAAAGGAAGGTTGTGAATGGACATTCCCTGACTGTGTCCTGCCACAACCTAACAAGATATGCATAGCAACAGCAGTTTTAATGGCACTGAGAGAAATTAGCAAAAGCAAGAGTCCATTTTGCACTGATATACTGTACAACTGACCTTTCGAAGCTTATCTTTCAGCTCTTGGCTGACTGTGCCTGCATCCCCATTTTCAAGAATCCTCTGCTTGAACTGTTCCTCAAGCTACAACACATGGAATTAAAAAATAGGGCTTGCATTTATCAAATATTTCAGAGTAAGAGTTCTGCTCTATGATGTTCATGTATTTATTAAGACAAAACAAAAACTGATCCTAGATCAGAAGATTCCAACCTCTTAGTAAATACAATGAGAAACCAAAGAGCCAACTGACAAACCTTTGCAACAGACTTCTCAAACGACTGCTGATCCTGCAGAGGCTCTGGAACACTGGCGGCTGGTTTAGCTTCCTGCACTTTGACAGCTGCAGCCTCCTTAAGGCGGTCCTGCATGTCAGTCTTGCTGAGCACTGCTTGTTCTTTTAAAGCTTTTTGTGCAAAGAAAAAAACAATAATTTGCATGGTGAACAAAAGACATGATGAACACACATGGTGCACCTCTATAACAGACATGTGTTACTGTTGCCTCGTTGTGCTATCTGCCCAAATTATGGGTAACGGAAGCCCATGACGTGTGACTGATGATGCAAAAGTATTATTCCATGCCCAATCACATTTCCTCAATAGACATTCAGATATATACAGAACAACAACACATTGCATGCAACTGGAGTTTAGGTAGGATATACACTACCTTCCAAAGGTTAGGATACCTTGCTTTTTAGAATTTGCACACTGTTAAGGCGAAAACAAGAAACAAGAACTCCAGTACTTTTACAGCCAAAGTTGCATAGGCCAAAGTTGCATAGGCCAAAGTGGCATTTTAAAATTATATTAAATGAAAAAACAGTTTTGTATTTAAATAACATGAAATCAAAGTGCTACACTGAAAGTAAAAAAGCAACTGGCTTTCAAGCACAATGACATTTTGGTACCGGTGTAGCTGCAGCATTCAAATATAGCACATGTTCACTTACCTGCCTCACTTCATGTACGTTGTGAAATCGCAACACAGATTGGTCAAAATCAAAATAACAAATCGGGTGATTCAAATCATGTACCACATGATTTCCAAACTTAATGTTAAATGCATATTTAAACTGTTTTGGTCTAAAGGTTTAAAAATCTGACAGCCTTACTCCAAAGGTAGCACAGTCACAAAAAAGTTATACCGTTTTCCTCTGAATAAATCTGTGGTCTTCAATATATTAAGTTATTGCAAACTGACAAAGAAATGCTAATTTGGTTTAAACATTTTCGTCCCAAAAACTTTTTTTTTTTTTTTAATTTTTTACCCGATTTTCTCCCCAATTTAGTCGTCTCCAATTCCACCCGCTAGTTAGGACTCCCCCAATCACACGATGCTATCAACGCTAGGAGGGTCAAGGTTAACACAGACTTCTTCCGAGACCTGTGAAGCGCCGCCGCTTCTTTTCGAACTGCTGCTCACGCAACGTCATTGAACAGCTGAACGCGCTCGGAGGAAAGCGCCAACCGCCAGATCTGTTACGTCAGCTAACAGACACCTGCGCTGACTACCATTGCGCTGAGTGATGGGGGAGAAGGGCAGCCATCCCACCCACCCAGAGAGAGCGGGGCCAATTGTGCTCTCTCAGACTCCCGGCTACGGATGGCTGTAGCATCACCAGGGATCGAACTCGCGATCTCCTGATGATAGGGCCAACGCTTAGACGGTTGCGCCACTCGGGAGCCTGTCCCAAAACTTTTGATGGGAAACTTAGTGGAACACAAAAAAAAAAATCATTTCATCACATACTGAACAGACATAGAATGTTTTATTTGCACACCTGTCGGTCTGGTAGGGGAGCTTGACATCCTTGCAGACTTTTTTGAGAAAGCTGCAGCAAGAGCGGGCATCTGTTTGACGGGAGTGAGGGCGGCCTTCAGGATCAGCTGCGACCCCATCCGAGTCTGCCTCACCGCAATTAAGTCCGAGGCAGCGGCCAGCATCTCAGCAATGGAGAAGAAGCCATAATGCATGACCTGGAGAGGCCTGCCGAAGCAGGCTGCGTACCGCGTCTCCAGCTCAGACAACCCTACGGGGCCGTGGGACAGCAGCTGCCGGAGCTGGGTGCGCAGCTGCGCAGGCAGGGCAGGGGGGGCGCGGCCACGGCGAGGGAGGATGAACGTGTGGTGGTGCTGTGGGAAACGGGATGGGAAAATGCCCACTGAGCCTCTTTTAGCGGAGGATTTAGGTCTGTGGTCACGCTGTTTGGAGACAAGCTCTTCAATGCCTTTTGTGGTCTCATCTCCAATTGCTAGAAACAAGAATTCAAAATTTAGTAGGTTTAAAACTGTTAAATGGGAGCTTTTTTTAAAAAAAACTGCTATTTCTGGACATTTTTGTTCTAGAATTCTATCACTTAGGTAATTTATGATTTGTGATGAAAAATACTTTGTAGACGAGGGACTGAATTTTAACTTTAAATTTAGAATTAGAGATATCAAATGTTTGGCACAGTACAACTACTGATGTATTGATCTGAGGTAATTAAACAGGAATTCCATTGATTTTTCAAAAAACTTCTACATAATTACATTAGTAAAATGTAATCCAAGTCATCCAGCATGGTTTGATGTGAAATGTTCCTTTCAAAGGGAGCAGAGGTGGTGATGGGAACCAGACATCTGAAGTGTTTAATGCCTCTAAAAGCTCCCTCAAAAGACACTATGTAAAATAATTGTCACAATTAAGTTACAAATATGTTGCCTGATGCCTATGACACTGTTTTACAGTTGTTTTGAGATAAGATTTTAGTCAAAAACATATATTTAAATCCATTCATTGTAGCAGGGCGTTAGGCAAATTAGTCCCCCAAAGAAAACTAATTTCTTCAGATTTAATAGTATTTTACCATTATCAACATTACATATACAACTCAGAATTCATATGCAGATTCACTGCCGTTTTGAATAGTAAATAAAATGCTATATTGGCATTGTAGTCACGGCGACCCCTAATTGGTGGAATTCAACTTTAAAGGCTACGGTCAGTATTCATGATCATTTTCAGAGTTTGACTGCTGATCTAGGATCTGCTCCTGTAAGTAAGGTCATTGTGAATGAGAGAGGAATCTGATTCTAGATCAGTACTCCTATTCTGAGAAGGTTCATGAATACATGCCCTCACTTTCACTTCTGGTTAGGGCTGTTTGATCCCAGCCCTGGATTCCAAACAATAATCTTGATTCCAAAATCAAGATATAGAGAAGATCAAAAGTAAAGAGTATAATATTTATTATATTAGACCTTAGCAAAAAAATCTGTGGAGTTATTGCCGGCTAAGTGTACCTCATTCTCCTTTGTGAACTCCTTCAGGTGGTCTGACGTTTTGGTATCGGCCATGTTGTTTGATTGTAAGCAAATTTTAGTTTGAAATTTTACACTAGACTTTGTTTTCCACTTTGTCAGAAGTAAACTAGAGTGGAATTATCAAAGTGTGAGTTGTGTAAGAATGTATTTTTCAGACAGGCTAAAAAGTCACAACAGAATATGTCACACTGTGCACTTGAACATCTCCGTGTGGAATCGAGTTCAAAACTTTGGGGCCGACTCTCGACTCATGAATGCCTGGAATCAACAAATAGTTTCTTTTTGGGGATCAAGTACCAGCCCTACGTCTGGTACAATCTAGAGGTGGGCAGCATGGCAAAATGCAATATTGTAATACTTCCAAGAAGTTTATTACATACGATGTGTCACGATATTTATGTTTCTGACATCTGATAAGTTAGAATAAATACAGTAAGTGCCACATTTTAAAAACACAATCAGAAACTATGAATCCAGTAATTTGTATGTAATACTTCACACATTGTGCTGCGCTAAATTAAACAGGACTATTTATGATCTCTTTTTAATCTAACATGCAGTTGGGAAGTGTTGTTTAAGTACTAATAAGAGCCACAATATGCTCAGAAAAGCACACTGTAACATATTGTGATGTAATTTACATTTACGCTCTTATCCAGAGCGACTTACAGTTTGATCATTTTACACAGGTAGATGAAGGTAGGATTAGGAGTCTTGCCCAAGGACCCTTATTGGTATAGTGTAGGGTGCTTGAACCCCAGTCTACAGCAGAGAAGGCAGAGGTGTTACCCACTACACCACACCAGCTTTACCTTTTAACACTGCGCTGCCGTCGAGAGCATAGTCCAAGCGCACAACATCAGGCATTTCTTTGGCCATGTCCAAAACACTGCGGAAGCCCAGAACCTTGAGGGGCATTGGGTGTCCCAGCATGTTCTGGTAGTCCTTCTTGAGCTGCTCTGGAGCAAGGCCATGCTTGGCTGAAATGAGCAGCGAGCGAACATCCTTCTTCAGAGCGCAGAGGAGCTGATCCTGGGTCATACTGGAGAGAAAGTGACAGGGAAACTGACAGAGAGGGTTATGTGATTTGGTCAATACACAGTTCATTACTCACACATAAAAAATAACATTTGTCATTATGTGTAGGTTTTTTATTATTATTATTTTTGGCAAAGTCATGGTTCAACCCTGCTGAAAAAAAGAACCTTTAAGATTAAAACCTACGGAGCCCCGCTGGTGAGATCCTGTATACATAAAAATAATGCGTGGCCTCAACTTAGTAAGGCGTGGGAATGAGATGGTTAAGTCGTGGCCATGCCTTACTAAGTCTTACTAAGTCGTGGCCAAGCATTAGGTTCTTGTTTCCACGTTTATTTATACATGATGTCATCATCAGGGTTCTACAGAGCCCCGCTGGTGACATCCTGTATAAATAAAAAATAATGCGTGGCCACGCCTTATTAACACGTGGAAACGACATCCTAATGCGTGGCCACGACTTAGTAAGGCATGGGAATGAGATGATTAAGTCGTGGCCACGCATTAGGATCTCATTCCCACGCCTTACTAAGTCGTGGCCACGCATTATCTTTATTTATACAGGATGTCACCAGCGGGGCTCCGTAGGGTTCCGTAAAAACCTGATGTTTTTGCCTTCTAATGGAAATTGGCATTGGACGTGGAAACCATTAAAATCTTGTACTCTGTCATACCAACCCATCAGGAAAACATAAAATGCCATTAGTGACTATTTAACCAACAGACACTTTTAATAGTGTCTATTATTTCTTTCTTTCAGCAAAGAAAACACAAAGACTGGCGCAGGCGAGGACTCACCTGTTGGCTTCCAGCTCTGGTCCAGGAGGAGGCCTCCCTCAACGCATCAGCACAGCTAACGTCCAAGTTTCAGCTCCAAATTTGCACTTCCAGCTGCTTTCATTAAACTAAGAAATAATCACGTGCCTGTTCGTGAAACGAAGTAGGAAACAAACCGGCTATGTTGGCTATGTTCCACTCAAATAAACAAACAGGAGATGCGACTAGCTAAGCTAGCTAAGCTAGCTCGTTTAAGCGCAATCCTGCGGCTGGGCGTTAGCAGTGTGGATTAGCATGGACGTCCGATTTTATTCTAAGATGTTTTACCTTTTTAACCCCTTTCTTGAAGTCGCGTCACGTCTGGTTCTGCTGTTTGTATATTTGAAGTGTTTCTGTCGAACTCCTATAATGTGAATTTAGGGAGAAACCGGATTTTTCGAGGATTTTTGTTGAGAAATGTGCCAGGCTGCAGCGAGGAGCACAGCCCCGTCAGTGTGGACAGAAACTCAGTCAGCGTCAGCAGAGCTCGGACAGAAAAGCCCTTTGAGCAAGAACATGTTCAGCAATACAGCCTGCTGGTCACCTAAACACACAGTGAGCCGAGTGTACGGGTCAGAGAAGTGGGTGTCTGGCTGGCTGTTGCATTTTAATAAAGATTTTGGGCGGTTGTTTTCTCAGGAACTAATAACGGAGAAGTCCTCCATCAGCCCTTTACACAGAGAGGGTCATTTCTGCTGAGTGGGCGCGTTCCCTTCAGACGTGGTGCCGCAGACCGGGGTGCCAAAACTTTTGTCTCATTGGGGTGAGGTGAGGGAAAGTGCAATGTTTATGAGGGCCAAAAAATCAAGATAAGTAAAATTATGGAAGTCCAGTTAGAGGAGAAGTTTCTGACAGCAGTTTGTTAAAAGTTTGACTTAGTATCTCGAAATAAACACATTATTGACTTACTGTGTTGAAATTGTGACTTATTTTTTCAAAACATTGACTTGTGTTGAAATAATGGCTTTGCCTCACAATGTTGACTTACTATGTTGAAATAATGACATTTTCCTCACAATACTGATTTACTATGGGAATAATAACTTACTTTTTTCAAAATATAGACTTACTATGAGAATTATTTATTTTCTCAAAATAATGATTTATTTTTTCAAAATAATTATTTAATATGTTGAAATAACGATTTTGTATCTTGAAATAATCACTTAATATCTTGAAATAATTAACTTACTACTATTTACTTTCATTAAAAAAATGTTTTTGCATAGTATCTCAGAATTTCATCCTAATATATTTTACAACAATAATATATATATATATATATATATATATATATATATATATATATATATTATTTTTGAGATACTAAGTCAATATTTCCTGCCAGAAACAAAAAAAGAAAAGTGTTTTTTCACTCTTCTGCCTGGAAATACAAATAAAGAAGGTATGCAGGATTTTAAATGTATTTAAATAAATTACAGTATATTTTGTTTGTAAAATGCTTAAAACAATTTTATGGGGAAAACAAGAATGTAACAAGTTATACATGGTGGAAATATGTTTGTTCTTTCATTGAGTGAGGAGGTGGGGTTAGGGTAACTTTCTGGCAGGCCAAAGCAAACATCCCCAACCCACAGACCACACTTTGAGAAACCTGCTGTAGATAATATAACAGATGTCATAATTATTATTATTTTTTTTTCCCAGATCATAAATTGACTGAGAGTCGTATGACAATTTACAATACCATTTACAAAAGGCCAATAATGATGAATCTAGAGAGGGCACTGTACACTGTACTGTCCAGCCCCCTTGACCATCCTACGTCACACTCCACCCTGTGTGTGGCGTGAAGTGTCTGACTTCAGTAGGATGGAGCTTATTTGTGAATCCCAAGGGGTCAGATAGCAACCATCCATACTAACTGACTGAGTGGTAGATGCTTCTTGTTAAAGAGACAGAGATGGAGAGAAGACCAGAAACAGCCCTGAAACCAGAACATCCTCCAAGACCTGGCAGGACCAAAAGAGAGAACACACCAATGGCCAGAGAGAGAAAGCACAAGGCAAACAAGTCAGTGAAGCTCCAGGAGCCTCACAAAAGGAAAGAGAAGGTGAAGGGAGAGGAATCAGGAGAAGAGGACGTAAATGAGGACAAAAAGGATGGGGCAGTCATGTCCAGAAGCACTGTGGTCAATGTGGACAGTGTGAGAGAGAGGGCAAAAGAAGAGCGTGAAGAGTTACTGGGACTGTTGGAGAGTGAATGGCATGAAGAAGGTATGTAAGAAGCAGTGTTTGCATCATAGACAGGTAATACAGATCAGTTACTTATGTCCTAAATTAATATTCTGCTGCCCCAACAGCCTTGAAGCCACGAAACCTTGGAGTTTGTGAGTTGCTTCTCACCATCGTAGCTCTTGCCACAGTCATCTTCTTCTTTCCTATATCAATTTGGTTCTGTATAAAGGTAAGTGTTTACTGATATTGAGAAGAAGTGAATATTCATGACACTCTTTATTGAGTTACAAAACCTTTATTGTAGCTTTGCTACTCTCCTTAAAGATGGCACTGATCCAATAGCAGGTATCATATCCTCAGAAAATGCTCAATGGGATATCAGAGGGAAAAAAAATAAAGAATCTGATCTAGTCTTGTAACAAATCTGCTGTGAAATAGCACTCACTCTTGCTCTGTGAGGTGAAGTTAGATGTATTTCTTGTGGGGTAGTAGTGTTTGAGTAGTTTGAGCAAGATAGACTACTCTTAGATGATCATCTTGAAGGAATAATTTAGCAAAAAATGAAATGTACATAATTTTCCACTTGTCCTAGATGTAGCCTATATGCTATGACATATTTGGTGGACAAATTTTGCTTCTTCACTTAAGAACTGGAGCTGCAAGGCTAACGATGCTAACACTAGAGATCAATAGTCACCCAAATAGCCAAAATCATTTATATAAAAATATATCACCAAAACTTTTCTCAGCTCGCTCAAACCACACCCAGGTCTTTGTTAAGGTCAGCCATGCAGCCATGCCAGTTTGAAAGTTTAGGTTTCACCATGTTGCTGAATACTGGGGACAGCATTTTAGACAACTGGTCTATATGCACAAACCACCTCAGGAGTAGGAGTGCTGATCTAATGACAATGTCCATCATAAATAAGCAGGATTCTGATCCATGATCAGTCCTCAAATTCATAACTGTGAATACCAGCACTGATGTTGCCCGAAATGGCTGCACGTAGTAGTGATGTTTCGTATATTTTTATCACTCACAGTAGGTCATAAAGGCTGCGTTCAGATGGTGGTTTGTTTTCTGCAAAAAGTCCACAACTGAGCTGTGAGGAATCTGCCAGTGACGAGTTTTGGAAAGCAGAGAAGGAGCGGAGCAGACCTTTATGGGTGGCGTTATGGGCAGAAAGTTCAACACCACATCCCACATCACATTAAATAGATAGACTCAAGAAACTAGCACTTGCTGTGCTTTCTTATAGGAGAAAAAGTCCACTAGGTTTAATTTCTCCTACTCGGTCCATGTGAATTAGTATCATTAGCAGGTGCTTTGAACAGCACAAGCAGTAAAGAGACACAGCATTAAAGTGAACTACTGACCAAACTACGGTGGTGAAGGGTACCCGTCATTTCTCAAAATTTTTAAACCTCTACATATGATGAATTAATATTTGAGTTTTTTTAAAATGGAAAAAGCAAACAAAACTGTCCTACGTTTGGCCTTACATTCACTCTCCAGTTCAATTTTACTCGCCCTCTTTTTTGATTGGTTACCTTGTGAAAAGTGACACATGACGAGGGAGCTTTTCTGCTAAAGTTGAACTTCTGTGGTGAAAAAATCCACGCTGGGAAAAAAACACATTCTAAGTGGGGCTAAGATGTAAGACATAATGCCGTTTTTGAGCAGAATACACTCTGGCATCTGAATGCAAAACAACTCAACAGGTCTGTGTATTTTTTCTGAAATGATTTGAGCTATTTGGGAGACTACTGACTTCAAGTGGTATATTATTTAATATATTAAATATTTTAGGAAGCAACATTAGCCTTGCAGCTCCAGTTCTAAAGTAAAGAAGCAAAATTTTCACTCTAAACATGACTTGGCTGATTGGCTGCTTCTGAAGCCTGCTTCTTTACTGAGTTTTTCCTTTAAGTGAAGTGCTTCAATTATAAAAATCTAATTTTAAAGCTTTGTCATTTTAAAGAAACAATCTCTAAAGTTATCAGCCAAATGTGAAATAATATACACATATAAAAATATGTGTATACGGTGCATTTTCTTTGTTTAAAATAATTCTGAATCGATGCCGGAGACCTAAATCTAATGTGGTAAGATGATGAAGTAGTAGTGGTGAGGAATTGCTTGTTCATCCCTGTTGTTTTGTTGAAAGATTGTGAGAGAGCATGAGCGTGCGGTGGTCTTCAGGCTGGGACACCTGCTGCAGAGGAAACCTAGAGGACCAGGTACATCACCTATATCATACACTGTAGACCTTAATATACAGCCTGTACATGCAGTTCAACAGTAACGGTACTTGAATTTACTTTATTTCAGAAAGAATTATTTTATTAATTCTGTTTTTCTTTCATTAATTCCTTTTATTGTTGTTTAGAAATTGTATAGTGATCTGTAGTTTTTTTGGAATAGGGCTGCTTTTTTACCTCCCATTCTTGGATGTTTGTCAGAAAGTGGACATCCGGCTGAAAATGCTGCAGGTGCCCTCTCACACGGTAACTGTCCTGACCTAGAGCTCTGTGTGTTTGTATTATTCTTACTGTAAAGTCTTTGAATGAACTGCAATAATTATTTGACCAGAAACAGACCCTCCCAGCGGGGGAGACATGTAAACAAGAGGGAGAAAACGAGAAAACTCAGCAGATCCTACAGCTGACTAATTACTGTCTACTGTCTACTGACTACAGTGAAGTAACTGAGCGCTGATCAGTATAATAAACGTATCACTGCTGTCGCAACAAAACCTTGTATCTCCAAAATGGTAACTTTAGAGTAGAAGCAAAAAACATACTTTACTTTTAATGTAAATGAATAGAACCTGAATTTCATTATGGGCCATTACGTTTGGTTCATTTACACACACATTTACACACAGGGCAACAGGCATTTTCAAATTATGTCAAAAACTGAAAAATGACAAAAATGGAGATACGAGGTTGTCTTCCAACAGCAGCAACATATAAAATGTCTAAAAAACTGACGTACACACACACACACACACACACATATATGACTAATAATGTAATTTGGTATAAATTAAACAAAGTTCATCAAAAAATCATTTTCAATACAGTATGATTGGATTTGATTGACAAGGTCCTATTCTCTAGAAGACAGTGATTAGTGATCGACACTGTGTTTGTTTGTTGATCAAAATAGCATTACATTTATTACTGCTGCTTTCTTATGTAAAATTTAAAAAGACAAACCCACCTTAAAATTTTTTATGTTATAATATATATACAATGATCAGGTTCTGGAATTAACACAGTGTTTTTTATCTTGAGAAGTGTTTCTGCAATTCACCGTCTTTCCTCACACATACGCTGTTCAGTATCACCTCCAGTGTCGTCCTATTTGGCAGTGATGAATTTTTCACAGCTCTGCCGTGTGCTCTGCAGGTGGTGACGAAGGATCTGGTGTGCACAGAGGTGAGCGCAGCGTGTTACTATCGCATTGAGAACGTGTCTGTGTGTTACTCCTCCTTGGCCGGAGTCCCGGCTGTGCTCCAGGCTCTGGTGCAGGTGTCAGTTAGGGAGGTTCTGGCCCAACACACCTTCACTCACATACTGCAGAACAGGAGCACAGTCGCCCAGGAGATCCAGGTACTTTGGTATTATCAGTAATGTCATTCACTACAACCACATGTATGTTTATTGTGCCATTTACAAGGAGTGTAACCATATGGAGAGCTGTAAAGTATAGACTTGTGACATGTATTATGTCAATTTTGCTTTACTGTTTTCAAAAGAACATAATTTAATCAATATTACAACTCATAAGTCAATACTTTTGGTCTAACTGCACAGTAGCAAACCAGAAAACTTTAATCTAAGCCCCTCATTTTACTTTGTACTGAAAAGTGTTCTGTGCTCTAAAAGAGAAAATCCAACAAACCTGACTGAGCATCAGTTGTGCAAACTCATGCTTACTCACTCACTGCATGCTTAAAAGACTAACAAAATACTGAGACTACACTAAAACTAAAACACTAAAAACTGACCTACATGCAGGAAAGAGACACTAATGTTTGAGAACTTTTACTTGCATTGCTTAAGTTTTCAGTTAATTGCTGGGATCATGAGTTTCAGTCAGTAAACTGGGTTGTTATTGCTGGCTGTTATTATTTTTTTGATGGATAAGAATGAATAAATGTTAACTATAGCTTGGAAAGTAATAAACAAACAAGACATAAATTGTATACAGTGTCCAATTGAGCACTGTGCATGCTTTTTAGGTTGAATGTGATTTTTGATTCTGAGGACAAAATTCAATTCAGTTACCAAATTATGTGTTAAAAATGTCAGAGCTCACATTCTATACTACACAGAAAGGTTTGGCTTATAAATAAAAGTCCTCAAACAGAACTTTTTCATTGCCTGTCACACCACTCTTTAACAAAATAGCCCCTTATAAAGTTGTGTAATTTATAATTATACAGTTAATTATGTTACGTTTTGCTGATTTTGTGAAGTAAATTATCACTTCCTCTACAGAGAACAAACTTGCCTTTTTCTGCATGTGTTAGTGTAGTTTCTATTTATTTGATGAGTTTAACACAGAAAAAAATGTAAATATATAAATATAAAATGTGCCTTCACTTTTGCACAGGCCACATTTACTGTTTCTTTCCCTCAATATCTAAAATGAGCAAATAAACAGTAATTGTACATTAAAATGTGCAGACATTAATTTTTCACTTAAAAAATCAACAAAATATTGTGTTATTCTCAATATTTTAAAATAATTTACATGCATTTTAATGTGATATTACAATCACCAGATAAATGCATGGAGCAAGGAGGCATAATTCAGATCTTTCTTTTTATATGAATATAGGTTGTGCTGGATTCCATTGCTGGCAGGTGGGGAATTAAAGTGGAGAGAGCTGAAATGTGAGTCATTAATATATAACCAGATAAAAGGCACTTATGGCAATAATGTATGACCATAAGAGCACGAGAGGCTCATTAATCCACGCTCTGTACTGCTGAGTGAGAGAGAGATGTGTTCTGTGCGTTGTCGTGATTTCAGAGAGGACGTGCGTCTCCCACCTGAGCTTCAGCAGAACTTTGCTGTCGAGGCCGAAGCAAAGAGACGAGCTCAAATCAGAGTAAGAACATTCTGTCAGAACTACACTGCAGGAAAGACTAAGCTCAAGTTTGCACTTTATTCAGATTAGGTGTAACTCTGCACTAAAAAGGGTTTTCAAAGCTGACTTACTATTGTGCACTGCAATTTTGTCCAAGACTAGGCTTAATTTAGGTATTAGGTAGACTATCTGTGTGATTTACTTCTGAATCTGGACAACTTGTCTATTAGTAGCAGTCATGGAGAAGGCATGATTAAAATGTGTAAAATAACACAACTTGGGTGCACAGAAATGCTGTAGATTGTTGGAGATAGCAAAGTGCAGCACTGTCAGTGAAGCAAGATTATGAGCTTTCATTAAATTAGTTATTTTGCAGTGTTGACTTCTGTTATTTGTTGATGTGAAACCAGCATTGTGTGTGTAATTATTCTTGACACAATAAAAGATGAACTAACCAAAATGGAAAAAATAATGGAATTTCTCTCTGGGATCCAAAAAAAATGTAATACGACTCATTTTAAGATTAGCCCAATTAAAAATGGAAATGAAAGAGGTTTATAAAAATCCATAAAGTCATCACTTCAATTCAAACCAAGCCACAATTATAGAAAAAACGTTATATTACATTAGAATGAGCAGTAAAAGAGAATCAGTGATTATTCTACTGATTATTAGACTACTGCATTACAATTAGAAAAAAAGTCTTCATTCTTCAGTCTCCCAAATTTCAGACCAACTAGCCAAAGACCTACTCTGGAACAAGCTTGTCCTCCACGCAGGACATAACTAGGTCATAAACTAATGTCAGTGTGCATTAGGGAATTCAGCCTGAACTGACCCAGGCTGTTTTATTATTTCAGGTGATTGCAGCAGAAGGTGAGAAAGCAGCGTGTGAGGCTCTGAAGGCCTCTATCGACTCTCTCTCGGACTCTCCTCTGGCCGTGCAACTGCGCCTGCTCCAGCTCCTCCACACCCTGCGCTCTGACCAGCCTGCTGTGGTGCTCAACCTGCCATCTGACCTCCTCAGCCAAACCCTTCAGCTGCCAGACACAACCAGCTCCACCAATCAAACCCAGCCTACAGGTGGCAACTCCACAGAAACAGCTAAAGATTCCCCTATGATGTAATGAGTGCTCCCTTATGAAAGTTCCATTATGAATATCAAAATATAAAACATATTTGTGCCTTTTTATAACCTAATGTTTTAAAACAGAACTATAAAATAAAAGCCTGGAGACGAGACGGGGTGTGTAGAGTCAATACTTTTTTTTGGTACAGTTATGTTCCCTGACTAAAGGTATTGAGATGTACCCTTGAAGGTACCACCCCAGTGACAAGAGGGGGACTGCCCCAGTGACAGTTCACTACCTTTATTTCCGAGAGTGTATCTGTAATGATCTACCACACTTATGTTCTACTGTTTAAACATTAATCTTCATTTATATACAGTAAGTAATGAAATGAGGAGACGTTTCATTTCCCATAGTGTTTGTAAGTGATTCTACATCCGTTTTAATGTGCAATTTTGTTTTTAACCAATTTAACTGCGCACACAAACACACTTTATCTAAGCTGATTATCCTTCTGGGTTGCGGTGGGTGCTGGAGCCTATCACAGTGGTCATTGGGCGGAAGGTAGAAAACACACTGGACAGGTTGACAGTCCATCGCAGGGCAGACAAACAGACACATACATTCACTCACACATTTGCACACAGGGGCAATTTAGCTTGTCCAATTGCGACTGCATGTCTTTGGACTGTGGGAGGAAACCCACACAGACACGGGAAAAACATGAAAACGCCACGCAGAAAAGACCCTGATCACCCAGCTGGGGAATCAAACCCAGACCCTTCTTGCTGTGAGGCAACAGTGCTACCAAGCGCTACCCACAAAAACACTTCTGTATATACAAACCTAGGCATTAATCCACCTACAAATGATTCAAAAGACTTTGGATTTTGTTGTTTTTATTGTTATAAATATTATCCATCTGCAAATTTCCATCAGCCAAGGAGCATCAGTAGGGTATGTGTTGCGTCAGCGTTTCTTGCTGCCTTTATTGGGTTTGGAGGTGGAAGTAGGCTTCTGGCTCACCTCTTTGGGTTCAGGAGTGACTGCCGTCTTGGCAACTGGCGTAACAGACTTCTTGCTCACTGGAAGAAAAAAAAAAGCTACCTGCAGGCACTAGTATGAATACGGCTGCATTTATCATACTGTACACTGATTTCCCACATATAAAAAACATAAAACAAACAACTTGTTGCTTTCAGAGAAAATCATGGTATCTCCAAAATGGTAACTTTACAGGAGAAGGAAAACATTTTCTTAATCAAATTATCTAAGCAATTTTGTGCCATTTCTATTGGTCTGTTCTTCAGATTTTCACATAATGTAAAGGACAGCTCAAAATATGCAAATCTACACAAAATGACTAAACAGACACATACAGCTTTAAAGTTGAGAGAGTGTGATGGGAATACAAAGTGAATATGATATGTTTGATGGCATTTCTGATGTGAATTTTAATATGTTCTGCTCACCACTGCTCTCTGGACTGGGCCTTTGGGGAATCTGTCTCTCTAAGACCTGGATCTTCTCCAGAGCTGCCTGCAGGGCTTCCTCTGCATTTAGAGCCCTCTCCTCAGCGCTGAAGGCACGAGCCTCTGCAGCTCTGACATCCCCCAACGCACACACACACACAGACAAACAGATTTGGCACCATTGCAGATTATAGAACTGGACATAGAGGATGGCATCCTGGACACTGATTAAAGGCCCTATATTCTAAATTTTCTTGTAGTTTACTTGAATCCACATATAACTAAATTATCCGTAATTCATTATAACACGTCCATTTTTTTAACCAGGCTGTTTCTGTTACTGTGGCTTTAAGACTGATGTATGTAAAGCTGTGTCCCAAATGGCACCCTGTGGTCCTCCTCCAAGTCCACAGTTTGGTAACATCAACAATGTACAGACACAAGGGGCAAGAGACCTAGAGTGCACTTGGCTTAAATGCATTTGGGACAGATTTGTGTAACATGCAGGGTGTGCACGTGTACGTGTGAGATTATGTTGGTTTTTCTAAATGAGTGAATGTACAGTGGCGCAATTCAGATTACAAGCATAATGCAGCTCAGCAAGTTACATTAATAAACAAATGAGTTTTCGAATACTAAAGTGCATTAAGCAGAAATACGATTTTGGCCATTTTCATACATTTTCAAATGTATTTGGCAAATACAGTTCATGTATATTTATTTTCCATGTGAGCAGTGCGCTTGCGGGCATCCTTCTGAATGCCACAATGAGAAATGGGACTCCCTCTGGCCTTGCAGTCCTCGCAGGCGTGCGCAAATTAGGAATGCAGGACTTTAATTGCGCCATATTAGACATGGCTTAAATGATCAGATGCCCTGTACCTTGTCTCATTCAAAAAGCAGTTGGGACTGAAATGCATGGAATAAACTGTTAGGTTTGGGCTTAAATGTCCTTTGATATCAAACATCACATCCATAATAAGTTCAAAATAAAGTTTATATCAAAAACAAAAGGAAAACATGGCTTTCCATGATACAGGTCCTTTAAGTCTATCCCTTTAATGGATTATCAACACTGGCTGTATATTCAGTTAAAAGCTAAAACTGTATCTCAGTATGTGTTCAGAAGTTCATGTAAAAGCCAATCAATCATTATCAATGATACTTACAGTAACTCCTGCTGAAGAACTCCCACAGTAGCCAGCGCACTGAAGGCTTGCTGTGCGTTCTCAGTGTGCGGCCGCCCTACGAGATCATTGGTCTGGAGCGCAAGTCAGAAGGTATTTATATTGATGCTTAATTGATTAGGTTCCACCATGAGGCTATTAGGATGTGGTTTAGGGGTAAATAATTGTGCCGGACTACATACCCCAGTGAGCTCCACAGTCTCTTCTCCCAAAGTCTGCTCAATGATGTGGCCATCATGACCTATTAGCTTCAGAACTGGACCTTCATCTGTGACCTCCTCTGTCTTCTCCTCCTCCCCCTATAGATACAATATATTCACTCCCATCAGCAAAATCAGCCTCCTGGACTGCAGGAGCAGGACTGTGTATTTTATGCGCTATGGATCAATAAGAGCCTCTCATAGATTTCATATGTTGTACATTCATGTGACAGTGATGGCGATGGCTAGCTGGGGGTGAGATTTCTGTGTGTTTTGTGAAGGCCACAGGCTGCTGGCTGGAGACTAATATATTTTCAGAGTAACTGTAAATATGTCACTGACCTGCTCATCAGTTTCTTTAGACGGATGAGGCCTACTATCTGCTTTCATGGCTTCCTGCTCCTCTTCCTCATGTTTTTCACCTTCTGCGGGCAGTTCTGGTTTAATATGGTCACCCACCTGACAACACAGACAGGTTTCACACATAATTCCAGTTCCACTCTCCGGCCATTAGCCAGCTTAAATCTCATTCATGATCTCTATAAATAACAGTAATTATCAGACCCGCTGTAGTGACTGGATCACCTGTCAGGTACCTAGAGTTTTTACTGAACAGGGAAAATTTGCTTTTAGCTACAGAGCATCAGTGAACTGGAATTTACTACAAGAGTCTCTACAACTCAGCTCACTCATGTCACTCAATCATTTTAAACTTTTAATCTCTAACCACCTTCAGACAGCCTGTAACTGTTTTAGTTTAGTTTAACTTTTCCTTTCTCCTTTTTACTTAATTTTATTATTTTTTTATTTACTTTTTTCTTCCTAATAATTTTATTTTACTTTATTTTATTTTATCTCGATTGTATTACTGTTTGTATTATTTTTGTGTTATTTTTATTACATTTATAATCTTTTTACTTGACTCTTAAATTTTAGCTTGCTATTTATCATTTTATGTTAAAATCTTATTAATTGGTTTATTATCTTGATTTTATTTTATATTTCTCCTTCTTAATCAAATATTATTGTTCTCTTAATTGTTTTGCTATTTATCTTGTCTGCTTTTTCTGTTAATTTGTTTATGTAATTTTGTTCATATTAGTTTAACCTGTTTAAATTCCATTTTCCTTTCTTTTCAGTCCCTTTAATGTTGTAAATACTCAGCTACACTGCAAATAAGGGTCACTCTCAATGTATTGCTGAGTGAAAATAAAGCTTGATTGATTGATTGATTGAATGAGCTGATACATGTAAATGCATTGGTTTTTGTGACATCACAAAAACAGTGAAATCAAAACAAGCCATTTTTGCATGGGCTGTATTGACTGGGGAGTTTTGAAATTTCATGTTTACAAATTCCTTCATTCAAAGAAGTGAGGAAATCCTGTCTTACATGATGTGGGCCCTTTAAGTAACATTTTGATGGATTTGTACTTTATTGAGAGTTTTCAAAAAGTATACAACTTTTACGTATATTCAAGTATATTTGTAAGGAACTGAAGGTACAGTACTCTGCAAAGTTTGCCATTGATCGGTTTAATTTCCAGTCAATACTGCCAAGTTATTCATTTTTCAGCATCAGGAAAAGAGCAGAAAATACACAGAAGCCTTAACAACTAAATTTAAATTTGAACTTGTCCCCTTTTTACCTTTATTACAGTTTCCATTCTTTTCAAGAGACTTGCTTTCAGTTTTTCAAAGAAATCTGCAGGGATATTTTTCCACACCTCCAAAAGTTCAGTCTTGGGGTATTCTCTGCTTCTCACCATCCAAGTGATCCCAAACACATCAATGATCCTGAAATCTGGACTCTGGGGTGGTCAGTCCATTGTTCTGAGAACACCAGCATCTTCTTTGTTTGATGTGTGTTTACTTTTCTCCTTTCAGACTCAGCTGTCTTCTCGTGTAAGGATGGACAGAAACCCTTGTGGATTGTTTCAGATCTGAAGCAGCTTGATTTTCTCCTCTCTCTCAAAGTGCTGTTTATCTGATGGGGGCAGTTTTGGTTTCTACCAGGTCTTGATACAGTTGTTAGGAGTCATTTTCTCTGTATCTATTATTCATTTTTTGAACTCCAGTTTCAGAAACTGTTTTTTCACTTATTTTCCCTTGACTTTCCTCTTCCTTAGTCAAGCAGATTATTGTATATGTATATTTCTCTGACTTTTGCAAAGTACTGTATTTTTACTCAGTACCATTAGTTCCTCAGTTTCATTTCGGTCCTTCACTTTTCATTTTTAAGTTCATTTCTGGGTTTGATTTCATTCTGTTGTGTTGGTTCAGCTCCTGAACTGCTGTACTTTTACACACACTTTTTTACTTTGGAGCAATACAATTTTATTTTAGACCAAAGGAATTCCAAAAGAGAAGAACAGAGCCAAACAAACTTCAGTTCTTACATGAGTAGATGCTAGATGTACCTCCAGTTCTACATGGAACTCAGGTTAGACTATTTTCACTTCTACTTGAGTCATTTTTTAATTAAAGAAACTATACTTCTGACTACTTTCCACACTCCTGCAAAAGCTGTAGTAGTGAAGAAGGCACTAAATGCACAATAAAATCTGTGTCAACTGGATTAATTTATCTTCTGAAGGTGGATTTCATACTGAGGTGAAACAGAAGTGAGGAACATGCTCACAAAGATTAACACAGGGCAGAAGAGATGAGATAAAGCTCACTAGAGAGTCCACGCTGGCCATTGTTGATGGGATGTCAGTGACAGACTGAGGCACAGCTTTCCCCTCCCGCTGCAGCTCCACAGGACGTCCCGTCATATCAGACAGCAGGATCTGACACACCTCCACCCACTCGGCACATTCCCTCTGAACATCGCACACACACAGAGGACAACACTTCATGACCTTTCTGAATGTTTACCAGTAGATGTAGCGACAGGAGACGATGGTCCTGCTCTGCCAAAAAATATTAGATGTTTCTTGATTTTTACTAATGAAGCTGTGAGGACGGTAGAAGCTGCTACCTGAAGCTTGGAGAGCTGGTACAGTTCATTCTCTTTTTCATCCTGGCTCAGGCTCTTCTGGACCTGCTCCTCCACAATGGCCTGACAAGAGCTGCAGGTGAGGATCAAACAAAGCTAGGTCATTCTGGAGTTATTCAGAGGCCTTCAAAAGTATTTGGACAGTTGCGCCATACTTAAAAAAAACACAAAATATTCATTTAATTTAAACAGATCATTCCAAGACTTCTGGCAAAGTATTCTTTTAAAAGGCAAAGAGTATGTTTTAGATTGTTATTGTGCAGATTTCTGCAGTTTTGCACTCAAACTGCCTTTGTACACATCTGAGTTTAAGAGAAAGAGCACTCTGCTGTTTGACTTTTCCACCTCTGCGCTTTACAGTACAGTGCAGTCTGGATGGAGTTCTCTTCCAGGACCTGTATTCACAAAGCTTGTTAGAGTAGAAGGGCTGATCTGGGATCAGATTCCTCTCTTATTTATGACAATGTTACTAGCAGGAACAGGATCAGCCTCCTAAGGGCCGGCGTTATGAGGCTAATTAGTTGTGCAATGCCCAATTATCTTACTTTTCATTTAAAAACAAATTGTCAATGTCTCTCTGGTTTATGGGATTCAGGGGGACTCTCAGACGAGACAAGATGGTATTAGCTGGGCGAAGGCGTGGGGGTGATTGTGTTTTAAGTGTTGTCACATATTTGACATATTCCCTTTTTTCATAAGTATTCTCTTAAAACAGTGTTGGTAAATGGCCTCCTCCATGTTTTCTGGTTCTCCTTGATTGTCCAGTTTAATACCGAAAGGGTTCCAGACAGCTGCAGTGATGCTGAAACCAACTTCATTTTGGCAGCGTTTATCTGGTCTCCAGACAGACAGACCAAACACCCCGATAAAGGGAGGCAGAGGCGCGAGGTTCCCCAGGTGGCCAGGATGAGTGTAGGTTAAGCTTAGCATGGGCTTTGAGAACTGACAAAGATGAGCACAATTTCATTATGTTCCATTAAATTATTGAGGGGGTTTTAAACTGGTGGTAAATGAGTTTTTACCATCACTGTGGTCTGTTTGGTAATTTGGTGAACCATCACTGGCCTAGGCACAGGTCTACTCTCTTGTTTATTCTCTCTTAAATGTGTGGCTCCTTTGGGCAGATCTACTATACACTTTTGTCCTGTATTTTCCTTAGCTGTTTTTATGTGTGTAAGAGAACGCTGTCACCTCCGGGACTCTCTGTGTTTTTTGGATGCCCCAATTAGTTGTAGGTCCGGCCCTGAACACTCCTACTCTGACAAGTGTCATGAATATGAGCTCTGGCTTTCTCCAAACAAACAATCAGAATCAAAGAATCAAACTAAGATTCATACAAAGAATGAGTGTGATGTCGTACTGTAAGTGTTTTTCTCCAGAGCTAATATGATTTCGTTAAATATTTTATAAAGCAACCTAAAGAACTTCAGTAGGGTTTACCTGTGGATACATACTTAAAATACTTTTAGGGACTACTGCACCGCACGAATTAACCACAGAAAGACTGCCTCTCGCAATCCTAAGTATGACTTGAATTAGCATCCAATAATGAAGATAAATCTGATATTCTAAAATTGCTTCAGGTTAGACAGTCAGTACCCTGTGATGTATTTGGAGAAGTAGTGCAGTTTCTGAGAGAGACTCTTGGCATCTTCCTCCAGCTTCTGAAGAGACACATCCTTTAAGATGCTCAATTCTGTGTTTGCTGGAAAAGGCGGCTCCTGGTCATCAAGACGATCGGGCACCATCTGCAGCAGCAAGTCTACCATCCAGCGGGTCAGCAGAGTGTGCATGGAACTGACCTGTTTGTTACAAACAACATCAGCTTTCCTGAGCCTGACCAGAAAACAGTTCACACTCAACATACTTAAACATGAAAATGCTATACCTCTTCACACAGTGTCATGTTTTCATAGTCGAAGAAGTTGTTTTGAGACAAGATGAACTCCCTTAGTGAGCTGAAGACATCATCGATTTCAATCCTGCCACAGGGGCAAAGGGTTTAGAGACAAATCAATTATGCAGCCTGCACCGACTGGCTCCTAAAACTCTTACCTGATGTGCAGCTTCTGTTTTATCTTCTCACCCTCTGGCTGGGTGCTGTCAACGTTCAGCAGGGCCTCCTCAGACAACTTCACCCAGCTCCCTAAGGCCTTCTCCAGCTTTAGCCAATCAGAGTGAGGCAAAACTTCAGGTTGACTAATAAAGGACTTCAGTTTGTTGGCCCAGAAATCCATTCCTCCACTCAGAGACATCAACTGTTGATGAATGCCTGTAGCAGAAGAGGGCAGTATGACACGTGTACATGAGCGCATATGTATATAGTTAATGAAAAGTACAGTACAAAACACAGAAGTCAGCACTGTTCATTCAGTTCATGTGTGTTTAATTATATCTGTAACCTTAATTAAAACTACATACAATTGAAAAAATATTTCAAAAACAAATAAATGTGTTTTAAATATATATTCAACAAATACTTTTTTGGCCATTTTCATATATTGCAAAAAATATATTTGATAAATACATTTAAAATATTTTATTTTTTTTCCATATGGGCAAACTGCACAGTGATCGCCCATTTCTGGTTTAGTTGTTTTAGAACCTTATTCCGGCGACAGCAAGACGTCTGCCAAGTCTCACCGCTCTCTCCATTGATACGGGTGCCCAGCTGCTTATGGAGCTCAGTGACAGCACCGCTCAGCTCCCTCATGGCCGCCTGACCCTGAGGTGGCTCTCCATCTGGGGCTGGATGTCTCCTGAACAGCTGCAGACACACCTCCACCCATTCTTCCTGCAGCTGAATAAGTGTGTTGAGAGTCTCCTGACCAGAGAGAAGGTCTTCTCCTCCATACCGTTCACACTCCATGGTTAACATCTTTCGCAGAAATGACAGTCATAGTGTGAAAGACTTGTTCTGAAAACAACGCTTTAAGAACCAATTAATCAATATTGTACATTTCTGACCGTTGACCATTGCTTCAAGTCTCTGAACAACTCCTCCTCTGAAGTCTTTTCAAATATCACATCTGGGCTTCTACAGAAAAGTAAAATAAAATAAATTATATCACAAATAAACCAAACAAAAACATTGTAACATGTCCCTTCTGCTTTACCTGATGTTAGCCTCACAGAACTTGTGCCACTTGACAATGTTATTCTGGATGGACCTCATGTTTTCACACTGCTTTCGCTCGGTTTCTCTCAGCTTTTCCATGAAGCTGGTCAAATTCTCTTCCCACTGCTCGGTCAGCTGCATGACACGGTTCAGGTCCTCAGAGTCCTAGAAAGCAGAGGAATGCAAGGAAACCTTCCTCAGTTTCTCTGTCATTCGTAACAGAGAACAAACGTCTTTGGAAGAAGTCCAGTGTAAAGAACTGTATGAGGAGTGTTTGTACCTTTGTGGTCAGAAAGACAGTGAAGTGCTCTGCCGTTTTGCTCCATGTCTGCTCACTAACATGAAGCCTGCTGACCAGCTGCAGGTTATTTAACTTAATAACCTGGAAGTGAGCTGTAATTTAGACTCAGGTCTTACAACACAGACAAGATCTCTTAAAAACAGTAAGGCTTTGGAAGTTGACTACACAGCACACAATTAACAATTAATACAAGATTCAGATCATTGTCTGTGATTATTATGCAGTGGTAGGAATACAGTAGTAGATAACTCCTTAGGCAAGACTCCTAACGAGGACGTTTTTTTTCTATGTCACCACATGGAGGCTGTGCAAACTGGATGAACGAACGTGCTATGCAACAAAGCCTGCGACTAGTCCAGGAGTCGGCAACACGTGGCTCCGGAGCCGCATGCGGCTCTTTTACTGCCCTGTTGCAGCTTCACAGCAGAATTAGATTTTTAGGTAAAAGTAAAATAATCCTCATCTGCAATAAAATAAAGCTCTGCTGATCATCCAGCACAGTTTTAACAATAAAAGGTCTTAAACACTGGAGTTAATGTAGCCTGTAACTGCTAATTCACCCTTTAACCCTGAAGGTTGGTGCGCAGACAGCTGGTCACCATAGCGACGCAGACAAGAATCTCGCCTAGCTAATAGCTAACAAAAGGCAAATAGAAAGATTTAAGACAAACATTGTTTATCTGGAGATGAATGGACTTATTTATAAGCACTCAGCTGGTTTCCTGAAATGTTCAGTCTGCAATGAGAAACTGTCAAACACTAAAAAGTTACGAAGCTGAGGTCTCGCTCGCCAGCTTCTTGTTCGGCTTTCCACGTTCCACCTTATATGGTGCAGCAGTTAGCTACATAGTTCGCTACATTCTGGTGGAATTTAAGGTGGAACGGGAAAATTCAAACAAGAAGCTGGTGACTGACAAGCTGACTTCAGCCTTGTAAAAAGTTGAACATTGAGAGACATTTTAAAAGAAACTATTCTACTTTTGAGGAAAATTTTCCTGCCAGAGATGTGAGGAAAGTGGCTATAGCTGAGCTAAAGCTTAAAGCAGAGCAAAGTAAGTCTGCGTTTTATATATTTTTTAGCCTATAGTAGGATATTAGAACACACATATTTACAGCCAAGATGGTGAAATAAATAAAATAAACATGATATGTTGTGATTCCCAAGGTGGTTAGATTTTTGTTGAAACTTGACAACATGGCTCTTCTTAACTTTGGATTGCCGACCCCTGGACTAGTCGATGCAAAAGAGGCACGCTATCATTCATAGACGGATAAGCTAAAATAAAAACTGCATAAAGTATGCGAGCTTGTAAGCTCACAAAGATAATTATACTATAGTATAGTACAGTACTGAATAGTAAATAGCAATATCCCACTGTAAAGAAGTTTTGGGAAGTATTGGATAAATTGTCCAGTATAGTCTCAATTAAGCTGCCTTAATGTACCAAAATGTGTATTTTTGGTGTAAACTAAAAGACTTTATTGCTACATGGGAAAATTTCTGAGACTTAATGAAGAATTATATGCCTCCATTATTACATATGTTGTGTTTCTTCCTCCTCATTTTTATATGTATAACGGAGAGCGTTAATAAAAATATTTAACAAAAAAAAACATAAAAAGAGCCCATGAGTTGTGTGGTCTGACCTTAAGAGCGAGGCTGTAGGTGACCTTGCTCCATAAGTCCCTCTCCTCAGTCAGTGTGGCCACCTGTCCCTCCAGCCTTCTCCTCTGCATCTCATATAGGTCATGGTACTCCCCAACCAAACTGCAACAGAAATCTACCTCTTACATACTACACCACACTACTCTACGTTATTTGCAGGCATTTTTGAAAATCAGTCTTACTGAAGGCCATATTCTTCAGTCTTCCGAGTAATATTTGTCTTATGTTCACTCACTCAGAGTTGCGTTGTGATTGCTCAAGTGCTTTGGCCAGCTGCTCCTGGGCCCTCTTGGCCTGCATGGACACATGCTCATCACACTCCCTCATCTTACTCAGCTCTCTGCAGCACAGCAATAGAGCAACACCAGAACGTATGCAGGTGGCTAACAGAGGGGCAACTGATGATGCTTTCACCGCACAGAGCAGAATTCTTCATGATTTCATTGTTGTTATTATAAACATATTGCTGCTGTCGGACTAAAACCTCGTTAAACTTTATAGAAGGAAAAACATACTTTAGTTTTAATGTAAGTCAACAGAACCAGACATTTTTCCTAGTAATTTTGGGCTGTTTCTTTAGGTCCATTTATTGTGAAATTTACACACAGTATAAAGGACAGTAGGTATTTTCAATTTATGTCTTACAAGGTTTTGGTCCAACAGCAGCCATATACAATCTGTAGTTAGTTTAGAATGTCAATGAGATCATTTTAATGCATGTTGATATACAGATGGCAGTTTAGAACATGAGAGGTGTTGCAAGGCTCTTCAGGAGTTCTTTAGCAAAGAGAATAGATCTATATAGAACCATGAACACTCAAAGAACTCTTTGCATGATTAAAGGGTTTCTTTGCATCATTAAAAGGTTCTTCAGATAGATGGAAAATGTGCATGAATGTGCTATAGACGCTTCTATATAAAACCTTTTTGAAAATGGTTCTGTATAGCACCCAAAAGTGTTCTTCTATTGTTACAAGCTTGACATCACTATATAGAACCATTTTCAAAAAGATTATACATATAACCATCTGCAGCGCAGCCTCCATCAATCTGAAGATCGCTTTCATGATGCAAAGAACACTTTAATCGTGCAAAGGGTTGTTTGACTATATAGAACCATTTTCTTTTCCAAAGAACCCTTGAAGAACCATGTTTTTAAGAGTGTAGGATTGTGTAGGTGATGTAATATTAAAAAGGGGATTTACTCATTAAGCTGTGTGATGGAGCGCTTGAAGCAGATGAGCTCCTCTGTCAGCCGTCGGTTCAGAGCTCTCTGTGCCAGGGTCTCTGTATGCAGACCCTTAAGTTGCCGTGGGATACGGTCCAGCAGAGCAACATACCGCCGCCTACAGGCAAAGCAAGGTGACTTTATTCATACAGAGGCTTTTGGATTGTAGTAGTGCCCCAAGGCACCAATACATGCAGCAATAAAATGATGACAATGTAAGCGAAAATGAAAGAAAAATCAGAAGAATTGATGGTAACATTTAGGTTTAAACTTCAGGTTTACACTTACAATTAACAACTTACATTCACCTGAACATCAATTAGATTCACCTTAATTTTCCCAAACCCTTAGCCTGATCCTAACTCTAAACTTAGCCCAAAACCTAAACCTCACCCAGCTCCTAACCCTGATACTAATCCTTACTCCAACCCCAACACTGTTGAGAATTACCTGATAGTTTATTAACAGTTTGAACACTGTAGATAATCGTTAGAGGGCTAAAGTGTACCATAAAAATGAAGTGAGACCAAATTAACATCCACATTATCATGAAGAGGCAGGACTCGGACTTGATATTTTAACTAAATAGATTCTGATCTCATTTAAATTTTAAAAAACATATCTGAATACCACACACACTCACCTGAGTTTGGCTAGCAGCTGGCCCCTCTCTGCACACTCCACACTCACCTGCCGGATCAGCTCGTGAAACACAATGTTGTAGATGTTCTGCTCCACACGGACCAACTCAAGCAGACCTTGCATCTAAAACACAAAAGAAGTGTCTGTGTGTTCTTTTTCTTATTATATCATTTGTCCAATAAAATTCCACGGATTATTCAACATGTGTGTAAATTTAAATCAGCAAATCAGCAAATACTATCAGTCTTAAAATCGGTCTAATGCACCAAAAACAGCAGTAATCCAGTTTTACATGACCATTTTCCAACCTTTCTTAATGCCTTGAAAATAAACAGGCTGTTTTTGTTACTGTTCCAGTAAGACTAGACTGATACACTAACCTAGCATTTTATTAGGAACACCTCCTTGTTTCCACGCTCATTGTCCATTACATCAGCTCCACGCACATATAAGAGCACTTTGTAGCTCTGTAATTACAGACTGTAGGTCAGGACCCCCACAGGACCACCAAAGAGCAGGAGTCATTTGGGAGTTGGATCATTCTCTGCAGTAACACTGACGTGTGGTGGTGTGTTAGTGCGTGTTGCACTGGTCTGAGTGGATCAGACACAGCAGTGCTGCTGGAGTTTTTAAATACCTCAGTGTCACTGCTGGACTGAGAATAGTCCACCAACCAAAAATATCCAGCCAACAGCGTCCTGTGACCACTGATGAAGGACTAGAGGACGACCAACACAAACTGTGCAGCAGCAGATGAGCTATCGTCTCTGACTTTACAACTACAAGGTGGACCAAGAAGGTAGGAGTGTCTAATAGAGTGGACAGTGAGTGGACACAGTGTTGAAAAACTCCAGCAGCACTGCTGTGTCTGATCCACTCGTACCAGCACAACACACACTAACACACCACCACCACGTCAGTGTTACTGCAGTGCTGAGATTGACCCACCACCCAAATAATACCTGCTCTGTGGTGGTCCTGTGGGCGTCCTGACCACTGAAGAACAGGGTGAAAGGGGGCTAACAAAGTATGCAGAGAAACAGATGGACTACAGTCTGTAATTGTAGATCTACAAAGTGCACCTATATGGTAATAATCATGTTTGACAACTGACATTTCCCAATCAGACGCTCCCACTGAAGCACTGTTCAACAAAACCTATTTGATTCTATTTAATTTTTTGTCCATATTATATTACATTTGCTGACATTATCGATTATTAGAATTTTAAGCTCATTAAATTGGTGTTGTGGCAAAATGTTCATATCAGTCTGGCCCTAATTAGTCCTAATAAACTCAGCTATCCTGGTTTTCATAATGATATTTGGATTGAAATAATGCTGTTCAAATGAGTGAAGCGCCTAACTGGTCAATGTGTATACTGTAGGCAAAGCATTTTACTAGAAGCAAATGAGAAATAATACAGTCATGTATAAATTGAGTCTAGTGAATACTGTCAATCACTGAACCTCATGATGCTCAGTCAGTTTAGAAATGCATACTTGTGAGAGGCCAGTGAGCTCCTCAAACTCTTGATTGACGCCTGCTTTCTCCAGCATATCATCCATCACTTTCATTAGCTGCACTGCCTCCAGACGTCCACTGGGCTTCCTAATGACCATCAGAGGACACAACTGTTTTTAACAAGCTTTAGCTACGTTATAGCATGATAACACATACTACATTGCATAGTCATGATCACTGTAAGTAAACATTATAGCACAAACAAACAGCAGCTTTTGGATTTTATTAATACTCACATTGATGGAAAGACTTTGAGCTTCTTTTTATCGTCCTCTAACAGAACTGTGAATTTGCTGAAATAAAATGGAAAAAAAATGTATTCCTACCACGACTGTTGTAAGAAAATTTCATATTGACAAAATACAGGAGAAAATCCTCAACATCTCATTTCATTTCATGCCATTTTGTATTTCTATTGGCCCATTCATCATGAAATGTTCACACCATGCAAAGGACAGCTGGCTTTTCCAAATCGTGTACAAGATCCCTGAAAAATGTATGTAAGTTTTTTAATGAGAGTAATGCTGTGTTAACATGGAAGTCAGCTAAAAAGGATTTGTAAGTTTAACTCTTTGATGTCCTCACCAAGAGAATAAGCAATTTTTGTATTTTTTATTTGCTTGGGGCAGCAATAAAAACGATTGGTTTTTTCCATTTTTTTGACCCCACAATTTTTAAAATATTCACGTCTACCAAATGGTTGAGATGGCACTTCGTGGCATGTATAGTGACTCAAAATGTGCTCTACCAAATGGTTGAGCAAAAACATTAAAGGGTTAAAGGGGAATTCCACCGTTTTTTCAAAATTTCAGCATGTGAAATGCACCGTTGTAGAGAAACGGCGCATTTCAAGTCAGGAATGTTCACAGTAGTGGTGATAGGAACCAGGCGTCTGAATAGTTTAATGATTCTAAAAGCTCCATCACAGAAAGTTATTATATAAAATGATTAAAAATATGCTGCCTGATGACTCAGACTATGAGTGTGTTTACATGCACTCAATAAGCCTATCATAATCGGATTTCTGCAGTTCTCTGATTATTCAAATGGTCACGTAAACAGCATACTCTGATTTCTTAGATCAGAGTAAGGTCTAGAAATCTGATTAGGAAATCTGATGAAGAGAGCTGGATTTTAGCTCAGTAATCAGATTTCTCAGTGTATGTAAACTCTTACTCCGATTTCTTTTGGATTTCTCAGTCTGCGCATGTGTTTAAGTTTTATGCTACGTGTACGTCACGTCATCTTCTGCAAGTTTATTGGCTGGCTGCAAAGCAGAAATCCGATTACTGTCTGACTCATGTAGACCTGGAGTTTGCACATTATCTGAATACTCAAGTGCATATAACACGTTGATCGGATTACTGACAAAATCTGATTTTCTGCAGTTATCGGATTATTAAGTGTATGTAAATGCACTCATTGTTTTACAGTAGGTTTAAGAGTTTTAAAAAGTTTTGGCCTGAAATGTATTTTTTTAAAAGCCATTCATAGCAGAGAGATACATACAGGGTATTGTGAGGCAAAACAGTCCCCAAATGAAACAGATTTTTTTAGATTTACCACCACAGTGAAGAAATCGAGTTGGGAAGTTTCTCAATAATCAACCATTTAACAACAAACCACTCTGACTGACACAGAAATTAGAAATTCTCCTTTTAATTTCTAACCAGAGCTGCAGTACTTACTCATCATAACACTGCAGTCCTCTCAGCCCTTTATGTTTCACTATGTGATATTCTGCTGGGATTAAAGTCTCCATGGAAAGTGTATCCTGCATTTAAAATCAGAAGATAAACGTAATCATGTACAGAAATGTTATGGTTAGAATAACCATTGTCTTACACCTGCCTTCTGAATATCAACTGATTGAGTGGTGCTCCTGTCAGTCATCGGCGGGAGGGGCATTCGCTGCTTCTGAGCTGCCAGGGCATCACAAAGAAAGGAGATATCCCTATTCACATACAGATACAGACAGTGAGGCTTTGATACTGAATTTGGCAACAGTACCTTGTTTGTCTAGGTGACAGTTACACTGCATGACATAAACACTTCAGTATATAAGCATTCTTGATTGTAGGTCCTTAACCTGCCAGCTCCGGTCACTGACGTGGGTTGATCAAGAAAGTACTGGTATTTTTTGCGGCCAAAAGAATGGTGCCATACTGGATCGGGTGCGCGTACTCCACAAACCTACAATAAAACCAGCACGTGGTTGGATGACTGCAATAAAAGATGGAGACGGTAGCTTCGTCTGATTTCTGCACAAACCTTTAAGTGTTTTGGGGTTTTGGTCAGCCTGGGTGGGCCCAGTCTGCCCTGGGCGCAGACGGCTGAGGTGAGGGTGGTGAGCAGTTCGTCTGGTATTAAATCGTTTTGCAGAGGCAGAATCTGCAACTGGGCTTGGTCGCTCAGTGGTGATGTCTCCTTTAATTCTGGGAGTTCAGGGAGTTCAGGAACACCTGCATAGATGAAGATGAGAAAAAGGGAAAGAAGAGTGAATGACGGCTTGTTAAGGAATTAAATTAAGAGACCTTATTAGTCCCACAACAGGGAAATTTCACTTCCGCAATCTAACCCAACCATGCAGTGAAACACCAAATACACTAGGGGGCAGTGAGCACACTTGCCCAGACTGGTGGGCAGCTCTATCCGCAGCGCCCAGGGAGTAGTTGTGGGGGTGTGGGCCTTGGTCAAGGGCACCTCAGTCACATACTGTCAGCTCTGGGGATCAAGCCAGCAACCTTCCATTCACAGGGCTGGTTCCCTAACCTCCAGCCCACGACTGCCCCATGACTGCCTGACTGAAAATATGAGCATACATGATAAATATTAGTCTTTGGACATGTTCACAGTCAGGTCAGTCAGATCTCAAAATACAGAGATGGGCAGAACAGCTCTCAAGAAAAACGGCTGTTATTTCAGTGAAAGTAGAAGAAGAAGTAACTACTAAAAAACGACTTTAAAATGTTGAAAAAAAAAAACCAAACAAAAAAAACAAAAAAAAACAAAATCAAAATTAGGTCCAAAATCCAGTCCAGAAGTTCTCTAGAGGTGCCTTGATGTACTAAGAACTTCTTAGCACATCAAGCACCTATCAGTATAGGAGCTTAAGTTTGTTAGGCCCTATTCCTTTTTGTGATACTTTTGGCCTAAAACATTCTTGAGATTTCTTAAGATTGTCTCAAAGAAATAAAGTAGATCTCAATATTGTTTTAATCAATGATCACTGATTTGTGATTTGTTTCTTTCTCCTAACCCCCACCCCCCAGGAGACAAGAAGAGATTAACGTAGGCACTTCACTGTAAGTCGTTTTAGTAATAAATGCAGAAAGCATGAGTTCTCCCTCTGCACTGACAGACTGCTGACAGAGTTCTGTGATATAGAACAGATCTGTATAAGAAAATTATGAGATCTTACACTTTTCTTATGGAAATATTATTCAACTAGGACTACGGTGAGATGAGTCAGAAACAAAAGAATTAATCTATATGTGTGACAAGGGTTATTTTTCAGCCACCACCAACAGTGATACTTGAGATTAAGAGGAGATCTAATTTCGAATATTCCTGATAGCAAGAGAATAATGGGCCACTGCTGGGCCACTGATGGCAAAGCTGGCGGTCCACTGGCGTTTTGCTCAGCATTTTCTGGGCGGCCCACCGGTGTTTAAGCAGAGTATTAGACCAAATTCCACTTATCATTGCTTATTTTCCACTCACAGTCCAACTTACTTATTTTTCCTTCCTTTCTTTAGTTATACTTTGTAAATTAGTTTCATAAATAATTTTACTCCAGCACAGTGTCAGCAACATTTTCGATAAAAAAAAATTATATTAGGCCATGTCATTATTTTTTTCTCTCTCAGGCATTTGTAATATTTGTCTTAGTTTATTTTCTGAAACAAAAGACTTGCATTTGAAAAATGCATTTAAAATCTGTTTGGAGAGATTAAAAACTAGGCAGAGCTTGTATGCAGTACAATAGTTTGGGTGGTCCAAGGGTGGTCCAGAAGTGGCAAACAGTCGGCGGGGTGCCGACCTTATCAAGTCAGTGATTAATGCTCGCTGTCTGGGTATTTCTTTTTCCTCTGGGGAAGCAACAGCGAATCAGACCTGGAGCTGAATCAGGAAAAATGAGGAGTAAGTTAATTTCGTTTAAAGGTTCCATTCCACCTTAAATGGTGCAGCAGCAGCTCCATTCCTGCAGGCGCCAGAACGTAACCGCTTCACCATTTAAGGTGGAGCAGATAATTCGAAGAGTGAGAAAATGTGGAGGAGAAACTGTATTTAATTTGTAAGTCAGTGTGTAAACGTGAGTAGTTCTTAAACTCCTCGGGCTGTATGAGTGAGTTAACTAACTTACTCACCGTCGCTTTCCTCCACAGAAGACACCACAGAGGTGTTGAGTCTCCTCCTGCGGCTCTCTGGCTTTGGGAGAACAGGCGGTGACGGACTGGACTTGAGCGACGCGGCCATCTTCAGCTGATTAGCGCAGTGGAGCAGATAACATCACAGAACAGGTCCGTAAAAGGGAGGAAACTAAATAAACCGCCGTGTTTCTGACATTCCTCATGATACAGACTACAGAGAGAGAGAGAGAGAGAGAGAGAGAGAGAGAGAGAGAGAGAGAGAGAGAGAGAGAGAGAGACCTCCTGCTGGACAGTAAGAAAGTCCGTTGCTATGCACGCGCCGCGTTTCCATGCAACTTTCCACAGGCAGAGCGCGAGATTAGCTGAAGAGAAACTACAGTTTAGCCTTAGCTAACTTCTCTAACCTCGTTTTCTGGGAGGTTTATTTAGCGTAACTGAACCTCTCAGAAGTTTAGTTATGCTGCTAAAAGGTATAACTTTTTTTTACAGGGCAACTCCACCGATTTTTTTCAAAACGTCTGCATAATTAAACGGTTAAAAACATTCAGAGCGGTTTGGTGTGAAACGCTCCGCTCTAATTAAACTACCGAGTAGGAACTGTTTACAGTGGAGGTGATAGGAACCAGACATCCACCTCTAAAAGCTCCCTCACAGAAAGTTATTACATGAAATGGTTATAAATAAACTGCCTGATCTCCCAGACATTGTTTAACGATCATTTTTGGCCTAAAACATCTTTTAATCTATTCATAGTGGAGGGATACACGAAGGGTGTTCTTTGGCAAAATAGTCCCCAAAGAAAACGTGTTTTTTTTTTTTTCAGATTTACCACTATTTTATCATCATTAACATTACATATATAAACTCAGAAGACGTGTAGGTTCACTGGTTGCTTTAGATAGTAAATAAATATCTATATTTGTGTTGTAGATATTGTGACCCCTGGTTCCTATCAGCACCACCGTAAAGGAATCTGTGCTTTGTTCATATCTCAACCACTGAATTATACAGGCATTTTGGAAAATCAGTGGATTTTCCATTTTGTCAGTAATGATATATTTGAATGTGATTTTAACGCTACACTAAGGAATTTGAGTCAAGAAGTGCAGAAGAAAGGTCCAGTCAGTGGTGTAGCATCAGACATTTTTATTCTTATTATTATCATTATGGGATATTTAATAAAATTATTAGAAGTGCACAATGTTATCTGAATCATATTATTATCAAAAAAAAAAAAGAAAAGAAAAAAATTAAACCAACATTTGACTCTGGCTTCTATGCTAAATGTCTATTTTTCATTAATTATACTGTATTTGTAACCCTAAATTCTCTGTAATGCTATTCATGGTAGTTCAGACCCAAATTCTAGATTTTGTAAATCTTAATCTATTTCCATCAGTAGATCTATATATGCAAAAATATTGGATAACAGTGTTAGCCCCCAATTCCTATATAGGTGCATCCCTAGAAAATATGCAACTAGAGGTGGACGATATGGCAAAATGCAATGTCACGATACTTCATAAAGTTTATTATGATACATATCACACTATGTTTTACGACATTTAAGTAGCACCACATTTTAAAAATACTATCAAAAACTATAAATTACTTGTCTTCAACATTTAACACACTGTACTGCACTAAATCCAATTAGACTGTTTTTTTTTAATAAAACGCACACTTAGGAAGCAGTTTTTAAGTATTGATGATATCCACAGTATGATCAGAAAGGCATATTGTGATTTATCACAATAACAATAAGTGTCATATTACCCAGCCCTAGATCCAACACTACCAACATGTTCTGCTCCTGTCTACGGAACATAACCATTTACTCCACCTTTAAAGAAAAAAGTATTTATTACTTAAAAACGAAGTTGATTTTTGAAACTTAAGATGCCAATGAAGTATGCTAATCGTTAGTAGTATCAACACCTCAAATTTAAGTTCACTAAAGGCTCTTCAGCATCTAACCGAGAATTTTTAAGTCAACAGTGATGCCACACTGTTATAGTTATAATAGCAGATGGACAACCGACCTTTACCCTGTCTATATTTTTTAGAAATGTAACATTTTCTACCTGATCTGTTAGCCCTTTACATTTTTAATGAAACTCCAGCTTTTAAATTATTGATGAAAGTTCAATAATTCATTGTGTCAGCTGATGCCTCGGCCACTAACCCACCTGTGTCCACGGAAAAGTCTGTTAAATGTTTTAACTGTTGTGAAACCTGATATAAATTGTGTAATTTCTTTTCTTTTTAAAACCATCTTATTCCTCCTTTTGAAATAGTTTTAAGCACATAAAGCAATGTTCATGGTTTATCTGAATAAAAATAAGCCTAGACCCAGTCACACGTTTATTAAATATGTACATTTGATTAATAAACAGAAGATTAAAACATGCTAGATGCCATCACAGCAGTTAAAGTGGAGGGAAGGCTTACACTGCTGAGCTGTGTGAGCAGTGTACTAGATCACAGGTGGCCTACAGTGATGATCTGAACATCGTCTCCTCGTTCCTCTCCAAAAACACACAAGTTAAAATATACGGCACAAGCAACAACCCATCATTCATATGAGCAGCCTTACATTGGGTTAGTACTGACATAACTGTAGAGTTTATAACCTGATTCGTTTCTGAAGTGATACATTTTCTCCATTCAAAGCTATACAGCTGTTTCCTCCCCACAGATTAGCTTAGTCAATAATTTAACCACCTTTCTTTAATGATATGTAGATATTGTAACCATCACAGTATATCATAATTGTTATTATCTTTATCCTTTACAGGACTAAAGACAAAAGAGAGTTCTTGCACAGTTCTTCAAACGTGAGGTAGCCCTTCAAACAAGTGTCAGAGCAGGTGTTCCTGAGTTCTTTTCCAACTGTGCGTTTCTGCGACATTAAGTGAAGTCCTACTCTAGCTGAGGATCTTGTGGTAAGGGTGGAGTGTCAAAGAGGAGGTGAAAGCGCGGATGTCGGTGATCATGGTGGCTTCAGGGAGGGATGCTGAGGGCAGCAGGAAGGTGAGCTTGGACACCTCTCCATATGAGGAAGACTTGGCTGTGCTGTCCTCGGTTTTCTCTGCTGGATCAAGACAGGTATGGTCATCTCCATGCTGCTCATTCTCCTCTTTCCCAAAGCCAACAACCTGGTAGGAGTCAGAGGCATGATGAAATCAGAGGCAGCAGCATTAGCACTGGTGTTAGCAGAACCTGTCCAAATATGGTTAAAGTGAATGTTTAACCAAAAATCTAATTCACAGTTTTTTGTAGGCAATCAACCAAGAGATGCTTGGTGTCTAAAGTTTCCTTATTTAGTTCAGTTAGCATTGTGCAAACTGCATGTCTAAATCATCACATGCTTAGGCAAAAAAGAGATACTGCACACAAAATGGACAAGTGTCGTACCTAGCTTAAACACTAACGGTCTAAATTTTGTCTGCAATTTTGTAAATTTTTATAGAAAATACAGTTGAAAAGAACTGCTCACATGTAGCACACTGATGTTTAGCAAGTGTCTGTGATGTGTTTATCCACAACAATTGATGCTGAATATTCCAACAAGACAATGCAAGATGTCACATGGTTCATTAAGTGAAATTCAGGCACGATTTAAAACCGATTGAGATCTAAGTTGGTAAATGTGTGGAGAAGAAAAACCTAATCACTATAGATGGTTTCTGGAGAGCTCCTTGAAATCATTTAAAAAAAATGTAACAAAGAGTGTGAGGTTGTCTTCAAGACAGGAGGAGCTACTAAATGCTGATAAACACTATAAACTTTTATTGTGTGTTTACTATTTTGTTTTCATTTTTGGTGTGTTAGTGATCATTACAAATAAAATATGCTTTAAGCAAATGTTTTTGACAGTGTAGTGTTTTGTAGGTCCTCTAGTCTTGAAGACAACCTTACATTGATTTGACATACTTTTTTAAAATTTTATAAAAATCATTTTTTAAAACGTTCATTCTTCTTTGCTGTCTACAGACCGTCCACAGTAGATTTTTTCTGACACATTTCCCAAGATTACCTTAAAAGATCTCAGAGGGTTTTTATTTCAGGCAAATGAGTGATGGTTTAACCATGCAGTTTGCACAGTGCTAACGTGGGCTATAAACTTCCACTATTTGTTGGCTACATTATCCTCATAGTTCCAGTGCAAAACTAATGAAGCAAACTTTGGACAACAAACATGGTTAATGGACTGCATTTGAAGTCTGGGGAAAGTTGTGCAAATTTGATTTTTGGTAAAACTAATCCAAAAAAAACCAAGATGTCCTAAACAAAATAAGCAGTGATGTAAGCTGATGTATGGTGCATATGTGTAGATTTGCACTCCTACTGTACATACATGTACGCTGAGCTTCCTGCTCTCTGCACCTCTGTGTTGCAGGAACCAAGACACCAGCTCTGCTTTGGTCATCTGCTTCAGAGCTTCTATCTGTCAACCAGAAGAACACAGTGCAAAATAGGTTCACTCACATGGAGAATGATTTCCTTGATTTTGCTTTTAGGAACCCAGTATTTAGTTGCGCAGGATACAGGAAAAACATGAAATATCAGCATTAATCCACAGTTCCCATATCGGTGCATCCCAAGTCAGGTCAAGAGTCAAGTCTCTAGTATTTACAAACAAAAGAATTATGTTTCGAGAACTCAAGTCAGGCAAAGTACTAAAAATCATTTGTGCAAATTCAAAAGTGAACAGAAGCTAAAGCGTCAGGGAGCAGGCCACGTAATGTGTTCTCTCACCTCTTTACTGAGTCGGTCAAACACATACTGCTGGGTGACGACCTCAAACCAGTTCCTGTCCACCTCCTCGCCGAGGTGTGTGTCCTCACACTCTTTCAGCTTGATCAGAGCAGTGACCTGAGTCTGAAACGCTTCACCCGTCAGATTGGTCAGTTTTTCCCCAAAGTTGACCAAGAACTCTTCAATTTTATTCTCCACAAAGTCAGTGCTGTGAAAACCAAGAGGATGAAATGATGCTAAGTGGTAGTAATGCAAGGTAAACATGACATAGCCATAGATATGATACTGATCAACTTGCAGAAAAATGTAATATTTACATTTTACTTGTAGTGGATGTGTTTAGCCATTTTGTATAAATTATATGATGTGATATCATTGTTATTGTAACAAAGGTTCCTATGTTAGAAATGGCACCATTATAAGGCCAGTCACAATCCTGAAATTTTATAAGACATTTGTCATATAAATAATCATGATTAACCACCTCTTTTTGTTTCATAGTATGGAGCTATTAAAGTACAAGCCTAAAGTGGACAAATTAGCTGATTAGCAACTCTTGCTTCCTAGCTGTCAAAATTTAGTACCTCCAAACTGATGACAGAAACAGCTTGAACAAACATTCCTCACTGCTACACTCTAAAGGTAGAGCACCAGTCAGAATTTAGAGCATAATCTGATTTCTTAGATCAGAGTAAGGTCTAGAAATCCGATTAAGAAATCCGATAAAGAGAGCTGGATTTTAGCTCAGTAATCAGATTTCTCAGTGCATGTAAACTCTTACTCTGATTTCTTTCACATTCCTCAGTCTGCGCATGTGCGAAAACAGACAGCAGTACAGGAAATAAGCAAGCAGCATCGCCGCAAGATGGAAGCAAAACACTTCTGGAGCAACACTGAAACCGACTACATGCTCTTCTAGATGATGTATGTTCATATTTTCAGATGGAGTGGTGTGATGTTTTATAAAAAAAAAAAAGCCACGGCATGAAGACATTACATTTACATCACGTCTTCTTCAGTGACTTTATTGGCTGGTTACAAAGCAAAAATCCGATTTCTGCCCGACTCATGTAGACCCGGAGTTTCCCCATTATCTGATTACTCAAGTGCATGTAAACACGCTGATTGTATTGCTGACAAAATCTGATTTTCTGCAGTTATCGGTAATGTGCATTTGCCTCAAACCAACAAATCCAAGTGCATCAAATTCACATTTTGTTTATTGTGATTATGTAATATTTTGACAGGCCTAACTACTATAAACTATATACTAGAATGCTGTTAATGTGAAAAATTGCTTAATGTATTTTAATGTAACATTTGTAAAATTTTTATTGACATTCATTATGAAATGGCTTTTTCAAATGGTGTAAAGAATTAAAAAAACTGAGGTTTTGATATGACATCAGCAATTTATTACTAATAATGGTCTATTTCTGTCTCCATTAGAATAGTGCAGAATTTCTGACTTGGATTGGTAACAGTGCATGGTATTTAAAGTAGCAGAGTTGAGACTGACACCAAAACCCTTTCTATAAATGGGAGCTAAGAACTTACCTGAACTTGGTTGCTTGAGTCTCTACAGTAACTGAGAAGCCAAGGACACCGGAGGTGTTTCTGCAGGTGGGGTACACCTGATATCTGTAGGATTGGATGGGATGGGATGGAAAGAACATCCATTCACTTTCATCAGCCATAACTACTCAAGGACATTCAGACTGTTATAGAAGTCACTGTAATAAATAAATAAATCTCAGCTGACCCTAGAGTTTCTTTGGTCCTTAGGAAATCAAAGCAGGGTTCCTCCATGTGCATCTGGTCGACAAAAACAAGAACAGCATGAACACATTAATAATACGAACATCTCCAGTGCTCATGCAGTCATATAAATGAATCATGGTTAATAAGCTCTCACCACTAGCAGCTCCATCAGCGTGTGCTCTCGGAGGTTCTTGAGCCCAGACTGAAGAAACAGAGAAAAACATCAGCTTGGGCAGAACATATGATATTAAAAATGAAACACCCACTAGCACAACTTCCATCCTTCCCATATGACACATTATTTTTGGTCAGAACGTAAAAGGACAAAGTCTGTAATTCATCACTGTCCACTTGAACTGACAATATTTTACTGGCATCAGAAAATGGTCCTGTAGTCCACTGGTCCTCGAACCAGTCCTGAGGACTCAGAAGATCCACATTTTTACACTATTCAAACTCCCAAACACAAGGGGATAGAGCAAAAATGTGGGGAGTCCCGAGGACCTGTTGGAGACCCACTGCTATTGGCAAATGAATGGAAATGTAATGCAATAGGAGGTTTTATGTATCAAAACATTTTTGGAGTGTTTGGCTGTCATCACTGTAACATCATTATAGTATAAAATCATAGTCACACTCGATATTTGCAGTTTGTGTCACCTTGTAAAATGGGTTTCACCAAGGCTGGTCCGAGGCTGGTTTCTGCAGTTAGCAAGCTAGCTAACACGCTAACCATAACAATAACAACAAAAAGTGAGCATAATTACATCAAATATCTACATACCCATAAGAGTATAGTGCTGCACACTAATCTGTAACAAAAATGTGGATAGCTGGCATGTTTGGTGGCAGTGGGGTGACTTCTGTGCAGCTGCACTTAGTCAAGGACCTAACATCACAGTAAGCGAGCTGGCTAACTCGTCTACCAAGAAAAAGTAAAGAAAGTAAAGAAAATTATACGGTCTCCCAACTGTTTATCATGTCGTATCTCTTTTATATGTTTATTTATAGCCAGAGGATACGAAATGTTAAAAAGGTCAAGCTTAGACTCTACTACATTTAGAGTTTCCCCAATTTTTGGGTTCAGATCTGCTATACGAAGGGCCGTCCCATCAGACGTCAACATAGCCAAAGCAGTAGCACTACTGGTCAAAGATGTGAATTTGCGTGTTAAAGCTCATCCACATTTGAACTTGATGCAAAGTTTTATGCACAAAATTTGTTTGTCATGGAAGTCTGTAAAGCAAAACTGCTTATCGTGGCTAATTCGATTGAAATTAATGTTATTTCGCTTGCCTTAACATCAAACGCTTAAATATAGCAGGGTTAAACATACAAACAGGCTTAAACACATACAAGAATAAACCAGTGACACAGCTATAGAGCGATTTTTTCCTAATCACTCTGAAGAGAGCCCTCAGAAGTTGTAGTCATTTTTGACATGTATCATGACTGAGAAATACCTGATAATACACAGTGACCTCAGAGTTGGCGTCACTTTTGTTGAGGGACTGGACCTTACACAGGTGATGCTTCTGTGGGAGTTCCACAACTCGGAAGAGAACAGGAGGCTCAGCTTTGAGAGGCTGGAACTGGAGCCTCCTACAGATTAACGAAACAAGTCACCAAGCAAGTTCAGACTAGACCAACACACAGAAACATAGTCAACCATATTACTTGTGATGTATCATTTACATCAATGTGGTTGTGTTTTAGCATAATAGTCAGCTGAAGAGTTGAATGAGTTGTATCAGAGCAGGACAAACCCCAAAACAAGCAGGGCATGCATAATCAGAATTGAGAAGTTTTGATACTGACAAAAAGGAAAGAAAGTTACGGGACTTACTCGACAAAATACTGCAGGAACACTTTGGATTCCTACAGAAATAGAAGTACCACAGCAATTAGCATCTTTCTTACACACAAGTAATACTGATGTTATACAGATACTCATAAAGCATATTTGTGAATAGGAGCTTCACGAACTGGGGAGGAAACTCAAAAAAAAAAATGCTAAAGTCAAAAGAGACTCACAGCACTTGTGAAGTTCCCCTGCACAAGCCCTTCCACATACATCTCGGCCTTGAATTTGGTGACAAATTGCATTAGATCATCCATGGTGAGGTTCTTCATGATGGCCTGGTACTTCTGAATGACTGACCAGCGACAATGCTCCAGGATCTGCAGACGCACATCTCTGTGACAGAAGAGAAAACAGTCAGTCAGGGATCTGATTTACATCAATCAGGGTATCTAGCCCTTCTCCAAGAGATCATATACGCCTGCTCAAGCTATTCAAGAGGTCTGAGCTGAACTGCAGGAGCATAGCCGAATATCAGTGGTCATGCTGTTCACTAAAGCACACATACTTTCCAAGTCTCTCTGGCTTGATAAGAATGTTGAAGTACGTCTTCTTCAGCTGCTCAGTAAACATGCTGAATACGTCAGGAGCTGCAGTGAAGTCTGCCAAGTGGTCCACAATCAGGTTCAGTAGCAACTGGGGAGATACAAGGTAAAGAAACAAAACTCTGGAATAACAGAGGACTGAGCTGAAAATGCCAGAAAAACAAGTATGTGCTCTGAAATGTACAACTTGGCGCTCAACTAATATGAAAATCTAATTTTATTACCGGGCAGTACAAGAAAGTTTTTGCCCCTACAAAGATATTAAACTAACAAAACTGTTAAAATCTATTTTTGCTGACGTTTGTTTGTCCAATTATTCAGGTCTATTCACCAAAAGGTGCACTTTGCAGTTCTACAATTACAGACTGTAGTCCATCTGTTTGTCTGCATACTTTGTTAGCCCCCTTTCACCCTCTTCTTCAATGGTCAAGACCACCGCGGAGCAGGTATTACTTGGGTGGTGGATCTCAGCACTGCAGTGAGCACTGCAGTCATCATAAAATAAGAAGGCAATCTGATCCCCGAGCACCACTCCTACTGAGTTATGAATAGAGGTCCTGATGTGTTTTTATACTCACGGGCAGTTTATGGTTGAAGCCCTTCAGCCGTATGACCAGGCCGTGATCTCCGGGGACCAACTTGTACTCTAATTGGGCCACATCTGCATCGTAAGCCGGCTCAGCCAGGTTGTGGGCCAGGATGTTCACAAAGATGTCAAACAGCACCAGGCTTTATGAGGCAACACAGCACCAGAGCAAAAACAATGAGTGGTTAATTGTGTAGAACAATGAGACCAGCCAGATTCCACAGTGCAGTATGTAGGGAGCGCTATGACTAAACAGACAGTTAAACATCACTCACTTTTCAGGAGATTCCTGTATAAGGGGTGTCAGCAAGTTGAAGCGGATGTATGCTGTAGGGAGGGGATAGAAAAAATATATATGTAGCATTGCTGTCAGGACAAATCCTTCTTCATTTCATCTTTTCAAATTTTTTTTTATAGAATTTGAAAATACTAGTTGTCCTTTATATTGTTCACAGCTTTTAAGATGAACGGGCTAAAAGAAATGATCCAAAATCAGCTGGAAAAAAATGTCCCATTGAAGGGGAATCCACTGATTTTCCGATGTTCCATATTGGTTGTGATGTACACAAAGTGATTCTGAGAGGTTTAATATGAAATGGTTCTTTGTAGAGAAACTTGCCCTTTCCAACTATTTTATTTACTATCCAATTCCAAAACCACCAGCATATGTAATGTTAAAAATGGTAAAATATTATTAAACAAAAAAAATACATATATTTATCCCTTTGCCACTGAGATTTTGGATTTTAAAAGTGGGTTTTAGGCCTAACTCTTTTCAAACTCAAGGATTAGACATCATATTTGTTTTTGTTTCAAGTAATAACTTTCTGTAATGTTGCTTTTAGAGGCATTATATGTTTCAGATGTCTGGTTCCTATCACCACCACTTTGAACAATTCTAATTCGGTAAGTTTTTCTAGAATGAGGCAAATCGAACCACTCTGAATGACTTTGTTTACATGTAATCATTAATTTGGTAGAAATTTTGGAAAATCCGGGGAATTTGTCTTTAACTTCTCTACTTTGTGACGATATTCTTATATATTTGTTTGTTTATTATTGGAAAAGACATTTTTATCTTGGTTAGAATATTGAAGTATTAATTCTTTCATTGTTACGTACACGATAAGGACTGGGCTAGGTGGGAGATACCAAGCAGAATGTCACTTATCCCCCCCCAAATGTTCAGAGACGGTCCTGTTTTTACCTTCTTTCTCTCACACACACATACACACACACACCTTTTGGTATTTTGAACTTGTTGTCCTTTTTGAACCACAGTCGCCCTCTGCTGTCATCCATAATTTTCACAGGGAACTCAGTGTCATGGCAGTCTGATGTTTTCAGGGTGAAATCTGTGGCTATAGGGAGACACAAGACAGACAGAGAGAATCTGAGCACCAGGAATGTGATTATCAATAAGAGACTAAACACAAAGCAGGCAGCAGAGCAAACCTATGAACTTGTTCTCTGCTGGGAGAAGAAGGTCAGGGTTCAGAGGGAAATCTCCAGCCCACAGATCACTCCATTCCTGAGGAATATCTGTAATGGCAAAGATCAGTGTGAGGGATATTTCACAGTAAACTACTTTTATTACTGCACTGCTATGAGCTCCTAATATTCAAAAATCTTTGGGAGTGGCTTGGGAGATGCAGTTGGATGTCAGCGTAGATCAGGCATGTCAAACTGGAAAACCTTTGGGCCAAAGTTCTGCAGAGATTAGTGTTCATCCTCATCTAATGCTCTAAAATTAGTTCATGAAGGCTTTGCTAAACAGCTGATGAGCTGAATCAGGTGTGATTAATGAGGCAGTGTGCTGAAGTCTGCAGTGTTTTGGCCTGCAAGGACTGGAGCCTGATATGTGTAGATAGTCTGACACTTGCCATGAATTCACAGCTTGTGTGGGGGAACAGGGATAAAAACTCCCTTAACATAGACATAGGAGCAGGTTTACTTATCTGAAGTCTGACTTCAACCACTGAAGGAAAAACTCAAAAGTGGTCTTCCAACTAAGCTTCCAATTGCAACATTACGTTGTCAATGTACACCACCAGTCAAAAGTTTATAGTCACTTCAAATAATCTAAAACCAAAGATCTGTTGAAGATGCACGTATAAAATGAATATAAAGAGGCTACTATCCTACAACTTCATAGATTTCAAAGTACATATAATACAATAAGTAAATTGCAAAAAAAAGAAAAAAAAAAGAATATTTATCAATAAATATTTCTTCTTTCTACAGTAAAACTACTAATCAGTATGTCTTGTATATGAAAATGTGATCAAATCTTGAGGCAGATAATTAGAGTATATCACTATCACTATCATTATTTCTTGGTGTTCGCAAAAAAACTTGTAATATTGAATAAAACATCTTGGTGTCCAGCTTGTAATATTTCAATTAATTATTTCAATGTAAATTATTATTGAATAAAATGACAGCAATTATTTACATGGCAAGATACATGACAAGATAGTGTATGTTGTCATTGCTTTAGCTGAAAAAAAATGAAACTATTGCAATTGCAGCTTTAAGTTGTAAATAAGATCATTTTTGCCCAAACTGCCAGTTTCAGCCAAATTTTAAGCCACCAACCAACCGACAGAGTAAATGAATGTTTTGCACAGCAGCATAATGGCTCCTACCTTCCATGCTGTACTGAGTGCCAAACCATTTCTCCTTGAGCATGCAGCGGCCCTCGTGCTCCGGAGAAAGCAGCAGCAGGTTCGCCCTCTTAGGAGTGAGCAGTGCTAATGCACGGGAAATCACCTGCAAACAGAGGCAACAACTTAAAGACCAGGGCAGGAAGGGTCCATAAATACCAGGTTGTACAACAATCTCAAACTGACTGTTATTTTTTTTTTTATTGGGTAAGAGGTGCAGGGCAAAGGACTATAAACAAGGGCTCATAACCCACATTTTCCTCTTTTTTTATTTTTCCCCACTGAGGTCTACTTATGAAGTTTATGTGGTTTCAGGTAGCAAAAACAGTCCTGAATAATTTTTATGTGACCATTTTCCAACCGCTGTTTATCTCTTTAAACCAAACAGGCTGTTTTTGATATTACTTTAAGACTGATGTTCTGACTGGCCTCTCGGTATTGTACCTTATTCAAAATGCAGTGTGAAACACTCCTTATAACTTGAATGTTAATGAGCAGGGCTAAACTGCAGTAGGTTGAATAGGAGGATATACAGTTGCATGCAAAAGGTTGGGCACGCCAGTCAAATTAAGTTTTGCTGATTTTCTAAATGAGAAGTTAGATTCTCCACATCCTCCACAAAGAACACACTTCAGCACATGTTAATGCAGAATTACTGTTTACTTGCTGAATAAATATAGTTATACTATACAGTTATAGCATATATAATGAAATAAAGTGGGGGAAAAAATAAAATGTAAAATGTGGCCTGTGTAAAAGTTACAGCACATTTACTATTTTATGTTTTATTTTTTCAAATATGTTTTCCAACAAAACTGGCAAATAAATAGAAATTGTGCACTACACTTTGCAGAAAAATTACATGTTTGTTTGTTTCCGGTAGATGTGTTATCATTTGGAAAATCAACAAAACGTAACTTGATCAAGTGTGTTCAAATCTTAGCATACGCCTGTATATAGTGTTTGTTTTCATGACAGCACAAAAACAATAATTCAAAACAGTCTGTTTTTGCAGTGTAATTTCCATTTATGGATTATATTGACTCACAAGTGAATGTTTTGAAAATGTAATTATGCTTACATTTAATATCAAATTCTTTTTTATATAAAAATAAAGGAAAAACGTTTTCCCCCGCTTATGATAGGGGTCATTTAAAACAGCTAATTTGCACAGGCCAGCAATGTCTGAGATTATACTGAGATTATATTTAACCACGTATTATACTAATCTATCAAAATAAGCTTGAATAGCAAAGTTCAGCTTCCTTTTATGCTTTTAAATGAAATTAAAGCAGAAGTAAATTAAAGTGCACCCAAGAACTGATAGAGAAACTTTAAGTATACCTCTGGGTTGTATTCAAACATGAGCTGGTCTCCACACAAGAAGTCCTCTTTGGGGAAAAGCTGCATGTTCTCACAAATATTCTCCACAAACTCAATTGGATCTGTCTGTCAGAAAACACATTATGGCAGAAAATTAGCAAAAAACATCCCACGTTTGTCATCTTTGGTCTGTGTTCAAAGAGAAAGAAGCAAAATTACCTGTTCTTGATAGTGAAACTCATTGGCTTCGATCTTCTGGATTTCTTCATAAATCCTAAGACACAGCAGAATGCAGAGGTCATGCAGCGCATTTTAATGAAAAAGATCAATTTGTTGACTGTGACTTGATAAAACATGCTTGTAAGAACAATGAGGCCCACCTCTGCTGGGGTCCGAGCTTCTGAAGCATCTTCAGGTACTGGAACACCAAGTGGACCACCTACATGAGGAAAACGTGCCCAAACTCATTCATCTCATCACAACAAAGCATAAAACTAGAGAACTAGAGGGATAGTAAGAGGTTCTCAGGCAACTGTTTATTTCTCCATGAAAACTAGCTCTTACCTGGAAGAAGTTCTGGTAACCTTCGTCTGTCAGGGTGACGGAGACGCTGAAAATTGAGTAAGTAGTGTTCTGGTCAAAACCCGTCTCGTTATTCCCTCCAAACAGAGCCAGCGCCCAACACCTGCATATACAGAAGAAGCATTAGATTCACCTGCAAGGCAAACTGCATCTACAGCTAATGCACTTAGGAGACATACAGTGCTGTACAGAAGTCAGAGAACACCCTTCATTTACTTAATTTCCAGTCAGTATGACCATGAAGTACAAGTTATTCAGATATTTCTGAGGAGATTAGATAAGACAATCCACTTGCGTAAGAAGCGGGGAAGTGAAAAAACAGTGAAAAATTTCATTTCCAAATCTGAAGTTCAAAAAATGAATAAAAGATACAGAGAAAATGGGACTCCTAACAACCGTGCAAGTCCTGGTAGACCATCAAAATTGTTCTAATCATATAAACAGCACTTAAAGCTTTCATCTTTGAGAAAATCCTCAGGTGTTTCTGCCCATCCTTCCACTGTGAAAAGACAACTCAGCACTATGAGTCTGAAAGGATGTACTGCTGTCAAGAAGCTCTTACTGAGCAAAGGACACAGACAAAAAAGGAAGCTTGCAAACACTAGCAAATCAAACAAAGAAGCTGATGAGGTTCTCAGAACAATGGACTGACCACCCCAAAGTCCAGACCTCAACATCACTGAAGGTGTTTTAGAGTACTTGGATCCTGAGAAGCAGAAAGTACAACTCCAAAGACTGAAAAATATGCCTGCAGATTTTTTTTGAAACACTGAAAGGAAATCTCCCAAAAAGAACAGAAGCTCTAATAAAGACAAAGTGTGGATACACTAAATACTGAAAAAAGGATATTATATTTAGTTGCTGGGGCTTTTTACATCGTGCTAAGAAATTAATATCTTGTACTTAAAGCAGCATTATGTGACAACTGGTAAGCACGTTGACGGGAGTCGGATTCTGTCAACAAGAAATTTGGCACAACACTGGCAAAGACATCATCAGAAAAGAAAGAACCATGTCGACTTAATAATAATAATAATATTGCATGGATAATATTACAGGATTTTCTTACAGGATGTTGCAAACTTTCAAGGCTTCTTGGGCATGAGATTGACAAAGACTGACCAAACCTTTTGAGATGAATTTATTTCTTTGCATGGTAACTTAGCCTGAAATGGCACAAAGATTAGATGACTTTTAGCATCCGGAAAAACTACAAAACTCCCTGAGACAGGGATGACACAGATAATGTTACAGTCTACGTTGCAACCTTTCATTAATAACGGTGGGGATGTACACTCTGCTGTCGGATTTTTGTTATTTTCCTGTTAGCCCTGAGACAGAGAACTACAGCTAACGTGACCTATAGGCGTGGTGTGTGACGTGGTGCGGTAAAGCGTTACGCAGTTCGTGAGAGGTCTCGTTCCTCCTCCTCCAAAGTTACATAGTGCAATAGCAGGTGTTCCTGGTCCACAGTGGCAATGGCAGAGACGCCATTCTCCTTCAGTCAGCGTACGATCAAAATGATATCGAAGCTGTTATTTTAAGGTAAAATTGTTACATAATGTTGTTTTAATGATTGTTTTGACTGAAAATTAAATAAATGAAAGGCGGTCTCTGACCTTTGATGTAAAAGCAAACAGTGTATCTAAACTCACCTCTTCCTGAGCATGGAGAGTATACTACCAGCACCCTCATGACCAATCAGCCAGGATATGTAGTGCAAAGGCTTCACTCTGTATAAGCACAGACATGTACAGACTTACTTATTATTTTAACAGATACTGATTTTGTATTACAGGTGTCTGTCCTGTGGAAGAATCTCAAATGGATTAGGGATTGTGAAACAAGTAGAGTAGGCCAGGCATGAGGATAAAACAAAGAGTAAGACACATAGACTACTGTTTAATAAACAATACTAATATAAATAATGTACTGTAAGTGTATAGTGACAATCATTTTTGTACAGTTATATGCATCAATGTTTGTCACCTCTTTAAAAAATGAGGTACATAAGTTTTTTGGGAACATCCTGTAGTTATTAAAACAATATACAATATAATACAATAATAAACAATATACTGTAATTATCTACTTATAGCAATTTCATGACATGCTCTCGGCCCTGAGATTTTAAATACAAGGCATTCAGAATGTTTACTTTATTAGAACTTCATTCTCTGTTTTATAGCTTTCTCAATCATTATGGAATCATCTACAGTTCTGCGCATCATTCTGGACACATCTGACATTTTTTACAGCTTCCTACAAGTTAGCTGAAACCTATGGGGCACAGTGCTAGCTATCATCGTATTACAATTATTTTAGACATGTATTTTCAACAAATTGGTTTTATTTTATTGAAAGTAGTGACTCTAAACCTTTTGTAAGGTGATTCCAAACTTTTGAATCATAGTGTGTTTCACATCAGGTTCACTGTACACATTTAACTGCAGTCAAATTGGTTTTATATTACCTAAAAGTTTGATTGAAAATAAAATAATTCCAAACTTTTTAAAAAGGTACATGCTTAAAATGATGGTTCTTCAATGGTTCTTTAGTGAAGAAAACAGTTCTATATAGAACCAAGAAAACTCAAAGAACCTTTGGTATGATTAAAGGGTTCTTTGCATTGTGAAAGAGTTCTTCAGATTGATGAAGAATGTGCTGTAGATGGTTCTATATAGAACCTTTTGGAAAATGGTTCTATGTAGCACCAAAAACAGGTTCTTCTATTATTACAAGCTTAACATCGTAACAATAGAAAAATCCTTTCTGGTGCAACGTAGAACCATTTTCAAAAAGATTTATATAGAACCATATACAATACATTCTCCATTAATCTGAAGAACCCTTTCACAATGCAAAGAACCCTTCAATTATGCAAACGGTTGTTTGAGTGTTCATGGTTCTATCTAGAACCATTTTCCTTACTAAAGAACCCTGAGTGTAGTGTATATGAGAATTCTGTCTAAACTTGTGTCTAAACAATGCCATAATCTTCCTGGACAACCTACAGAACATCACAGTACATCATGAAAGCCACCAACCTGTAGTGCTTGCCCTGAGGAGGTAAAGCCCAGCTGATAGTCAGAGCGTGGATTTTTCTCACAGGAACCACTGGAAAAGGAATCACTGTGTCAATGCTCTGGTCCCAAATCAGCACACAAGCACTGTGCTCAGATGGGGCTGCATGCATTCAAGACTTTAAAGAAACAATCAAGGTCTTTGGAAGAACAAAGAGGCAGCTTTGGCACTGAATTGATTGGAAAGTGAAGGCATTAAAGGCAGAGTCAGGGACACTGGAAGAACAAAGCAGCAGCTCTGGCAGTGAATTGACTGAAGACTGAAGGCATTCAAGACTGAAGACATTCAACACACAATTAGGGACTTTGGAAGAACAAAGAGGCAGCACTGGCTGTGAGTTTTCTGAAAATGGAAGGAATTTCCATCTTAAACTTCATGAACCATCAACGACACATTTAAAAGGTCCAGTTGGTGTGAATGGAATCAAAAGCTTTACTGTTACACAGTGAAATAGTATAACATAGAAAAACACAGCATCCTTAATGAGGACATCCACCGATTTTTCAACATTTCTGCATAATTAAACCATCAAACCATTTTATTCAGAGTGGTTTGATATGAAATGATCCATTCTAGAGACGTCACAGTGCCTCTAAAAGCTCAATTAATGCCTCTAAAAGCTTCCGCACAGAAAGTTATTACACAAAAAATACATTGCCTGATGCCTGAGATGTTGTTTCATGATAAACAAGCTTTTGACCTAAAATGTATTTTTTTTTTAATCTGTTCACTGCAGAGAAGTACATGTAGGGCGCTGTATGGCAAAACAGTATGTAAAGGAACCTTTTTTTCTGAGATCTGACACTATTTTACCATCATCATCATTATCCTCAACCCTATCCCTGACACACGTAGTGACAATGATCGCTTTGGATAGTAAATAAAATCGCTATATTTGTGTTCACACTCACTTGGGGTGTGTGTGTGTAAACATTGCAACCTCTGTTTAGTAATCAGTTGGTAAACTTCTCAACAAAATACCATTTTACATTAAAAATTAGTGGCTTTGTTTACATTTCAGTGATTTAATGATGCAGACATTTTGCAAAATTGGTGGAATTCCCATTCAAAAGACAGAATGTTTTTTAATGTGCAGGGCTTACATGGAATGCATTGGAACACACTATATGTGTGAAAGAGCACTGGCTGTACCTCTGTAAAGCTTGTTGAAATCTGGCGTATCAAACGGGTCCTGAAGGTTGGAAAAATCAGGACGAGGGTGACCACTGAGGATGGGAAAAATGGGACAACAGCACACGAACTTAGCTCAAGATGACTCCAGCTGACAATTTTAGCTCATAAAGGTTGACAGAGAGGAAACTCACTTGTTGGGGACTTTGATGAATATCTCCCTCACCCATTCCTCTAAAGTGTCCAGCGTCTCTGCAGACAGAACGGACATGGACCACAGTGTTATTCCAAGACATTTACAATTCAACAGAAACTCCAGCTCATGATAAAGTAATTTTATTTATCTCAACAGCAAAGCAAGGCACTTTCAGGCCCAATCCCATTTCTTATTTTTACCCCTACCCCTTGTTTTCGAGTGTCGCCTTGCCCCTTGGAACTGAGTTACAAGGGTTAACTTCCTCTACGAAATCGGACCCTCAAATAAAAACAACATTACTTCATTAACAGGCTACTGGCGCTGCTCTGTAAGTGACCCCGCCAGTCTGCAGTGATAGCAGAAGAGGGTAAAGTTCAGCGACCTCGCTGCTGGGCTTTAGTTACATTTAGGGCATCATATGCTTTCAAAGAGGGGGGACAATTATTTATCATCGTCCACTCCTAATTGTTCAGTGATATGAAGCTGAAGTCAGATATTTGCCAGCTTCTTGTTTGAATTTTCTCGTTCCACCTTAAATGGAGCAGCTGTTACATTCTGGCACTTCAGGCGTCAGAACTGCTGGATTATTTAAGGTGGAACGGGAAATTTAGCTAGCTAGCTACCGAGACATTAGTGTACTATTAGTGATTTTCATGCTGGTTATAAAGAAAAGGACCATAATTAATTGAAACAATATTAAACTAAGATAATACAATGGTTATCATAATTTTTTAACAGACAATATACTTACATTTATGGGTTACTTTGGTCACTTGCACAGCCATCTTGCCGGGTTTTAGTTTTTTTCTCATACCAATCTGTTTGGAGTGTGCCTCTGAAAAACCTCCGTTTGGAGAGCCATATAGCCCTAACCCTTCGCCCTACCCCTCCATCTCAACAAGAATTGGGACACCCTACTCCTAGACGTGAAAGCGCAGAATGGAGAGCTAAAGGCTAAGTGGTAGGGGCAAGGGGTGAAATGGGATTGGGCCTTAAACTTCACTGCACAATTATACACAGAAACGGAAGATTGATGCTGTGTTACCTCTGGACTGAATGGTGAGGGTCATGTAATGGGCAGAGTAGTATCTCCTCCAGAATTCCCGGAGACGCACATAAGTGTTTATCTTCCTCTCCTTTGGTTCATGCTTCAGAGTTTGGGCATTCCCTAACATGTATTAAACAATGACTTATTCACTTGGTTAGATAAGCAATACTCATCTGTTTTATGCTAATTGATATGTGTAATGCAATGCAATGAAAACCAATATGAGATAATAGTGGCAAATGAACTAGTTTCCTCAGCAATGAGGACTACGATGTTAATTAAAAAAGAAAATATATCAACAGTATGTGTTTCTTTTACTGCCAGCATTTTATTTAGGGACGATGTGTTAGTCAACACATTAATCAAGATATGCTTCACACCTGCAAAGTGATAAATACATAAATATACTGACTGAACAGTGTCGGTATTTTCTGAAAAACATTTACTGACTCACCCCAGCAGAATTTACTCATTGGATGGTTGGGCTTTGCTAGGCTTCCAAACAGCATTTCTTTGCGATGAGAGTCTGATGGCCTGGCCAACTGATATTCTGCACAGCAGGGAAAACACTCATAGAATTATATACAGCAGAATTTATTATGACATTATTAGCAGTTCGTAACTTACTGACCACTGTCAACTGCTTCCACCTCCCTTTCAATGGCGTCCTCTATCATCAGAGGACAGATGAAGAACTGTGCCCACCTGTGGACAGATTAAGCAAGTTCAGCTGAGTTAAAGCCCCAAATCAGCAAATGCCAAAACAGTGGTACAGATCACAAGATTAGTTCACCTCACCTATCCAGTGCCTCTCTGAAATACTTCCTCTGAACATCAAACTGGAAGATGGTCCTCTCACAGTCTGTGGAAGCATTGTCACTGCCCCCATGTTTCTTCAAAAACGCATCAAAGCCATTCTCAGCTGGATACTTCTCACTGCCCATGAACACCACTGAGAGAAAAAGGAACAGAGAAACAGACCGAAACAGTTTATAAGCACCAATACAGCAACGCTGCCAGACTAAAACTTTGTATCTCCAAAATGAAAACCTCATTAGTAATAGAGTTTTAAGATTTTTTATTACAAGTAATTTAGCCCCATTTCTACTGGTCAATTCATCACGTAATTTTCACACAACATAAAGAACAGCTAGTATTTTCAAATTGGAGACACAAAGTTTTGTTCCAACAGTGATGATAAATTTTTTTAAACGATAATTTGTGAACACCAGATTGTGGAGCACAAGCCAATCCATCAAACCTCAGACAAATATAGCATTTATGGTATAGAAATGGTCAGTGCAACACAAAGACAAGTGTTTGATTTATATCCTGAAAAAGGTCAAAAAGTCCACTATCACCATGATATGTACAAAATACTAGTATACTGTTATTGCAATATCACTGCTGTCGGATCAAAACCTTGTATCTCCAAAATGGTAACTTTACAGGACAAAGAAAAACAAAACAAAACATACTTTTGTTCCAACAGCAGCGACATATTAAAATACATATTGAAAATCGTATTATATGAATATCTTGACTAATAAAAATAAACACAGAAACACTGATTTTTAACTGCGACTAGTCAAGATGCTCACAGTACAGCGAAAAAACTGACTGGTTAGAGCTATTTTGCATACTGCAGCCTTCTATGTGCAAAAGCCAATATCGTGATCAATAAACGATATACTGAGCAGCTCTAACTAGAAGTGTCCACATCATCTCTGTCAGGCCTGGAGAATCCACAGGAGCTACTGCAGAGACAGAAGGCTCCCTGAATCAAGTCAGTCTGGGAGAGGTGAGGCCTGGTTTAGACATACAGCATCTCCCAAAACACAGCTGTCACAGCTTTCACATTCAATCATCATCTAAGTAAAATTTGCAGTACCAACTAAAGAGCTACGGACTTCCAACTGAAGTCAAACATCATCTTCTGGGCAGAAAGAGAGAAAAGGCAGGTAGCAAAGGAACTCCTGAGACATGTCTCTACAAACAAAGATCCAAGTTTGTCCAAGCTATGTTATTTTCTGTGATTATGGATGTAAAAGCTGGACTTTGGTGCTGGTGAAGACTTTTAAGAGCACCTTGGATGGCAAAGAAAACAAACAAATGGATCCTTGACCAAAGTAAGCCTCGTTTCTTGCTAGACGCCCAGGTAACCAAACTGAGGCTCTTATTTTTGACATGTTATGAGATAAACTAATTCACTGGAAAAGACTTTGGAAAAAAATTACACTTCGGACAGTGGAAAGTAAAAGAGGAAGAGGACGGACAGCAACAAGATAGATGGAAGCCTCAAGACCCAAACAGAAGACAGGACATTCTTTTTTTTTTTTTTCTTTTTTTTCCTTTTCTTTCAAAGACAGGACATTCTAGAGACAGACTATCCACATGGTTGTCAGGAGTATGAACTGACTTCACAGCAATTCTACTCATTTTTGAAAACTTATACATAATTCAGTCAGTGAGAAACAAACAAACAAACAAAGTCACTGAGTGTAGTTAGATATGAAGTGTTCATTACACAAAAGCTTTATAGAATGCATTATAGAAACACCGTTTCAGATTTCTTTACAGTGGTGGTGATAGGAACCAGGAGTCACAACGCCTACAACTCAAATTTTGCCATTTTGTTTACTATCCAGCAGTGAACCTACACGTGACTTCTGAGTTTTCATATGTAATGTTGATAAAGGTGATATAGTGGTAATTCTGAGAAAAATATTTTTTCTTTCGAGAATTGTTTAACTTATAACACCCTGCATGTACCTGTTCACCATTAACAGGTTTTAGAAAATACACATTAGGCCAAAATTTTCATAGTATCATAAAACAATGTCTCAGGCATCAGATCAGGCAGCGTATTCATAACCATTTGATGTAATAACTTTCTGTGCAGGATTTTTTTTAGAGGCATTAAACTCTTCCGACGCCTGGTTCCTATCACCACCACTGTGAACAATTCTGACTCAATACATTTCTGCAGAATTTTACATTAAACCACTCTGAATGACTCTGTTTATATCTTATCCATTTAATTACATATATTTTGAATTAATAAAAATAAGGAAGCATGCCCAGTGAAAGAAGACATATATGAGTGTCCTTTATTATGTGGAAAAGTTTGCTTCTCCACTTCTGTTTAGTCAATAAGAAAACACACTTCTTCTTATATATCTTATATATATTTCATTTGGAAAGAAAGAAGAGTGCCAGTTCAGTGCCTCACAAGTGCTCTTGAAAAATGGCACACCCCTGGTTACAGTGGAAAAGCTCAGCCCAGACTAGCAACCTTTTAAGTATTTTTTTTCTTATTTCAGTTATCTGTAAGAAAGCTGCTGCTACATATGGCAGAACATCAGGGGAAATGTGAGCATAATGAGAAGTTAAAATATCAGAACCTTGCTTTGCAAAAAACAGAAGAGTTTGAAGGTAAGGCAGTGCTTATGCATGATGTTTGCTCTGCTTAAGAAATACACTCACTGTGCTCAAGGAAGTGGGCCAGACCAGGCAGATCCTCAGGGTCACTGAAGCTTCCCACACAGATACAAAGAGCAGCAGCTGACTGAGAAAGAGAAAGCAAGTGGTGTAATTAATACTGCTTTAACTATTCATTCTCAAGCTCAAATGATACAAACTAAGGCTGAATTTGCCCTTCAGAGTTTGGACCAGAAGTAGAAATGGACTAGAACGGACTAGATTGATTCTGCCTCGCTGAAAAGTTTGTTCACATTTGTATGCAAAAACCAGGGCACCCCGGTCAAATAATCTTTTATTGATTTTCCAAGTTAAAATAAGACACATCTGTACATTTTAATGCTTGGTACAAAATGCGGCCTGTGCAAAATTTGAGATGCATTATATATTTTGTGCTTAATTTTTTTCCAAATATATTAAACTTGGCAAATAAATAGTGCATTTTTCTGCACTAAAAGTTTCAGAAAAATGCCACATATAAGTTTGTTCCCTGTAAAGGATGTGTTATTTTCATTCAGAAAATCAACAAAACATGCAAGTTGCTAGGGACATTCAAACCTTTGTATATACCTGTATATTTTATTGTGAAAAAATAGACACTTCCATAAATTTTCTAAAAATATTGTAGATTTTTCACAATTTTGATAGGAAACAAAACAAACAAATTTACATAACCTCCCCAACAAAACCTGGCCATTTCCACCTCTGGACTAAAATACTTGACTCTAAAACCTAGTCCAATAGTCATATGCTACTGAAGACTTCTATTAGTCCATATAAAAAAGTAATATATATTGAAAATGTATTCTATTTATACATTTTTAATATATCAAAAATATATAACAATGTATTGCACTTCCATCGAGGAGGTGGATGAGGACTGATAAATTAAGGTCTAAACTCCAGCAGAGCTCCAAGACCAGGGCCAAAAACTCCTAATACCAACATACAAATAAAGACTTCTCCAGGATTGTCACCTGTTTCTCTGAGCTTCCTTTCTTCTTTGTCTTCCTCACTTCAAGGCTCCCATCTGAGTCCTTACTTTCTTCCTCAGTTTCTAGTTCTTCTTCCTCAGAACTATGTCCATCATCTTCTTCATCATCTTCATCTCCCTCATCTCCATTATCATCTTCATCATCGTCATCGTCTGACTCTGGCTGCTCAGAGTTATCTGCGCAGTGGGCCTGGCTTAGGTCTGAGATAAGCAGTGCTCTCAGGCCATTGCTCAGCTCGATGTACCTGAAAGAAGGTTAACTGAAGGTGGGTAAATCAAGTTGACAGTCGTATATGGCAAGTAGTCCCAAAGGCCTTTATGAAGCAAATCACTGCCTGATGAGAAGCATCTTACCTGTATTTCTTTGGGTCACTTGGTGATTTGATTATTTGCAAGTCCTCGAGTTCATTCTCTGTTCCCTCCGCTCTCTGGTCTCCAGAGGCTAGCGAAGCCCGTGGTTCGGTTTCAGGCGGTGGCTCGCCACTGTCAGGCCCGGCTGCTTGAACGGTTCCACTGGAAGATTTAGACTTATTTTTCTGAGGCATGTCTGGAGGCTCACAGACAGCAACACTGAAATTACAGAATTATAGGCCATCATTGAAGAGGGTCATCAAAACAAAAAAATCCAACACTGTCACTTCTATCTTTCAGCGTATTTTTGGTCAAACTGCCCAACAAAGGAGGATCTTCTCTGAGAACATTAAAGCATCATAGACAGAGAAGGCACTGATCTGATACCAGGTACCAGAAAATGCTGAATGGGTAACAAATCCATCCTGAAATAGCTCTGTGTGATTAGCTGTGTATTTCTTCCTGTGGGGCCAATACTTTTGCAAACTTTCTACAGTGGTTTGATGTGAAATGCTCTGTTCTAGAGCCAGAATTGTATACAGTGAGGATGATTTCTCTTTTATTTCATCCTCTATCCGAACACATGGAACAGAAGGGTTATCCTCATTAAACAGCCTCAAACCATGTCCAGAAATAGGAAGTGTTATATTCACATAAGTTAGCAGATCGGTTAGAGCTCTATACGGTGCAGCAGAACATAAAAATTAAATTTTTCCATTTTAATTTTTTTTGTGCCTATTTTTAACCTACATGTCAATGCAATGTGCCCACATGTTTCTCATTATCTCAAATTTTCATTTCTTATTTATTATTATTTTTATTAATTAGAAATAATGACTCTATTATTTCAGAATAGTTCAGTTTTTCAAAAACCTCAACATATTCTCATTCGACACAGACGTCACCTGAACGTTTAGACTGACAGAATTCAGTGTGTCACACAATATTATCCTGCAGTCACTAAATCAACCTGACAGGAGAGGTCAGTGACCTGGATGACCGGAAAACTTCATGGACAGACAGACAAATGTCACACAACGTTAAATAAGATGTCTCAAAACAAAGCTAGCAACACCCTTTAAATGATCATTAGATGGTCCTTCAAGGGTTCTTCAGTAAAGGGATTGGTTCTGTTTAGAACCATGTGATCTATATAGAACCAGTTCGTGCTTAAATTGTTATTTGCCTGGTGAAATGGTTCTTCAGATTCATGGAGAACGAAAATGGTTGAAAATGGTGTTGGAAAATTGTTCTATACAGCACCAAAAAGGGTTCTGCTACTATTATGATGTCAAGCTTGTAACAATAGAAGAACCCCTTATCGTGCTATATAGAACAATTTTCAAAAGGTTTTACACAGAACCATAAACAACGCATTCTCCATCGAGCTGAAGAAACATTTCACCATGCAAAGAACCATTTAAGCATGAAAGGGTTCTTTATAGAAATCACAGTTCTAAAAAGAACCATTTCCTTTCCTAAAGAACCCTTGAAGAACCATCTTTTTAAAGAGTGTAGCCAATATAATGACGCAGCAACCTTACATGCAGCGTTTTTCAATCCAAGTCTCCTCGCTAAACGAGGCTGAAGTGTGGCTCCTATTCGCCGGCTTCTTGTTCGAATTTTCCCGTTCCACCTTAAATGATGCAGCAGCTAGAATGTCACTGCTGCCCTATTTAAGGTGGAACGGGAAAATTCGAACAAGAAGCCGGCGAATAAGCACCTGACTTCTTTGCTAGTTAATCTGTGTCGTTATTTAACCAGAAAAATACATGTTAATGATGGAAGAACATTCAGGCTCTGTAAAAAGTCTAGCTGGATTTTTCAGTCCACGTTAAAATCAACATTTGTTTCTGAACACAATCAACACGATCAACCCTCTAAATGTTTAATGCTGCTGTATCACTGGATGTCAACATAAATAAGCACCGACCAACGTGAGGAAACGAGCAGATTTAACAAACCCGTGAGCGCCGTGTGTCCAAATTTAAGGTTTGTTAATTTAACATGGATTAATCTGAGTTAGCTTAGCTACATACCGCTCCTCTCCTGATGAGCTTATAGACGCGCTGCTGTTGCGGAGATCTAGTATGGGACGATGCGATTCGCGGAGAGATGCGCACGCAAAAGCAGGCGAGCCTCTGATTGGTTAAAAGCAGCTTTTCTTGTTTTTCTTGCTGAGAAGAGCTTTGACAGGCATCGCGATGCTTATACCGAGCATGCGCACATCATCAGACTAGTGTGGCAACTTAAACAGCGTTTCAAATGTTTTATTGCATTTTTAATGTTAATTGAGTACAGATTCAGCTTAATATGACTACTTATCCCCAGATGCAGCGATTTAGGCTATCGAAATATCCTAATTATTCTTTTACTGTGGGTAACATTTTCTATTTTTTCCATTTCTTTCTTTTTTTTATTTGTATGGACATTCACATCTGCATATTACGGAGCCCCTAAGGGGCCGTGGTTAAAAAAAAAAGTTAATGACATTGCGTTCCCTCGCAAATGTTTAGCGTTCCCTTGCAAATGTTTTGCATTACGATGCAACGGTTTGCATTCACTTGCAAAAGCTGTGCTTTGCTTAAGCTCAGACATGAAGCAGCTCACTGAGTTTTATGTTGATCTTGGATTGAAATATAAAGACGTGTCGCTTCTCAAAATCAGACATGATTATGTTATTAGTGACTCAAACTGAAACTGAGGTCGAGTCCTCGTACAGTAAAAGCTACAATTACAGAGCCTGCAGAGAACCATTGCTGAATAAACTCAGCACAGACTGGCGAAACTGGGAAAACAGCTTTTAACGTTAAATATGCTAAAAACAAAGCTCTAACGTAGGCAATGTCGTTGGGCACCTTTGGTCCTACGTTTGCTTGCTGTCTGACGAGCATATATTTTGCGAGGGAACGCAAAACATTTGCGAGGGAATGCAATATCATTAACTTCTTTTTTTAACCACGGCCCCTCAGGGGCTCCGTAGAAAAAAAAATAGTCAATTTACAAGAGAAGGCAAAGCATTCTTTACTTTTAATGAAATTAGGATAATTTTTTTCCAACCAGTTTTGGAGCTTTTCTGTCGGTCCAATCATCATGAAATTTTCACATAATGTAAAGGGCAGTTTCGTCACATGATGTTGAAAATTATACAACAGCCACGCGAGCTGATTGGCTGAGGAGCGTTCTAACGGTGCTGTTATTTCACCATAACGTCACGGTTTTTTTCACAAAAAACTGTATCACTCCGCTGAGTCGCCGTTGCTAAGCAACGACTTTGACAGCTGTACGAGACGCTCAAGCCATTCGAACGTTTTTACTTCTTACTTTGCCACAAACAGAAAATGGACACTTTTAAGATCACATTTGACCGACAGCCGATTTGGTCAGACTCTGAAGATGAGACTACACTAAGGCCCAATCCCATTTCACCCCTCGCCCCACTTAGCCCTTAGCCCTCTGTTTTGCGCGTTCACGTCTAGGGTAAGGGTGTCCTAATTTTAGTTGAGATAGAGGGGTAGGGTGAAGTGTTAGGGCTACATCGCCCCCCAAACGGAGGTTTTTCAGACTCCAAACTGAATGTTATGAAAAAAAGAAAAACCGGCAAGATGGCTGCGCGAGCAACGAAAGAAACGCACAAATGTGAGAATTTTCTCCTTTAAAAAATTACGCTAACTATTGTATTGTCTTAGTTTCATGTCGTTTCAATGTATTATGGTCGTTTTCTTCATAACAAGAACAAAAAATCGCTAATAGCATGCTAATTTCTCAGTAGCTAGCTAACTTTCCCGTCCCACCTTAAATAGTCCGGCAGTATTGACGCCAGAAGCGCCAGAATGTAACTGCTGCACCATTTAAGGTGGAACGGGAAAATTCGAACAAGAAGCTGGTGAATAGCTGACTTCAGCTTCGTATCACCAAATAATTGGAGTGGGTGATAATAAATGATTGTCTTGTCCCCCTCTTTGAAAGCATATGATGCCCTAAATGTAACTAAAGCCCAGCTGAACCTTTCCCTTCTCTGCTCTCACTGAAGACGCGCTGGGTCGCCTGCAGAACAGCGCTAGTAGGTTGTTAATGAAGCGAGGTTTTGTTATTGAGGTTTGTCCCATTTCGTAGGGCAAGTTTTTAACCACTACCCCTTGTAACACAGTTCCAAGGGGTTAGGGTGACACTCGAAAACAAGGGGTAGGGATAAAAAGAAGAAATGGGATTGGGCCTAAATTCCCAAACTGTCAGTTGGTCTGTGTGGAGCTGGAGAACGAACTGCCGGCGGTGCAGCGAATGAGCGGACCTCGTTACTCTGACGTAGCAACAAACTGCTCGTTAAGGAACTATAATTTGGCGGAAGGAACTGCTGGCATTAAAACATATTAAACGCCGCGATCACGGCCCAGTTTATTAATTTATTACTTTATTTATTTAACTGTTGAACAAAAGCAATAGAACACGCGAGGTCGTGTGTTATCGCAAATAACATCACGGCTGTGGTGATGTGCGACCAAATCACAGCCGTGATGTTATTTCGCGATAACACACGACCTCGAGTGCTCTATTGCTTAAGTAAAAGGAACCTTCGCGTGATTAAGGGGTGCTTTGCATGGTGAAAGGGTTCTTCACATTGATGGAGAATGTGCTGTAGATGGTTCTATTTAGAATCTTTTTTAAAAGGGCTCCATACAGCACCAAAAAGGGTTCCTCTACTGTAACAAGCTTGACATTGTAACAATAGAAGAACCCTTTCTTGGTGCTATATAGAACCCTTTTCCAAAAGGTTTTATATACAAACATATTCAACACATTCTCCAACAATCTGAAGAACCCTTTTGTGATGCAAAAAACCCTTTATTCATGCAAAGGGTTCTTTGAATGTTCATGGTTCTATATAGAAGCTTTTCTTTACTAAAGAACCCTTGAAGAACCTTGAAGAATCTTCTTTAAGACTGTAGGACTCTTCCACGAGGTAGCACATTCGTCAGAACTGGGATCCACCTGTCCCAGTTTAGGAAGCAAATCATTAATACCAAGCATGTGTGCAGCCTGTATGAGAAAAGCTTTATTAAAGGGAAATTTCACCAGGTCTTCAAATAGTCTGCGTAATTCCATCTGTAAGATGCAAACATAGTCACTCAGTTTATTCTGATTAACTCCTGAGAAACGTACTGATTTCTTTACAGGGGTTGTGACAGGAACCAGGGGTTTTACCATTTAACCAGAATTTAACCACTTTATTTATTATCCAGTACCATCAGTGCCCCTTCATGTCTTCTCAGTTTGTACGATTTATTGCTAATATAAAACAGCGAACTCTCTGGGTGCTGTTTGCCGTACAATGCTCATCAGTTACCTTCGGTATGAATGGATAAAAAAAAAGTTAAAAAATAAACACAAAAACCAGCATATCATGAAACAACTGAACAACCGACCAGGCATCAGCACCGAGGGACATTTCAGAGGCTTTAAACACTTCAGACATCTTAGTTCCTATCAACAGCGTTCCCCCTTTAAATTCTCTGGGCAGTGAAGACGCATTTGCTGTGAACTTTAAGCTTCCAACTCAACCAGCCCAACTTAATATTTACATTTAGCTAAAACTGACCAGTCTTAAATTCATTTTAAACTGGGCATAATTTGTCAGAGGAGGTAACTCACCAAACACTTCCACAACACAGTGCCATAGGGATACAGGGCCGTTTAGCGGTCAGGAGATTGAGGGAGGATTTACACTGTTTTACAGAATTTTGATTATCAATAACTTGGAATTTCAAACCGCCTCAGTTCCGGTCCTAAAATCTGATTGGCTGAGCCGCGTTGGAAGCCGTTGTAAAATATTTGATATAAGTGCGCCTAGGACCGCTTCACAGCACCTGAGCTGTGTATTACTGCGCCACGTCACAAAAACCCTTGAGCTGTTAACTTTATGGACTAATCTTTGGCTGCTCGCATGGACCACTGAGGGTCCTGATGAAGTAAGAACCCGTTTTTGTTTAAACTGTGGGGCTTACAACTTGTTTTCCTAACTAAAACCAGGCTGGTCAGCTAACTAACAAGCTAAAACATAAAGTTAGCAAACATGCAAAACAACTCTATCATTAATAACACCGGCTTGAATCAAAGTACTTACGATATGATTCACTGTAAAACGGCAATATAAAAATAGAAAGAATTTCACTCAAATGTCTGTGTTTCAGTCAGAAGTAGCGTCAAACCCAGGCTGAATCCCAAACGGCTCTGTACTCCCTAAATAGTGCGCTATGTACGTTATAGTGCACTATTGGTCGAGTATGGATGTGATTGATGTGACTGAGTCCCAAATGACTATTTCTTAGCTATATTATGCACTGTTGGGGTGCAGGATCCAATATTTAAGTTCCTACGTAGTGCACTAGTTATGTAGGGAGCAGGGAGCCATTTGAGATTCAGCCCCAGTGTGAGAAGATGGGCACAGTTGCTGGACTGGTGCAATATAAGACTAGCAGTGGTAATTTGGTGGCCAAAAAATACTTATAAAGCGAATGTTTTTGCATTAAACAGTGTCGTGTTATCATATGTTCATTAGCATGCGACAAAAAGTTAAACTTCCCAAACTTTCCTGATTGTTTAAGATGGAATAGTCTTTGTATGTCCTCTCTTTAAAGGAAATGACAGAACACAGCTTCAAAAAATGTGTTTTTTTAAGGCTCCTAGCAACATTTTAATGTAACTTTGAAAATGTTTTAGTTTTGTTTTGTGTTGCTTGGTACCACTTGTCATTGTCAAAGTTTGCTTTGTAATGCTTTAATGTTGATTCTATACTCAAAAAAAAGCTTGGTGTTTTTTCCTGTGCCTAGCTAGCTAGTTCTTCCAAATTTTGTTTGTCTTTGATTTTGGACCTGCGTGTTTGTTTATGACTGATTCATTGATTTGCCCACATCCTGTGAACACTGCATCTCAAAATTCATCCAGTAACTACTTATCTCATTCGCACACACACACACACACACACTCTCATTTTCTAAGCTACTTATCCTCCTGGGTTGCGGGGGCTGCTGGAGCCTATCCCAGCGTTCATTGGGCGGAAGGCAGAAGACACACAGACACATTCACACACACACTCACACCTAGGGGCAATTTAGCATCTCCACTGGCCTGACTGCATGTCTTTGGACTGTGGGAGGAAACCCACACAGACAAGGGGAGAACATACACACTCCACACAGAAAGGACCCTTGTCGCCCGGCCGGGGAATCGAACCCAGGCCCTTCTTGCTGGGTGCCAATCCTAACTACTTATCAGTATATGCAATTTTTGTTCATTAGTTATTTAGAAGGTAGATTATAGATGTAAAAATTAAATGTTGGAAAACCTCACTAACTTGGCTACTTTTGAAGGGGAAATTGCTACTGGATGATGGGCCATTTGGGAGCCGAAGGAATCGGCTCTTCTTTGCGAGCTGAAAAGAGCCGGAATGCCCATCGCTACTGGATGCGTTATCCACTCAGAAGTATAGCCAACACTCATATTTACAAACATTCTGATTTGGTCTGTTTGTGACCTTGAAATGTTCGTATTATGAAGATGAATTTAGGAAAGCAGCCTAAATGTTTTTTTTAAGCTAATAAGAATGCAGCAAAAGATTTATCAAAAAGGTTACATTGCTAATTAGTCAGTATAATTTTCTAATTAGCCAAGTGTTAGTTAATGATAGAAGGAAATGCATACAATACTCAGACAGGCTGTGTAAAAGGCTATATTTTTCATTCCATACTACAGTCAACAGTTCTGAAGTTCAATGTCCCAGATTTATCTTAATGCCCCAAATTCTTAAGTACTATTTCATTACATATAACATACAAATGCCCATATAAATAAATTAATAAACACAGATTACTACTTTAACAAATACAGAGCTGCTAGGGCTGAACAATTTGGGGAACATGTCTAATTGCGATTTTGCAGACTAATTTTGTGACTGCAATTTGAACTGCAATTATTTTCTATAAATTAAGGTACGGGCCTGAGGCTTGACCCCTGAATGTATGTGTGCATTACTACCAGTAAGGTGTGGTTGTGATGTCACAAAACAAGGAAGTCTGGTTGCTTCTGATAGGTCTAACTTATCTGCAGGCAGTTCACAAGTTCTGTGTTATTAGGTTAAATTTCCCCGCTTAAAACTTAAGACAATGTTTTTAATAACGTAGGCTATAATTACAATATATGCAGCTCTTGCTATTTGTCTTAAATTGTGATTTTCATATAAGAAAGGATTAATCTTTCAGCCCTACTTGCTATGATTTTTACATGTAACCCTAACAGTTAAAGGGGAATTCCAACAGAAACCCAGCATTTAATGTTATTTGTTAAGATACTACCGCTACACGTTTGTAGGAGGTGAGTCAGCACATTCACAAGACATAGTGATGGTTGCATTTTTCAGTTTGTCCAAAGTGTTGCTTTAATTACACTCATCAACAGAAACATCTGATGTTTACACGATGTGCACATAATATGGTATGACTGGTACGTTTATTGTTACAAATTGCATCTAAAACAGACTTACAATGATATGTACAATCACTTTACGCCCCTGTGCAAATTTTCTACCAGTCAAAAGTCACCGACAGCAAAGTTACAGTACATCTATATGTTCCCAGCATAAGTTGTGGCAGCATAAAAAATAAATATCTACTCAGCAAAGACCAGTCTGATAGCTTATAACATCTGAATTATAAATATCTCCTTTAAAATAAATTTCAGAGTAGTTACATAAAACATCGGTCATAAATATCTAACGTCACTGGATTAAAAACTCATTGTATGCGATACATGTAGAACTCCACGAGGATTTGCTACGTTTCTGTAATATAAATTTGTGGCACAACGAGTTTTACAATATACATATACTGGCGTCTCTAAAGATAGGTATTCGTTTTTAATCTGTCGATGCTGTAAGAGTTAAGTGAAGCGTAAATATGTGGAGTAACAACCTGACAGCTGGATGTACGATTTGTTATACACACAGAACGTTCAAATATGCATACATATATGTATATATTCCACAACAGAATACTCACTTTTTATGCGACTGATTCGATTTTTGTTTTCGTAAGACACAGGCTATTCATCTTGACTTACGTCAAGTACTAAACTACCTTTACATCACAATATATTGAACAGTGTTCATTTGCAAAGTGCTCCATATGTCCAAAAACACACCTTTTGTGCCCATTGTAGATATATTAGAAGGAACCCAACAGCCAGTGGTTCTGCCCAAGTTAAAAACTAGAACATCAAAACCACCCTGAAAACAGAACCGACCATTATTGTGCATAATATACCGTTGTTATGGCCGCTCTGCAATTGTCTGAGTTTAGGTTACGCTTGTGCCTTTTTTTTCACCAAGCAACGATCAAGGAAAAGGAGCAAAGAGAGATTGTATACACATTAAGAGAAGCTTCACAGATTATTTTAAAGCACCGATTATGCTATAATAATACACTTGTTGACGTCTGATTTAGTCACGTGAGACATTCTGTATCTATTTCTGGCAGTGAACATGTGCCTAAAATTCAGTTTTGTGCTTTGCTGTAGTCCCTGCTTTGACTTCAAACTTATCCAAAGTTAGACATGTGCTCAATGGCAGTAGCAGAAATCTACTAGTCCATGTTGATGGAAATGAAATGGAAATGGAAAGCAGACCGAGAGAATGTGCTAGGTTAGCATGACAGCAGCGTAAGCCGACTAAATCAGCAGCAATTCTGAGGTAGTTGCGCTGGTTTGTCAGTAAGCCGAGTGGTCTTGGCTCCGGACACTATGGACGGGTCTGTGTCCACTCGCTCAGACATCTTCACGCAGATGATGTCCACCAGGCGTTCGAACACTTGCCTGACGTTGATGTTCTCTTTGGCACTTGCCTCATAGTACTCAAACCCTGCAGAAAGAATCCATACATTATAACATGATTATATTCAGTGTCAAAGGAGGTGAAGCCCTACAACTGCAGCATATTATTATTCTGAATATTATTCAGTTCTTCTTCTTTCTTATTATGCAGTAACTATTCTAAATTATTCAGCTATACTGCTATGAAATTTTGCAGTTATGAGAGTGAGAAACTGAAGTGTGAGCTCACATACAGGCTCATGTAGTTTGGGGAGTTTAAAGGATAAAATTCAGATTTTTCAAATTTGCTGCATTATTCAATCATAAGATGTAAACAAAGTAATTCACAGTGGATTGATGTGAAACGCTCCGTTCTGAAGAGCCAGAATTGCTCACAGTGTTGGTGACAGGAAGAAGAGGTCCAGAGCTTTTAATGCATCCAAATGCCTCATCACATGAAGTTATTATATGAAATAGAATATAAATTAGCCTGAGACTGTTTTATGATTATTTTGAGAAAAAATTAAAAAAATTAAAATAAAACACATTTGAAAAGTGGACTTTTTAAAGGCAGAGAGGTACATGCAGGGTGTTGTGAGGCAAAACAGTTCCTAAAGAAATCTATTTTTTTCAGATTTACTACTATTTTACCATCATTAACATTACATATAAAACTCAGAAGACATGTAGGTTCACTGGTAGTTTTGAATAGTAAATAAAGTGACTACATTTGCATTTTAGACATGACGTCTGGTTCCTATTATCACCACTGTAAATAAATCTAGGCCAGTTTCTCTACAATGCACCATTTCACATCAAACCACTCTGAATCACTTTGTTTACATCTTAACCATTGAATTATGCAGAAATGTTGAAAAACTGGTGGAATTCCCTTTCAAAGTTTCCAACTGCTGTTGAACTCACCTAACTGATCAGCCAAGTGCTTGCCTTTCTCCGAAGGAATGACTCTCTCATCATCCATGTCACATTTATTTCCCACTAAAATAACCTGAGCGTTGTCCCACGAGTAGGTCTTAATCTGGGTTGCCCTGCAACAGATGATATTTTTTTGCATTTAGATGATTCATCTACAGCAGCATTCTCTCAAAATGAAAGTGTGATAGCTCTAAAACCCAGACTGACACAAACTGATATGTGATATCTTTTGCGTTGTTCTAGAAACCCGAAAATGGCACAGTTTAGGTTCTTTCTTTGGCCCAGCGAACCTGATTCAACTCATGAAGGACTTCATCATTAGCTGGTTATATAAATACGGTGAACTGGTGAAGGAAAAACACTAAACTGTGCATTACGTTAGCTCTGTGGGACTGGAAGTGAGCAGTAAGTGGGACTGGTTGACAATGTAGGGGTTGGTTGGTGCAGTTTTCATTCTCTGTCAAATATCCACTATGTACCCTATTATCACCAAATGAAAGCTTAGCTAATTTCTCGGTTAAAATCATGTAATGCACTTGTGCCAACCTGCCCCAAGATATTGTTGCTGTCATGCAAATACTGGAATTTCCATTTTTTGTGATTTTTTTACTTTTTTGCATTGTGTTACAATTCCATGATTAATAGACCAATAGAAATGGTCCAAAATTACTTGGAACAAAAAAAAAAATGTTAACTTTCAATAATTTGGAGATGAAATGTTTTGTTCCAATAGTGACAATATGTTCAACATTTCTTTTCACCATTCTTCTTTCATTTAAAAATGAAAAACATTGCTATACATTATAATATACTGTGTAAAAGTTATCTATGTGATATCCAAGGCTGATAACTCCAACTTTTTTCATCTTCATCAGTCCTCGTTATGCCCATATTAGGAACTCCGGGTCTAAACTCCATTTCTTTATGGCAAGAATGAATAGGGTTTTCAAATCGCCTCTATCGCCCCCTGTGTTAAATAAAAATGTTCAGAACCCGATACGTTTTGTTCTGTGTACATTTTTCTCCCGAATACCACTGGATCCTCCGAATTACGAGGTCGTTAAAGAGCCTTAATACTAATATTGCTACATGCGAGCTAAAGCTACTGTGCATCAATTTGATGTCACTAAGCTACACGAAACTAAGGCGGGCTGTGGCGGAGCTCTGATGAGCTGTGCTACCTTATCAAAATGTTCTACAGTAGCGCATAATTACAGGTATACTTGTAAATAAAACTACTTGTAAATAAATTTATTTATACTTAAATAAAATCCACTCTGGGTGGGATTTTCTAATAGACTAAAACTCCATATCAAAAATACTACCCGTGTTAAAACCATGAGGCTGAATTTAGCTTCTTTTTTCGCAGCTTCTTGTTTGAATGTTCCCGTTCCACCTTAAATGGTGCAGCAGCTGTGAGTAGCTATCACAAACATTAGCAAGCAAGACAAAATACTGACCTGTTAGTTTGTCAAAACAGCAAAAATGAGTTACTCAGCTGTTAATAGTGAAAGTCAGCTTCTTTTTTGCCGGCTGCTTGTTTGAATTTTCCCGTTCCACCTTCAGAATGTAACTGCTGCACCATTTAAAGTGGAACAGGAAAAGTTGAACAAAAAGCTGGCTAATGTCCTGAGGAAACATCCTCAGAAAAATGGTACCAGCATTGAAAAAATAATTAGGATATTCTGAGAGCCTAAATCAGTTTATCAGGGGTGAGCAGTGATATTAAGCTGGGTCTATACTAGATTAGCCTGAGTGCAGGTACGTTTGTAGATCTTTTCAAATCAAGCTAAAAGGAAAGATCTATCGTGTTTCAGTGAGCATCAGATGAAGAACAGAGAACTGCAGGGAAACCTGCTGATTTTGTTCTGACTCCTTTTCATCTGCCCTCAGTCTGTACATGGAAATGTACGCTGCCAAAACCCGCTTAAGAAGGCTGCCAGTCAAATGATGTGAATTCAGTGTGCAGTAGCTTTAGCTCACATGTAGCAATATTCATATTTCAACTCTTTAACGACCTCGTAATTCGGAGGATTCAGTGGTATTCGAGAGAAGAATGTTCACAAGACAAAACGTATCGGGTTCTGGACATTATTATTTAACACAGGGGGTGACAGAGGTTTCAAATGCACTGTGCCAACCTGCCCCATTCTCTCCTACGTGGTACAGGGGACAGATCTGAAGCTCTGATTTTGACTTACCAGTCCTGCACTGCATTAAAAGACTCCTCATTGGTGATGTCATACATGAGAATGAAGCCCATTGCTCCTCTGTAGTAGGCCGTAGTGATGGTCCTGTAGCGTTCCTGACCTGCTGTGTCCTACAGATGACCAAAACAGCACAAACAAAACCTTTAAACCTACATGCACAAGTTTTATTAGAATGCAGCAAGGTCATCTTGATCCTTGACAAGCTGTTGTTAAGGTCAAAGGTCATTTACATGAAAAGGTCAGCTCTGTAAAGGCCAACTGATGCATTAATGGTTATCAATGAGCATTAAAGGTCATCAGTGATCTGACCTTGAGGTGTTTAATGGTCAGTAAGCTGGTTAAGAGAGAAGAGAGACTCTTTTATCAATTGTGACACCCAGTTACATCATGTAGCAGTTGAAGAAAAAGGCCTTAAGCAGTATCATATCTGAAGAACAACTCACGATGATTATGATTGTCCTTTATTTATTTATACTTATTTATGCAATGTTTCTATCAGTTTAAGCTGATATGCGGTACTGTGCAAAAATGCTATGGGTCTGAAAGGATGTGTAACTGTTAAGAAGCCCTTACTGAGAAAAGGAAATAGAGGAAAAAGAAGAAAATTTGCAAATTAAAAAATAAATCTGCTAGTGTTGATGGAATGATGGACTGACCACCCCAGAGTCCAGATCTCAATATCATTAAATGTGTTTGGGATTACTTGGACAGTGAAAAGCAGAAATTGACTTACAAGAGAACGTCCAAGACTGAACTTTTGGAGGAGTGGAAAAATATGCAGATTTATTTAAAAAACTGAAAGCAAGTCTCCCAGAAAGAATGTAAGCTGTAATAAATGCAGCGGGTGGGCACGCTCAATATTGACAAATGTGTTTATATACTTAGTTGTTGAAGCTTCTGTATAACTTTCTGTTAAATATACAGTACTGTGGCCTAGGCACATTGTTTAAACACTGCATCTCAGCAGTAACTTGTACAAACTCGTAAAGACACCACATACTGTTAGAATAGATGTAAATGAGCACAAATACAGTAAAGGGATAAATTTCTCATTTCACTCTTTTGAGGTCGTTTTAGGAACAAAGCTTGGTACCAGATTGTTCCTGGATGCTTCCAATCATTTCACTGATTTATTAAGGCCCAATCCCATTTCACCCATCACCCCTACCACTTAGCCCTTAGTAGGGTGTCCTGATTCTTGTTGCGATAGAGGGGTAGGGTGAAGTGTTAGGGCTACATGGCCCTCCAAACAGAAGTTTTTCAGAGACTCACTCCAAACAGAGTGTTGTGAGAAAAAAAAGAAAAATCAACAAGATGGCTGCACGAGCGACCAAAGAAACCCACAAATGTGAGCATTTTCTCCAACAAAAAATTACAATAACCATTGTATTATCTTAGTTTAATGTCCTTTCAATATATTATGGTCTTTTTCTTCATAACTAGCTTAAAAATCATCAGTAGTGTGCTGATGTCTCGGTAGCTAGCTAAATTTCCCATTCTACCTTAAATGGTAACTGCTGCACCATTTAATTCGAACAAGAAGCTGGCAAATAGCTGACATAGCTGGCGAAGTATGGGAGGCAAATCCGGCCAAAAAAGAAATTAAAATTTAAACAATAAAATGTAAATGCAAACCTCTTTTTGCTATTTATTTTTCCAATCATCTGAGCAAATATCCTGCCAAAATTGAAAATGAAATGAAATACCTACATTTGCAGTTTCATTTTTCACATAGGCACATGTGACAAAAATAAAAATACATTTAAAACATCTATTTGTCATTTCATTTTAGTCATTATTCTAGTATTTCATGGCCATATCTAAAATGTTACACAGTACTGTATTTTATTTTAAACCGAATACAAATAGTTTGTACTTAATGGCTGTTTTGACTGGAACTTAAATAAATTAAGTGTGGTTTCTGACTTTTGCGCAGTACTGTAAGGTAACGTTGCTAAAAGGTTCTTGGCTTGGATTTACAGTTTAACTGGTACAGAACCTTTACATGATTGAGTTCTTTAGACTTACAGATCTCATTTACAAAAACGGATCTTTCAAGAGCCATCTAATGAAAGGTTCTTTAGGGAACCATAAGTAGTTCTCCTATGGCATTGTGCCAAAACACCTCTCTTGGCACCACGTTTAAGACTGTAGTGGTGGACCAACACAATAACTCTGGCGCAATCCAACTCACAACACATAAGAATAAGGTAAAAGATGTGGACTGTATGGGGGGCCCTGAGAACTGGACTGGGAATCACTGGACAATTATGTATTAAAGACAAAAATTTTACACTGGTCCACCTCTGTCATAATGTCCACACACTGACGACATTAATGAGGCTTACTTCTTGTGTGTCAATTCATCTGACTCAAGTTTACATTTCTGATAAACTGACCTGTGCAGATAAATCCAGATTGCGAGCACTGAGTGTGCTGTGTCATTGTGGCATGCAGTGGACCAGGCAAGAGGAGTTGGGATGTCTAAGATGTCATTTGAAGCCTTCTGTAGCGAGCGAAATGCCGCAACGTCTTTCACTGCATTCCTTTCTGCCATCAGCGCCTATGCAGCTGTTTTTGAGAGGCTATTTTTTGCCACCTCCAGCTCCCATTTAATCGCCGCTCAATGCACACTGATTACGGCCCGCTGCTTATCGCAAATTGCAATTTACTCCAGTGTCTGTTTCTCTCTCTTCAGCCTTAGGCTTGTGTTTACTCTCCGGTCTCTCTACAACCCTCCCCCCCCCACCCCCAACCCCCTCCTCGCCCTGAGGAGCTGCTTTAATTGGCTCAGAGCTTGGGCTCTGCCAGGGAGCAGTGTGCTGCTGTACTGCTGCCATGACAACCAGCACTGATGATGCAAGTGCAAAAAGGAGGGGGGGGGGGCACTTTGCTTTCCTATTTTTTCTTGAATAAAAATATGGCTTTCATTCACAGTCTAGTAAGATGATGCGGACAGAAAGGGGGTGTCTTGTCATGTGTGACATGACCATGAGATGGTATCACGTTAAGCGCGGTGAGGCAAAGAACCCGGGGACGTCTATATTGATCTGTGCCCAGAATAGATTCCTCAGTATATGTGCTCTGTGCCCAAGCTGACAACCCATCACGTACTGTACCATCTGTCTGGGAGTGTGAATTCACACAGTATTGTTATTTCTGTGCAGGAAAAGCCATCTTTCAGTTCAATTCAGTGAATGAAGATCAGTAAACACCACCGCTGCTACTAAAGGGGGCAGCAAATGACATCAGGAGACGTCATCTTGTAATGGACTCACCCAAATTTGGAGTTTGACCCTCTTGTCATTCCGGTAGACGGTCTTCACTTTGAAGTCGATGCCAACGGTGCTGACGAAGGAGTTGCTGAAGGAATCATCTGCATATCTGAACAAAAAGCTGGTTTTGCCCACACTGCTGTTGCCAATGATGAGCAGCTTGAACATGTAGTCGAAGTTCTGGTCCGAGCCATCTCTCTGGCCAAAACGGTGGTCAGCTTTAGCCATCTGGAAACAGAGCAAGAACATCTTTTATCCAGAAAAGATGAAAATAAGCCTCACTGCGCTTCCAACCCTGCTGAATCACAGAAACCAAGTTAATGACAGTTTTGTAATGGTTTTAATATTTAGCCATGGTATTTTGGGTTAATATCACAATGTAAAGAATCCTAATGGTTTAACAGATGGCCTGTGACAGATTCTACATGGGATCTAATGAGATCTAAAAGTGTTCTACAGGAAACTGTTCATAATGGTAGTTAGGTCAATTCCAATTAGGAAGCAAAACTATGAGGTTCCTTTTTTAACAGCAGTGAAAAGATCTGTGGTAATTGGCTCTATTATAAGGAAATATAAGATTTCTGTAGTGCTGCATGCTATAACACCTCATGGAATATTCCTGTAGCACTGTCTTATAGCAACATACAATACATGTATAGTATTCTGTAGTAATAACTGTGTTAATTATGAAACTCAATAGAATTACTGTAGACCAGCTAAAACACACACATATCACAGTAAAGGCTCTCCAGTCTAAGTAGGTTGGACCTTACAAATCATTATTTCTTTCTACACACTTTAAAAAGATAGCTCTTTAAGGGTTCTTTAGTAAAGGCAATGGTTCTATTTAGAACAATGAGTTCTGTCTTGAAATGGTTCTTCACATTGGTGGAGAGTGTCTTGTGTATGACTCTACAGAAGAAGTCTTTCTGGTGCTATATAGGTCCATAACACATTCTCCACCGACTGAAGAACCATTTTAGCATAAAATGGTTCTATACAGGACTCAAGATTCTGAACAGAACCATTCCCTTTACTAAAGAACCATGTTTTTAAGAGTGTTGCCTCCAGAAACGCGCCAGTCTGTGTTTGCCTCAGCGCATTGTCTGAACAAGCTGAGCTGATTTTAAACAGGTTGATATCTGAGGTGAACATGAAAAAATGGCGACATAGGTGTTAGCTGCCAGGTAGACCCGATAGAGAGCTCGGAACACGCCGTATGTTTAACTCCAGCGGCTGAACGACGACATTAGACGAACATAGTGCTGCACTAAGCATGAACACACGCACTCCATACATCCCACTCCTCGCCATTATTATGGAGCTGCTCACCTACCTCGACTAGCTGGAGCTTCTCCCACTGTCGTCTCCTCTACACTAGGTGAGCTGTATGAGCGCAGGCTGAGGACACAGCTGTGGAAGCTAGGCTGCTGTCTTCAGCCTCACCACACCGGCATTTATGCTCATAGACACGTCCAGTACCTTAACTAGGGGCAAAACTGTGAATGGCGAAGGCGAAGGATGAAGTGAATGCAAGCAGACGGCTGGGGTGGGGCATGCCGCTCACTCATGCTGATTTAGGTTCACTCCTGTAATGAATTAACATCCAGATTTGAGCTCCTTTAAATACATCATCATACAAGTTTTGGGAATACGTGTCCAGAATACAGACATTAAGCAGCTGTGTTCAGTCCAAGTTACATTTCGGAACAGCAGCATTCAGAATACAGTTGCTCTTTGCATTTTTAGGAGAACACTTTTAGAACACTTACTCACTACATTTAAAAAATATGTACCATCTTTCAAAGAAACACCATCACTGCTTGTTAAGTAACTGTTTTAAGATCAGCACTCAGCATGTAAAGACTTAATGAACTCAAAAATGTCTTTTTTACTCACATGGAAGTTCCTGCTAAAGACTGAGTAGACTGATAAATCACTGTGATGAGACACTTACTAATCTGAGCCTTAGTTAAACTCTTTCGTGGGGTGACTGAACTGAGTAGTGGACATGTTCTCGGGTGATAAGCTTAGCTTATGGAAATCACTTACTGGAAATCACACAGCTACTCATTTATAGTAAAATATTCAAGACGTCGCTGTCCAAAGAAAACCATGCATCTCCATTTTTGTCGATTTTTATTTTTCTACATCCTTTCAACACACCAGCTGTCTTTATGTTGTGTGAAAATCTGATGAATGGACCAATAGAAATGCTCTAAAATCACTTGGAATAAAATCTCTTTACATTAACTTACATTGAAAGGTAAGAGCGTTTTTGCCTTCTCCTGTAAAGTTACTATTTTGGAGATACTTTGTTTTCTTTGGACAGTTACTAAGATTGTTATTGGGATATGATGAATTGTTGGCTTAGGTCATGAAAGGGCAGTGATATTATGGAAGCAACGGTGGACTGAAGCAGGTGATGAGAGCCAAAATAATGTTGAGAATTTTGCATTCATTTCTGGAATTTATTGGAATAATTGATTTTTATGAAACATATTATTAGAAGAATTACATGAACAAAACATCCAGTATAAGTGTGAAATATAACAGTACATACGTTTTTCCCATGTACCTCATCAATATGTATCGCAAATGTATTCTAAATACGTTACCTTATTTATTGTAGTGGAATACGCTACACTTAGGACAATGTATTCAGTATTCAGCCATAACTACTTTTTCTAAGTATTTTGCCCAACCATGATCATGAATCATAAAGGCCCAACAATGCAAGAAGACTTCATCAGTTAATTACATTTCAAGCTGTTTATTATGACACAATCTGTATGACTCATTGAATAATTCCTCATCAGGCCATAAATAGCACCAGCAATGGTGCATGTCTTTGTGCATGGTGGAGCAGCAGGGGTAAACCACAGTCCTGGAGGGTCACAGTGCTGAAAGGTCATAACACTTGACCACTTCAAGTGTTTCCAACCTTAATGCAGCCCATCAGCTCATTTGCAAGCTCACCATGAGCCAAGTCAGGTACAATGAAGTGGAGAAACACATAAGCTGTGGAGTGGTGAGGCCGTCAGTGACTGGTATTTGACCCTCATTTGCTCTTTTAAACCGTCTGACTTGTACATAATACAGTACAGCTCTACAAAAGTGAGATCACCCTTTCCTTTATTCCATTTCCAGCAATTGTGTGCTTGTTGTTTAGAAAAAAACATATACAAAATTACACAGAAGTCCAACTAAATACAAGCCTACAACTAGATACATAATTTTTTTCAGTATCTAGTGTATCCACTCTTTGCGTTTGTCACAGCTTCCATTATTCCCAGAGGTATTTTACACACGTCTAAAAGTTCAGTCTTAGAAGTGGGTTGCATTTGTTATTATACTTGTGTGTGTTGGAGGCTTTTGTGTAATTTTCTGTTAAATGCTATGTGTCCTGCTTTTTTCTTCAACTCTGATAAATGATCTTGACATTAAATGCAAAACAGTGGTCTCTTACTTTTGCACACTTCTGCATATTCTTAGACCAAGACAAAGGAGAAGAAGGCGCTTCAACCAACCATAGGTGAGGTGCAACCAAAAAAGAAAAAGGTTTTTAGTAAAAAGGTGCAATGCTCACTCTATTCTAGCAAAAAGACACTTCACCTTAAAGACCTTGCATGGAGTTCAAAATCTCATGTTATTAACTGTTTTTTTTTTTTTGCTATGATGCACCTCTTCCCTTAGAAACACTGAATATTGTTATAAGCAGCTCTTCAATAAATTAAACAAGTGCTCCATGTTAGATTTTCACACTTCATCTCCCAAACAACAAATGAGCACCTTCAACTAGAATGTAATGGCAGTTCTTCTTGTTTTCTGGCCCAATTTTTACACCATTTTGAAATCTATGAAAATGCTGTGACTGTTGCAGTGTTTACTGCATAAGCCATCAGCATAAATCCCACATTGCCTTCAGCAGGGTCAGATGTCTGTAATGCTCCCCTAAATAAATACATGCCAGTCTTACACAGCAAAATTTGATGCACAAAATAACTCAATGACAATTTTTACCATCAAACTGATTTCTAAACTGTAATAAATACAAGTAATATCAATAGGAGAGTCGATATTCAAACCAAACATAAACCGGCATACATGGCAGCAGATGAGATAGTATTAGTTTGATCCAGGCCAGTCATACAGGTCATAGGTCAATGGGTTGGAAGAGCAGACTAATCCCAATAAAACGACAATGGGCAGCGACTTCCTGCTGGGACGCCTTTATCTCCACTGGGCCTCAATGAGACTTCTTTACACCAGAACTCTGTTCCCACTGAACTGGACATTACTTTGTGGTGACACCTTGTCCTATGCCGCTCTGCTCTAGTTCTGCTATCACAGACATGTGCTTGAACTCTGCTGGTCTGTGGTTGAACTTCTCCACCAACTGATAAGTCTCATGTCTCTGTGCAGCATAGAATAGCTGCACCTGATTGGCCAAGCACTGAGCCTCATGAACAGTCTGAAAATAAATAAAACAAAGCTATTAAAAAAGTGCTTTTTGACATCAACAATGGGAGAACAGCTTTTTCTAAAGCAACACAAGTTATTTTTCTCCAAGCTGTGTGGCACTCACAATGAATTTCCCGTCCATTTCAGCAGTCATGAGCACAATGTCCTTGTCCTTCTGCAGGTCTGAGTAGTGGTACAGAACCAGCTGGCTGGGAGCGCTTTCGCCCAAGGTCTGAAAGTAAAACAAGCCATGTCTATAAACTGAAGCAGCAGGCAACACAGCAGTGAACTAATTTAGTCTATTAATAGAGATGATGTATACCTGAACGTTGATAAGAGAAGTGAAGTGTAGCTCCTGACCAGCCCACTGACCCAGAAAGAATTCGTAGCCCTCTTTCCTCGGCAGAGCATATAAGAACTGTTGGAAGAAAAACAGAGCTTAATAACAGGATGTTCTGATACTGATACTGCAACTTCACACATATATGTGTGTGTGTGATAAGTTGCAGTAGCAGTATTAAAATATCCTGTTATTATTAATATATATGTGTGAGAAGTTGCAGTAGCAGTATTAGAACATCCTGTTATTATAAATAACTCATCTATTTACATTAGTATCAGCACTTTGGGACTGACAAGAACTGACCGCAAAAGAGCAAATAATGCCCAGAATGCAAGAAAGCCACTTTAGCGCTGCTCAGCAATTTACCCACCAATTACACCTGCATTAAGGTGGGTGCCTGGTCAATAAGCCTTAATGAGAATCAATCCCTGTAACTAGTGTGCTGAATATTTTAAAACCTTGAGGAGTTTGGGGGAAGTGTTTCCTTGCTAAACTGATAAAGATTTCTATTTACTTAAATTAGAATTATCTAAAGGTGTAAAGCTATATGCAAGCTTAACTGTATTAACTGTAATAAATCAAATGGTATGAAAATAAAAGCAGTGTCTACATTGTGCACTGTATGTTCCACTTTTTTGTCTAAAATGAGTTTTTTTCGTTTCAGCCATTTGACAGTACAAAAAAAGACCACGCATACCTAGGAACAGAATGTGAATGACAAGCGATTTCCATGTGGTTCTTAATACAATGCTGCCACCATGTGGTGATACAATGTTTAAATAAATATATCAAGGTGACTAAAAATTCTGAGCTTCCACAATATTCTTTAAGCTCCACAGCTTCTGCACATCCCACTGGTGCTTCTGAAATAAAAATGCAGTTTGAGATTCTGGGGTGTCCAGCAAATGTCTAAATTCTAAGACTAAATTCTTGTTTTCCATAATCTTTGATGATATCGTAATAGATTGTCTCTAAACTGTCCTCTGACTTTTGATTACTTCACCGTGCGCCAGTATGTGGAAAATAATAACAGATAATATCATGTTTCTCCCCGCCCTTCACCCCACTCCCACCTATCGAGAGAAAATGCTCAGTTAGCTCAGAGACCCTCCCTGACACCGTGTTACTCACAGTAGGGTGAGCAAATGTATATCAGCCTCACGGGCCACTTCACTAGTATTTCATTGCTGTGTGTCTTACCATTGGGCACGACTTAGCTCGACTGATCATCATCTCAAATGTTGACCCCTGAAACAAAACAAATGATTCTGTTACTATGTAGAAAACCTCTCGGATGAACAACATCTAATATACAACACTTACATTTCAAACTATTCTTTGATCACTTCAGAATTAACAGAAGTCACTTCTGTTGATTTATGCTTTACAAAATGTAATGCAAAAGAACGCACCGGTATGACAGCACTGATCGTGTCTTTTGTTGAGAAATATTGCATCCAAAGCTAAACAAAGAACAATGATGGATTAAACATAGCAAACAAAAACACAACAGGAACATATATGCTTAATTCTATTAGTGTGTGTGTGTATAATTTTATTATATATATATATATATATATATATATATATATATATATATATATATATATATATATATATATATATGAATGAAATAAAGTTGTCACCTCTCCAATTTCAGTGCCAGACTTGTCCTGAACCATGTCAAGGTTGAGGATTGATCCTAAAGTCTAACAAAAAAAAGGAAGGGCTTTTAGTGACCATGTGATGAACCAACACTAGTAAAAGAACACTGTATGGTTCCTTTGTTACCTTGTTCTTGGTAAAACTTCCATGTTCTGCTTTGCCTCGTTTATCCATCTGGAAAAAGGCAGCCAAAAAATCCATATTAAGGGACAGCACCAATGTATATATATTGTGATATTATAATCAAAACAGTGTGTGTTCAGGATCTGATATGTGTATATATTCTACTGGCTACTTCAAAACATTCAAAACAACATACAACTTTCTACCAGCAACACCTTGCAACACTTCATAATCATGCTGTGATGTGGGGACAGTTACCTCCTGATCCATGAGTTTGATGAACTCAGCTTGTTTTGAATGTCCAAGAGGCTCCTTCTTTACCTCGCTGCGCTTCTCTAGACGAGCTTTGTATTCTTGAGGTTTTGAGCTTCAGTCATATAAAAATATAGGATAACACAATGTATACTGTAAGACATTGACTCAGTATCAGCAGAAGTGTTGTCACTGCAGTGGAAAATCTTAATAAATCCAGCATCTGTCTGCATATGAACTGAAATATGTGAGTTATTTTGCTCTTTTTGGATCCTGTGAATAACAGTAAAGCAGCTCATTGTCCATTTTATCAGCTCCACTTACTATATATGTGCACTTTGTAGTTCTACAATTACAGACTGTAGTCCATCTGTTTCTCTGTGTACTTTGTTAGCCCCCTTTTACTCTGTTCAACGGTCAGGACACAGAGCAGGTACTATTTGGGTGGTGCGTCATTCTCAGCACTGCAGTGACACTGACATGATGGTGGTGTGTTGTGCCAGTATGAGTGGATCAGACATAGCAGTGCTGCTGGAATTTTTAAACACTGTGTCCACTCACTGTCCACTCTATTAGACACTCCTACCTTGTCAGTCCACCTTGTAGATGTAAAGTCAGAGACGATAGCTCATCAGCTGCTGCACAGTTTGTGTTAATCATCCTCTAGTCCTTCATCAGTGGTCACATGATACTCCTGGCTGCATATTTTTTTTGTTGGTGGACAGTTCTCAGTCCAGCAACGGCACTGAGGCGTTTAAAGACTCCAGCATCCACTCGCACCAGCACAACACACACTAACACACCACCACCACATCAGTGTTACTGCAGTGCTGAGAATGATCCACCACCCAAATAGTACCTGCTCTGTGAGGGTCCATGGGGGTCCTGACCACTGAAGAACAGGGTAAAAGGGGGCTAACAAAGTATGCAGAGAAACAGATGGACTACAGTCTGTAATTGCAGAACTACAAAAGCTTCCTATATAGTGAGGGGAGCTGATAAAATGGACAATGAGTGTAGAAACAAGGAGGTGTTCCTAATAAAGTGTCAGTTGTCTGTATTGTGTACAGCAGGTGGGGAGCATTTAACCAGCAAGGTCACGCAAAAACACAGTCATTAAATATATGTCCATGCATACATTGCAAATGTAAACAGTCAACATTAGCACTGAACACCAGAAACGTGTCTATTTTTCAGGTTTTCTCCTACAATGTTGGTTAAATGTGTTCAATGTCTCTCTCAGTAACTTCACTGACCAGCGCGTTAGCCTTCCTACCTGCGCAGTTTCCTGATCTTCTCTTCATATTTATTGTAGTACGGATTCTCCTCCAGCTCTGGTTCTTTTGTAACGGAAAAGGCCCTTAACTGAGAGGACACTAGGCCGGGAATGAGCGCTCGGATGCCCGTGTTTCTCACCGCTAACATGCCGCGGTAAGAACAGGCCATCTGCACCACGGCCGCTGCCATCTTATCCCCGTCGCTCATCAGTAGCGCTCCGGGTGAGCGCAGCGCCGTGATATTGGTTCCTATCATACAAAAACATTGTAGTGCTCTAAAAGTTTCACTTGTTCACTCGCTCCCTGCACCCTATGTAGCAGAAAATGTGGGGAAGTGGACAATGAATAAGATTAAGACTTATCCCTGTGTCCTCCAACCCTATCCATTATTATGAGTGCTGTTAATTTAGCTTTATTTCTGCATGTATTTTTTTTTTATTGGAGTGCAAATAGTACAATTGCAACAATGTTAATATACATAATGCATAAACACAAAACATTATATCAGTTTAAACCAAACAAGGGGACAGAACACATGCATTTACAAAAGTATGTTAAATAAGCTGCATATACTCATTATTTCAACAGCTTTTTTGTTTTTGGAATGATAATAGCACGTAGGTATTGTTTAGCTTTTATTTCAAATTTAGAAAAATACGATTTGGAATAAGTAAAGTTTTTAATTCCATGAATATGAATTTTTGCCAAAAAGATAATCAAATTAATAATATAATAATCTGTAATTTTATCACTTTTATGATGACTGAAGCCAAACAATACATTAACTAAGCAAAAATTAAATTCAGGGTCTTTGTTTCTGTTTACAAAATTGCTGTTTTTTGCCATCATGACAAAATACTGTTTTTTTCTTTGGTAAGACATCTTGGGAAGATCTTCATCACAGATGTGTGGAAGCCCATTTATGCCACAAAAATACAACATCTAATTACTCATTTTTTTTCATTATTAAATAAATTGCAGTGTCATTATTTCGCAATACTAAGTCATTATTCTGAAATAATATCTCAATATTTTGCGATACTCTCATTTTTGAGATACTGTCATCATTTTGAGATATTATGTCATTATTTTGAGATACTATCTAATTTTAAGATGCTTTCTCAATATTTTGAACATCATTATTTTGAGAAACTTTTTATATTTATACATATATTTATATTTATATATATATTTTCCTCTGAAGAGCATCTCAAAATCATGAGAACATTTTTTAAAATAACAAGAACGGTTCTTAAAATAATAAGAAAGCATCTCAAAATATTTAATACAAAACAAAGTTTACTGTTGACAGTCTAATGCTACAAAAAATGGCTCACCCCCAGCATAGTTCAGATTTCGCTGGTAGAGAGGAATGTGGAACACAGTGAGAGTTTGGTGTAAAACCACTATGGCAGAGCTCCTCAGCTGAAGCCCTGAAGCCACCTGCACTGCACAGTTTCATATTTTCACTGCATCCAAGTCACATCATTAACAGAACAGCACCTATCGACATGGCTCTGGCAATGGTCAGCTTCTCTTTTAATTTCTGAGAGGTTGGTCACTATAGCGACATATTAACACATGTCAAAGATGAACAAAGTGGTTAACTTCAATCAAATGTTTATTGGATGTTTACAGATTTGAAAGAAGTGGCGCAAGTTGGTGTATAGTCAGCATATTTGTATTGTCTTTTTATTTATTAACTTGCGCAGGTGCTGAACAAATATATTTGTGTTCTGATTCTGCTGTGCAGTGTTTTGGAGTCCATTTCTTTTGGTCTTGGGCCAGAATACATCTGTGAGAGGAATTGGCAGGGTCCTGCTGGCCTGAAGTTTTGACCTTCTTCAGTCTGGAGAACGTCAGCGGCGCCCCATCGGCCCAGGACCACTGCCCTGGAGTCCCGGAAAGCCCTGCCCAAACAGCAACAGTAAGCTTTCACACACAAACAACTGGACCATATGTTATCAATATCATGACAAATGACTTCTCAATGTGCTTTTTGGAGTATTTCATGGGTTTAGTATGTCTAGAACAGCAGCATTCAGCATAAAAAAGACAAGATTAGTCTGAGAGAGTCTGTAAACAACAATCAATGGGTAGTAACTGCATAGTAGCTTCTTAAATAATTTATTTTTTGAAAATGATCAATTTAATAAACAATTCAAAGTTTTTCATGGCCTTTTCAAAATGTAGCTCTGCTGTTTTGGTGCATTTTGTTCATTCCAACTTGTTCACAAGCCTACATCAGTATCCAACACACTGCAGTCTGTCCTCACCAATCCAGAAGGGTTGTTTTCCAGCAAACCTCCACAGCCATTTCATATCAGCCTTTGAACGAATGCTTGTCAAGTGACCGTCAAGCCTGAATTTGCAGAAACAGTAAAGGAAAGTAACTGATTATGTTCAATATTATGCACAATGGGTGGAAGCCAAATGCAATAGCTGTGGTGTTATGATTAACATACACTGAGCATGCATGCTGAGCGCTGCTCCAGGTGGCTACACCAGGACCCAGGATAAAACAGCTCCTTTTGTAATGGGTCCATCCAGTGAGACAGCCAACACTAACAGACTTTGCAGACTGAAAATAACAGGAGAAAACAGTTGTGCTAAAGTCTTAGAACACCTGAGCATATTTTTATGTTTAAGACTATTTATCTGTGCAGTCAGTGATATACAAATAAATGCAATAGCTGGGCTGCACTGTGGAAAAAAGAAACAAATCTGCTCTTCAAACCAGCTTACAAGATATCAATACCTTATACAACATGAAAATATTGTTACTTTTTGCTTTATTAATGTTGGTTTGTGTTTATTATTATGTTATATATTGTTTTTAAACAATTTTCTGGGCTGGCCTAAGACGTTTGCACAGTACAGTATGTACATACATGAATTAATGATGATAAATGAGATGAATTAAGTCTGTAGTTTTATCTTTGTAGGTCTACAGAGCCAATCAGATCCCCCTACCTTGTGCTGCTGTACGGCTGAATTGAAGCCACTAGGAATTCCGTCTCTCTGAGGAATTTCCACTGATCTGATGTCAGCAGAATGTCCATTCCAGCTCCAGATTGGAGTGACCTCCACCTCCGGATGGACACGGGGCACCTCCAATGGCCTCAAGGGAATCAAGCTATGGAGCTAATTGCAAGAGATGTATATGCAATCACCTCATTAATAATATGTTGACACAATCAATTATTAATGCCACTAATTTTTTATGGAATAAAAAAGGATGCAATTTACCACGATTAAGTATTTTAATCATTTGACAGCCCCAATTTAAAGATACTTTATCAAATTAATGATATTTGTTCAAAATAAATTTCAGTGACTGTCTACATTCCTTTTGTATTACATTGTTTTCTGTTGAAAAAACACAAAATATAAAGTTATGAAAAGTATTATTGTTCCAATATTATTACAACACAAGCTTAGTGTTAGACACAAACCTAAAAGAATCACTGTCCATATTCTGTCTTGCTAACATTTCGTATTTCAATAAGAAAACCCTACAATTCATATATATATATATATATACACTACATGAAAACAGCACAGAGCAGCAGTTGTTACCCATGGTGTATGTGAGGCATCCTGTCTCACTCTGTGTCTGTTATTGCCCAGCACTCTAGTGTGTCTCCTGCCTTGGCTGAAGAAGGCTTGGTCCTGAGGCTCTGCACTGCTGAAGCGAATGAACTGCGTGCGATATGGGACATCTCCTCTTGGTGGATGGTTCTCCCATATGATCCCAGTATTTGGGTCAGGGGTATACTCTTCTTCTTGTGCTGGCGGTGGTGGTGGTGTTGGAGGCTTGTGAATACGTGGAGGATGGAGAAGGGTTGGGTTTTTCTCATCGTCCTCTACAACCAGATCATCTGGGTCACACCTACCTGATGAAAGAAAATTATAGTTTAAAATGTATGAGTGGACAAAAAATATATAATGTACAGTTATAAATTATACAGCACTGATTATGTATATATTATATATTATACTGTTATATACAAAAGTTTGAACACCCCTGATCAAATTACATGTTTTGTTGATTTTCTGAATGAAAATAATAATAACACATCCTCTACAGAGAGCACACTTAAATATGGCTTTGTCCTGCTAATTTTATTTGTGCAATTCAATTTATTTGCTGAGTTTAACATGCTAGAAAAAATGTGCTAGAACTTTTGCACAGGATACATTTATATTTTCTATGTTTTAACATGTTAAATTCAGCAAACGCTAATAATAAACAATAAAATAGCAATAAACAATAGAATGTGTTTTCTGTGTAGAGAACTACACAACTCTTTTTCTCTTAGAAAATCAACAACACATACATTTTGACTGGGGTGACCAAACTTTGGCGTTTGATTGTATATTATCACTGTCATACCAAAATTGTTTTCCCCCTCAGTTTTTTTTTTATTTTTAGCACCTTTTGAAAACACCTGTCATTTTACTACATTGCGTTAGCATTTGCTGACAAATACGCCAATAAATATGTTCCAAAATCACTTAAAATAAAATCTAGTCTACATATAAATAAAGTCTAAAGTCTTCATAATGTATAATTACATTTTATAATGTTACCATTTAAGATTTTTTTTGTTTTGTTACTAAACTGTTTCAAAATTGTATGTAATGTGTATCCTTCTATGTAGGTATAAGCACTGATTCTTCTGGCAGTGTTGTGGCTCTATTTGTACTAGCTTAAGGGTTTAACAAGGCACTTTAATAAGTCTCTGGATAAGAGCATCTGTTAAAAGCTATAAATGTAAACAATAACATTATGTTACAACAGCGACATTAAACTTTACCAGCATATACGCAATTTCTGAATGTGAAACTGTACTATGTAGCTGGCTTATATAGCAGTTTTTGGCAAATGTGTGAGTTTTACCGTTTCGGGGATCCACAATCTCCACCGTGGCTTTGCTTATTGGGCCCAAAACAACATTCTTTTGGGCTTTCAGGACAACTTCCAGTTTCTCATGATTCTCTTCCAGGCCATCATCTTTGAGATATATGTTCCAAAATTTGACATTTACTCCTATGATAGATGTGAATGTCAAGGATTGAGAGAGAGAGAGAGAGAGAGAGAGAGAGAGATAACAGATGAATAATGTGAGCGACCCCACCCATAAACGCTCTAATTCTTTGCTCTTCCTGTAACAAAAACAAAGTAAACACATGTGAACTGGAAAAATTAAATGCTGAATGATTAAAGTTCTCATACAAAAATATAAAAATATACAGCTTAACAAGAAATATAATAACAAGGGCAGTTTAAACAAGACTGATGCAATTATTGTGCAGAGAGGTGTTCCATTTGTTGGTAATCACTGGCTACTACTGCCTATTACTGGCTGCTGAGTTGCCCTACTTTTACAGTTGTTATGTAAAAATACAGGAGAATGGTCCACAGCTTGTAGACAGTAAATTACTGTCATTTGCAGTTATTTTTTTCAGCGTGCCTATGGAATTTATCTGATGCAACATCATCGTCGTACTAATCTGATGTGTGTAAAATTAAATCTCAGACACCTGGATCAAACTGTATCAGACTAGCAGAGCTGGTGGTGAAGTCTTTTCCCACTTTAGCTGTGCCCTCTTCCACCTGAAACACAAAAGAGTAGAGTTTATAACTCCTGTAAACTCAGTAAACATTCAGCTCCATCACTTCCTTCACAGAGCCCGTGTCTGGACTCCGTCTGTAAGTTTACTGCTAAAGAAGTTCACCTGTATGCCAACGTAGGCGGGGTCTGCGCTGTTCCCACTGCGCATCACCTGCACAGCTAGAGTTCCTGCGTTCTCACAAACACGGTAACAGGAAGCTGTCAGCTCCACACGAGACCACCGCAGTTCCATTCTGCTTTGGCACACGAGAGAGAGCTCGTTCACACTAGGACTTGGCTGGAGCTTTGGTGAATAACCAATCTATTTGAAACGCATCTCCATAACGAACACAGCATGAGACGAATTAACGAACTAAACAAGTCTGTCCAAGTGATACACTTAGAAAAGCTGTCAGTATGTTGTTGTGTGTGACAGTGCTGCATAGATTTGATGTGACTGTCGCTGAGGTCCCATTACACTACATTAACCTTCTGCCAAACAAGTTCCTACATTTGAAACATATTTTGTAGTGACTTGACTTTAAACTCCAAAAAGACATTTGTACAGTACAGCGCTCTTAAATTAACAGAACCTCATGGATATTTCAACAAATACTGTTCTAAAGTCTAGTTTAGAAAAGAAGCATCTCAATACTGAAACTGTCACACAAACCTTGAAGTGTGAACGATGCTAAATTCTTTACTACAGTCCATTTTAAAAGACAAAGGACAATTACTGGACAAACACAAACATTCTGCTGTTTGCAGTTGTCTTTAGAATGTCCAGAAAAAAACTGACAACTAAAATTAATCAGATTGAATGGGAGAGAAAAGAAACCAGGAAAAAAGATACTGCACAGGTACGCTTTTGTCCCCCTAGGTATAACAAATGTATGACATGAAATGTGCAAACACTGAAAAAATGGTTCATGATGAAAATGTGGAAAGTAAAAACAAAAAAAAAACAAATAAAATATCTTACATCTCACAACTGCTTTATTTAGGCCCAATCCAAGGGGTAGTGGTTGAAATCTACACCCACAAAATGGGGCCCTCAAATAAAAAGAGCATTACTTCATTATCAGGCTACTAGTGTTGCTCTGTAGGCGACCCTGCCAGTCTGCAGTGATAGCAGAGGAGGGTAAAGTTCCTGTTTGTTTCCTGAAGACGTACCTTTGTGGAGACCATGTCTGTGCTCAAAAAAGTACAGTTTAATATCTCATATACTTTCTGATAGAGCATGTGTCGCAGGCCACAGCACTGCAGTGATCTGCCTCATTAAACACACATGATTCAGCTCAACAGATACTGCACAAGACCTTCATGTAGTAAATTCAGCACGTTAGAAGAGGGAGCGTTCTAATCTCCGCAGAGCCGTGACCCAGATGGAACCCAGTTTGACATACCTGTTCAAGCGTCTTTCACTGAAACAATGAAACACAGGTACAACACACCAACCAAATGCCTGTCTGTTAGTGTCTGTTTGTGTTTGTCTGATCTGTGTACTCTAACCTTAGCCTGCATAAAGAGAGTTAACATACACTTCTGGCAGCATGGTGTTTCCCGCTGGGTCCTTGACCTGAAACTCAAAGCTGTCTGCAGTCACCTCCATGTCTGAGGGAATGACATAGCGCACGGCTCGCTGGTCCACATCCTTCTGGGTGAAGCGCCCTTTAATATAGCCACCTAAAAAACACCAGAGTGGCCTGATCACACACGGAGGTTATCACCAATTATTGAATTTACGTAATTCAAATGTGTACATAATTTTCACATAAAAAATCTATTGGATGACACAGTTATTGCCAAATGTAAGTGAACCTTAAAGACAGTGTTGATGTAATATATTTTCCAGGTGGAAATGATGTTGCAGTTGAATCAGTACATTAATTCAATTAAGTGCATTACCTTTGTCAGTGCAGTAACAGAGTAAAACTACCTGTGATGGCGTTTTCGAGGTATCCAAAGTGTGGAGGTCTAGTGATGATAAACTCCAGTTCCTGGTCAGGGCTGTCCGGGTCTGAGGCCTGTAGCTCTTTGGTGGTGATATAGATCCCATGTTTATCATCTTGCAGGTTCTCTACCGTACTGGGGGTCCCTTTGTTCACAAGCCGAGGGGGGGTCTTGTCTATAACCTCTATCTGTAGACGCAGTGGTGAAATTGATTTCTGTTCAAAGTGAATTGCAGTTGACGCAATCAACCAGAAGAGGGAGCCATCATGATGTATATTGATGAAAAAGCAGCCTCATTCAAATTCTTTAATTCTTAAGCCTTGTTCAAAGTGAATTCAAGTCTTCAAACAAACTGTCATCTCTTTCTTGCCACACTTCACAAAAAAACAAAAAACAACTGGACCTGAATTTACTCAAGTTACTATCGTTGGCAGTTTGTGCTATAGATTGAGGTATATTGTCTGTTCACTATCAGAGAAGTTTGTTGCACCAAGTTTGGGTAGATGGTATAAATTATAAAAGAGGGTTTCAGCTGTCAGTGTTACAAGAAGCCAGAGGAAACCACTCCAGGCTACAATCAACAGCCAGTTTGCCACTTACTTCACCTCATTTTCTTTGGTGTAAAGTCGACTGAGGATGGTTTTAGATATTATTTATGATGATTTCAAATGCACAGCAGCTCCCTTCTCAAGGGTGTTTCTCTTCTGCGGTTTTACGCTCATGTTAGCTTAAACATGGGGGCATGGGAGAAGCTTCCAGAATATGAGAGTGAGGCAGAGCCACAGCACATGGCTACGGTTGGTAATGTAGCATCTGGCCAGCACAAGTTTGACATGCAATGCAACCAGGACAACCTGGTTAACCCTCCACAAGCCACGAGTACACATGGTGCATCTAAACTGAGCAGGCCTGAAGCCTATAGGCATTTCTGAACAAATATACAGTCTTGTTTAATTTAGTAGTGCATTCTGTTGTCACCTCAATCAGGAAATCATACTTACTAAATAGTGGATATTGTCATAAAACTTTACTAAGGTCCAATGTTCACACTTATTACTTAGGCTATCATAGCAGCCTGTTGCAAAGTTACAGAGCCTCTTTATAGACATATCATTGAATATCAGTTTTCCTGGCAGGAAAGTGTGCAGAAGCGAAGGACAAATGGCCTCTGATGGGGAATTAATTTGACTTTGTTCTACAATGGATGTGGTTAGGGCTGAACAATTTGGGAAAGACCTCCGCATTTAACCCATCTGTTCAGTGAAACACCCACATACACACTAGTGAACAAACACACTAGGGGGCAGTGAGCACACTTGGGCAGCCCTATCCACAGCGCCCTGATTTTAGTGTATTGATATATAACGTAAACTGCATGTACATCCCATTCTTACCTGTATTGTGAAAACTGCTGGCTGCTCCCTTAGCTGCCCGTATTCCAGGTACCCTTTGTTGGTTCCATCGGACGGCTGAAAGGTGAATCTGTCAATTTTGGCGAAGCTGTTGAGGTGCTGGTAACTTAGCTGCATGTTGTTGATGTCTAACTGTGTGAAGCGGGCCTGGGACAGGGGGAAGCCTTTAAGCAGCAGCTTGCCATACTGTGGCGGTTGAATGAGGGTGTATGTGAGGTTCTCAAAGGCTGTATCAGGGTCGGTTAGTTGAAGGTGTTCAGGAGAGATGATCTGGGTGGAACCTTCGCTCAGCTGGAGGCCTGTGTTGATGCTCAGAGTGGGTGGAATACGGTCACTGTGTTGAACAGTGAAACTAATGGAACCGCTTCTGGACGTCACGCCATTGCTGATGTCAAAGCTGGAAAGGGGAACAAAATTTCTTTATGTTAATGTATACTAAATGGCCAGGATCCACTGGCAAGTCCAAACCTTTTTTTACACACTTCTATAACTTAAGAATATCTCAGTCAGTTTTGTATTGTTTTCTATGTAATTACTGGGTCATATGTAACATGCCTGGAATTTTAAGGGGTTAAGAATGCTTCTTCTATTACTACCATAAATTCTTTTTACTTTGGAGATAGAAGGTTTTATTTTAGTACTGCAATTAAGCAAAGCCCTAAAAAGAATTCTGCACAAAGATGACATTTTTAAACCCTCAAACTCTAGGCGTATTTGGTTCTTAATCTTTAGGCTTATTATCCAGTAATTACTATGAATTAGTCAGTAAATACCAAGAAGCTAATATCAGTTATTAGCGTGCGAAAGGCAAGTCTGGATCTGCTGATAGTTCCATAGCATTTAAAGGGTTATAAACAAACTCAAGGTTTAGTCAAAGTGTATTTGAACGTCCGGTGTAAAATTTGCATCTCATAACATAACATTTCATGTTCTTTGTTAGAACTAGAGCGTATTCCGAGTCTTCTGCGCTCATCCAACACGTGGCAATGTGGCAGTGGCATTGCACTGGAGCAGAAGGCGGAGTGATGGGGTGAACAAGAGGAACACGAGAGAAGAGAGCCCTCATTGAACCCACTGCCAAACCCGTCTGCCTCACAACACACGCTGCCCTGCAGCCTATAATCGGCAACCATAGTAAACAGCACTCCTGTCACCTCGCGCTGGCCTCTCTTCTCACTCTCTCTCACAGCCAAACCGGCCAAACATCTGGCGTCACCATTGTCCCACATTTTGCTCGGTAATTGTGCCCAGAGTCCCACTCTGCTCGGCTGCCGCAGAGGCAATGCCAGGCAGAATTATTACTCTCCTAATAATGCCCATTCATCATCCGCCTGTCAGAGGCAAGCAGAAGGAGGACCAGGGCTCCCCAAAAAACACCTTCTGCCTCTCTCTCTCTCTCTCTCTTCTCCCTCCCTCCCTCCTGGCCTCGGCCAGCGCCACTGTCGACTCCTCGTTTTTGACACACAGGTGTTCGCTCAGGTGTTTCCCAATCACAGGGTCTGTTGTCACAAGCTGCCTGCCACAAAGCACAAATACAAGCTGTTCAAAAAGCAAAAAAAATCACAACACCCTTGTCTGTTCCAGCCAGTGCACTGCCTTGAACTGCTCAAGCAGCTCAGTACAGAAGTTTTGACAGTTTTAGGGTTCAAGATTCTCTGGTGCTTTAGGGTACAGGGGTACAAGACGCTCTTAACTGAAGCTCAGTTAAAGCAGTCAAGTGGCCTGGTAATCATTGACTGTAGACATTATTATTTATACTATTATTATATAGCACAAAAAATAAGCAAATTTAAGAAGCCATTAGACAACAACAGAAGAAAAATCAACAAGGGATTAAATAGAAATGCACTAAAAATGTAGTAAAAATATAATTATGATAAGGAAAAATAAAATAAGAAACAACAGTTCAGCACAACATTAAAAGAACAAACTAACTATTAAATAGATGAATAAATATACAAGCAAACTCTAAAGCAATGTCAAATTATAAAGCAAGTATCAAATAAATGTACTTCAGAGAAAAGTTAAACTAAAAAAAGGATTTTTATGCTGCTTTTTAATATTACTAAATAAAATAGTTGTACGAAGGAGCTCCAAAGTGCACAGGGAGTTACGGAGCGTAAACATTAAAAGAAGCCTCTCCACTCCTTTACAGCGTCTCTCTTCCCACAGTGGACTCTGCACTGCCCTGTGCTGTTCTGACCATGCATGCTGGCTGAGAACGGGGCTGCTGCTTGCCCTCTCTTAAGCGGCACCCTCATCAGACTTGGCTGAGCCAGGCTTGTTTGCTCCCAGCTGACCCCGAGGTGAAACTCAGCCAAGGTTTTGGGTGACAAACCAAGGCGCAAACACACGAGAGAGGCAGGACAGGTCAGCCATACGCTGCCTTCTCTGAAGTCTGCCTTCTGCCAAATTGGCTGGAAAAGTACATAAACATGGTGAAATGTTCCCCTTTTTTCTTTTTTTTGCTGTCATTGCTCTAATATGGCTGACAAAAAGCTCCCCCTCTTTTGTTCTTGTTTTTAATGTGACATTGCCTACGGATCTGCCTTTAATCTACTATGTGTGTTTCGCAGCAGACCACATATAAGAAACTCCTGTATCTCTAACTTGACATTTAGCTCTTGAAATTTACTTAACATCTTTTAATGTAACTTGTAAAAAAACAAAAAAAAACAAAACAAACAACATAAGTCATTTTGGACTTCTATTGGTCAACCTGTGAGGAATGATATATGGAGCAGCTGGCATTTTCCAAAAGAAATTAGAAATTAGAAAATATAATTTCAATGGATTATGGTACAATTATGTTCCCTGACTAAAGGTACTGAGCTGTACCCTTTTTTCTGAGAGTGTACAGAGAGCACACTTACATACATACGTACATACGTACATACATATACTGCCTTAAATTACTAAAAGTGTTGTTAATTTGTTAGATGACCAGCCTTAAAATGACCATAATGTGTTAATCTCTTTCGCTTATAAATATTCAGGCAAAATTAGCTTCAGAAGACACCGAAAGGAGCCAAACCAATCCGACTGACCTGAATGAGTCATGGTCAGCGAAGCGACTGTTGTCGTGAGTGTAGCACACCCGATGGGCCGCCACGTCCATCTGGGTGAAGGTGAACAGGGGGACCCCAGGGTGCTGGACCATGTGGAGATGTCCATGTTTAGGTGAAACGGTCACAGTGTAGATGAGCTCGTCTGAACGGCTTCCGCTGTCCGTGGCCATCAGAACGTCCGTGGTCAGCACCACCCTCTCTCCCTCCATTAGGGTCACAGGCTTAGTGATTAGAGCAATGTCACCTGTGGGGGGTGAACAGGTTACTAAAGAAAGACAAAGCAAAGTGTTCTGTAATGAACATGGAATGTAAAAACAATATTGAGAAATAATGGAGAGAAAATCAGATTTAAATAACAAAAGTCTGGGCAAAAATCTAATTTACCCATTTAAAATGAATATATCGCTGTTGTCGGAACAAAACCTCGCATCTCCAAAATAGTAACTTTACAGGAGAAGGAAAAAACATACCTTACTTTTTATGTAAGTCAATGGAACCAGACGTCTTTCCGAGTCATTTTGGGCCATTTCTTTTAGTCCATTCGTTATCAAATTTACACACAATGTCAATGGTAACAGGCATTTTCAAATTATGTGAAAAACTGAAAAACGACAAAAATGGAGATACAAGGTTTTCTTCCGACAACAGCATAGCCGTGTAGTATCAGAAATCTACAGAGCCCTGCTGGTGACATCCCGTATAAATAAAAATAATAGAGCAAGGGAACGAGGTAATTAAGTCATGGCTATGACCTAGTAAGGCGTGGGAACAAGATCCTTAGGCGTGGCCATGACTTAATAAGGCGTGGGAATGAGATAATTAAGTCGTGGCCATGACTTAGTAAGGTGTGGGAACAAGATCATGCATGACTAAGTTGTGGCCACGCATTAGGATCTGATTCCCACGCCTTACTAAGTCGTGGCCATGCATTAGGATCTTGTTCCCATGCCTTACTAGGTCGTAGCCATGACTTAATTATCTATTATTAAGTGGTGCCCACGGATTATTTTTATTTTTAACAGGATGTCACCAGCGGGGCTCTGCAGAAATCAAGCAAATCTACAGTATTTGAGATTGCTTGATGTTGGTCATGACAAATGTGTGACAGTTTAGGCACACAGTTTGCCTGGAGCTGATTGGTGGAGTTTCCATTATTTAGCAAATATTAGTCTTGTAGCTACAGTGCAAGACTAAAGGAGCAAACTCAGGACGTGTCTTTGTTAAGGGAAAACTTGATTTAAGGCCAAACTATCACCTCAAAATACCAGTGAAGTAGAACAAATGATCATCAAACATTGTGAATTCAGACATTAAGATTAACATTATCAAGTTACTTCTCCAAACAGGTCAACTGATATCTTACAGATCAACATCCAGCTAAACCCGAAGCTGTAGTGAAAGTGGGTGTGTGGGTGTTGTGTGTGACGCCACCGAGGCTGAGAGGACAGGTCTGGGAGCTGGGAAGGGGTGCAGCTGTTGGCTCTCCGGCCCGTTAATAATTTACGCTCGCTGGGCGTTTGAAGGTGGCTCTTCCTGAGAGCCGGAACCTTCTCACCTCAGCTCCACCTGGACCCGCCAGCACCAGGGCCAGAAGGGCCTTGCCTGCCACGCTCCCTGCTTATTCAACCAGCAAAGCTATTGTGGCCACAGGAGGGGCCATGCTTTAAATTATAAATACAAACTGATTAAACCTGTCAACAAAGTTGTTTTCCTTATTCTTTGATCGACATGAAAAAAGAAACACAATTGGACTGGAGAGAATAAGTACTCTTCAAAAGACACTGGGCTTCATTCCTCAAGTTTTTACTTAAATTTGTTCTTGAGAAAGGTCCTAAGAAAAAGTCTGTGTCCACACCTTTGTGCTCTTGAGTGTGTGTAGATTCTATTCTTACCTAAGAGCAAATCCCAAATAAGAAAACACTGGTGAATGTCAGAATCTTTGTGAAAAGTGTGTCAGTGGGTTTAAGAAGAAATTACAGTCTCACTTTATTTGGATAGTCCACTATAGTCCACTATAGCTTATCTACAGATGTTCATATTGTTAACAAATTATCTGTTGAAACTCAGTTGATTCCGAACAGTGGTGAGGTTAGGGTTAGGATCTGGACCAGGGTTAGGGCTAGAACCAAGGTTGGGTTTAGATTTTGGGCTGAGGTTAAGTTTAGGGTTAGAATTAGAGCCAGATCTAGAGTTAAAGTAAATTTATGAAAAAAAAGTTACGGTCAATTTAGTAGAAATTTAGTTGAATGAAACTTGAAAGTAAAATAAATATCTACAGAGCATCTAAAGTTGATTATCCAAATAAAGTGTTTCCGAAATTTCTTCTTAAGAACGGTTAGTGAATGATTTGAACATTATAATATACCAGTAAGAGCACAGCCAGTAAGTAGTTATCAGATAATTAAAGGGAAGAAATAACTATAAGAAATACATTTAAGGCAGTAATAACTTTTTGTACCCTTTGGAACTGTGTGGACAGAGATGAAGAAACTCTGAGGAGGTGTCTGGTTGTCAGTATCGGTGAGGAAAAAGTGGAAGCGGTCATGGCCTTTGAACCCACTGAAGGTGGTGTGTTTGTACCACAGGCGGTTCATCTCCACGTCCTCCTGAGTAAAGTTCTGACCTGCATTCAGGTCAGTCCATCCAACGTCTGTCTGTACACAAGCACACACAAGACACACAATGTGTTTTAAGATGTTTTATATATTACAGTAAATGCACACCGCTGTTCAAAAGTTAGGCCATATTAGTCATTTTTATATTTTAAATACAATAATACATTATAAAATATAGATTTAAATATGATAAACTAAACACCAACAGATATGGGTACTTTAGTAAAGTATTTTTGGGAAAACGAGTTTCAAAATGAGAAACAATAATAAAGCTGTAATAATAACTCTATATACTATATATATAGTATTGTTATATATTATATTGTTATAAAATTATATATATATAATTTATATGATTATACCTGCAATCAAAATAACAACATTGATGCCAAAATTCTGAATGATCTCAAACTTTTGAACAGTAGTATTATTACTTGGGTTCTCCTCAACAATTTAATACATTTATATATGTCGTTTAAATAACTATATTAAAACAACAAAACAAGATAAGTTAAATCAATTGAACCAAGAAGCATAACATTTTCTGTCTTACAATAATTTGCTTTGCACACATGCAGGTTGTGCTGGAAAACATTGATTCCAAACTTTTAAACAGTGATTCCAAACTGCTGAATGGTATCATTTATCATTCTGTCTTTCACATGTAGAGGCTAACCTTCAGCTGCAGAAGGCCAAACCTGGGGCTTGCATTGAGAACATAGTAGAGCTGGTCAGTGGGGGTGTCAGTGTCTTCTGCCTCCAGCACTACACTGGAGATAACCCTCCGATCTAGAGCCTCCACCTCCACACCTGCATTCCTGCACACACAGAGCAGAGCCAGAGACACTGAGGGCACAGTGGGCACCAATGCCAAGCCTGCACGCTCAAATGAATCCTAAATAAATAAATACGCAAATGCGGCGGAGCCGGCCGCCTTTAGAGGGAACAAAGGCAAGCGAGACCAGCCTGTCATTGCAATCCGAGAGAACATAAGCAACAAGGAAGTAAGCGACTGCCAAAAAGCCACATTATTTCTGCCTCTTTGGAGTTCATGTGCACCCTGTGCCAACTCAGTGAGTCAAAAAAAACATAGAACAACCCTCCTGATCTTAGGGGAAAAAGATGGGATAAAGCGTCGCGATTTACTGAAGGATGTAACTTCATTCCCAGTCACTCAGTCAGGGAGATGCAGATTCCCCAGCCACATGTGCCTAAAATCCACCCTCTCCCTTCTGTCCCTGTCCACTCTCCTCTGCTGAAAACACCTCCTCCCGCCCCTCCTTCCATCCGCCTTTCTGGCTCGGAATTTGTCCCAGGGCGTCCTTACTTTAGCAGCCGTGGCTTTTCATCATTGACTGGTAGGATGCGGACCCACGCCGTCCCCTGGACAGTGTGCCTGCCATCTGTCAGCTGCATGGTGAAACTGTCCTTAAGGGTTTCCGTGTCATCGTGCATATATATGATCTTCATTCCTGTGGACCATGGCAAGAGGTAAGTAGTCAAGGAATGCTCAAATATGGAAATAAAGCAGTGGCATCATAACACAATGTCTTGATATGGCCTTTCTGAAGGGATGGTTCAGGCAAAAATTAAATGTACACAATTTCCCCCTTAACCAAAAAGCAGTCAATCAGCCAAAGACATGTTTGCTGTCTTAGGTTTGCTTTTCTTTAGTTAGCTAATATAAGCTAATATATATAATAAGTAATGAAAGCTTATACTCCACCAGCGAGCAGTACCTATAACAGCACATGTTAGGGGTGTAATGCTATGCCAATTTCACACTGCAATATGATTTTGATAAAGAATTAGAAAGGAAATGCTAACATAACTTTCCCATTATTTAATTTATTTACTTATTACGTTTTTGGTAATGCTGTTGTTCGTTATTATGACTCATCACGATTAAAATAAACAAAAATCTCAAAATTAAATGAACCGAGCACTACAAGTTCATTTACAATCCGATCTTTTTGTTAATGAATATTTATATATTTATGTTTTTAATAACACACAGACACCCTTAAAATGCAACACTAAAAACAATCAAATTTAAAAGAAATATTAACTTAAATTAAAATACTCTGGCCCTACAAGGCCTTGACAAATGCAACAGCATTTGACCAGTTCTGAATTGTGGCAGCCTTCGCCTAGATAAAGCCAAGATAAAAATAAATGAATATCTGGCATAAACCAACACTTCAAAATAGACTTTTTGGAAGCTGTTAATGCTATTAAAATTCTTTTTTGCTGTGAATTAAGAGTTACATTAGAATCATCACCTACTAAAAGCAAACCTGGACATAAAGGAATATCAGCATTTAGGAGAAACAATCTGATCTTGTGTTTGTATATGAAGTGTGGTACTTACTTGCTGAAATGAATGACAGTAGGGATTTTCTAACATGACTCAGTCACTCCTAGAGAACCACAGAACTCTCTACAACTGAGTAATGGTGCAAAACAGAAGCGCATATGTTTATACACATCTGTATGGAGTAAGTTATTCGTTGTGTCTGTTGAAAAAATTGGCACTCAGTAGCCTTCTGTTTGAATTTTCAGGTGTATGTACAGATGCCAGAACACAACTGCTGTTAAATTCAAGGTGCAACGGAAAATTTGAATGAGAATCTAGGTATTTGATACTTGTGTTGCAGTCTACACACTGTCACTGCTAGATCTAGCACTCTTTGCTGATTATGTACTCTGCTTGGAAACCATGTTCATGAACAGGCGATGAACGTGAGGATGACTTTGATTGTTCCAGCTTAAGCTAAATCTCCGCTCTCCATTTCGAACAGCTTGGCTAATTATCCATCCAAGGTAGGATAACCAAACCAATATGACAATTAAACATCCAGCCACTATGGATGGGGTTTGGCCAGTGAAGAATGTATGGCTAGTCTTTTAGACTTAAAAAAAAAACAATGAAAGTATGGCAAAGTGGTGAGAGTGGCAGTCATGAAGGCTAGAAAACCACAAAATACTAATCATGCAAAACAAATGACCCTTAGGTGTCCTTCATGTACATTAATTTTTGGTGTGTATAATTACAAAACAATGTTTGAGCAATTCTTTTTGACTGACAGTATGTTGTTTGCTAATTCCCAGGTCACCTACGTTTCTGTGGCTTTACATCACTTTCTTACAGGGAGGGCAGCTGCGCGAATCACCGGGTGCACAGTGGCTGTGAGGTAATTGCGCAGGAAAGGACTTTGCAGATGAGGCAGAAGCACCACGGGCGCTCTGTGACCTCTGTCTCCTGCAACATCTGTTCAGCAAGCCTGGGCCCCAGAGATAACAAACCCGTGCCCTCTGGAAGGCACAGCGGTGGCCAGCCTCTTGGTGGGACACGACACTCACCAACTACCCCTTCACATCCATAGCAATACAGAGTGCCAAAAACTCCCACAGACACCTTTAAAAGTAAAGGTGTGAAAAAGCGTTCTTTGAGGTTCCCACATCAGGTTCCTTAACAAGCTATTTAATTAGTGGTTCTTTAATAAAAATGTATTTAAATCCACTCAACTGAAAAGTTCTTTATGGAACCAAAGGTGATTCTTCTATGGCGTCACTCCATAGTGTGCTTTTGGCACCTTTATCTTTAAAAGTGTAGTAGAGAAGTTCAGGGTTCTGGTGAAGAGAAGCTGACCTTGTCGGAGCGCTTGCTTGGTGAAGGACTGCACTGGTGGACTCCTCTGCAGGAGCTCTTGACCCATCTCTTTATACCGGCTCATCTCCAGCCCATAGATCCCGTTGAGCAGCATCCCGTGAGCAGGGGGCACCAGAACAGTGATGGTGAGAATGTCTGAAGGAGCGTCCAGGTCAACCGCATCGAGAATGGCCGGGTTCAGGTCTTTTATTCCTCCCTCCATGACCTTTGGTGAGAGACCTTTGGTTAGTGATGGTCACTAAAAGCCTTTTTTTTCTGGAATATTGTGCAGGAATAGATTTTTTTTCAAAACTTTGGAATCATTTGTTATATTTATATTTTTGTATTAAATAATAATTTAAATAAAACTATACACTGCTTTTAGACATTTATATCATTAGAAACTGATATTATTGACTGTATTAATTATTTGAAAAACAGCAAGAAATGATTATCTATTTAAAATAATTATTTCTCTTTTATAAAATAATTATAAAATAATTATCTCTTTTATAGTTATCCTTCTCAAGATTTGACCACCAATTTTGAAATATGATGCATTTTGGACAGCAGTTTTGGTTCATCATCAAATTTCATAATTCTTAGAGATTCATATTAAATATTTGAAAACTCCGACTAGGATATTCAAATAATTTATTTGCAACCTACGGAGCCCTGCTGGTGACATTCCCCAAAAAATAAATAAAATATAATATAAAAAATAAATAAAAATAATGCGCCATATTAACATGTGGGAATGAGATCCTAATGTGTGGCCATGAGTTAGTAAGGCATAGGAACAAGATAAATAAGTCGTGGCCATGACATAGTAAGGTGGGGAATGTGGTCAAGGCTTAATTTTCACGCATTAGGATCTCATTCCTACGCCTTACTAAGTTGTGACCACAACTTAATTATCTCGTTCCCATGCCTTACTGAATCATGGCCACGCATTGTTTTTGTTTATATGCGATGTCACCATCAATATTACTGAAAACACTGATTCCAAACTTTTGAACGGTGATTCCAAATGTCTGAACAGTACAGTAAAAGGATGACTGACTGTGAAGTTGTGGAGCAGCAGAGATGGGGTCTCATCATTGGTGGGGTTGATAATAACATAGAGGGGTACAGGCCCTGACTTATGGACTCCATCACTGACACTAATGGTGAAGTGGTCTGCTGTGGGCTCCACACCCTGGTGGACCGACTGGACGTAGTTGATGAACCCCGAGGTCAGGTGGAGCTGGCTGAAAGAAACTTCATTCAGACAATTTCACTTAGTGGAAGTCTATAAGAAAGCGTGTTGCTGTCATTAGTTTGAGTTAGGGCCCATGGATGAACACTGACCCACTCGGATTCCAGCGTTGCTCTTCTCAAAGCCAGGTGAGGGCAGGGTGTTCTCCAGAAAGCCATACTGAGGTGGGCTCTCCAGCTGAAAGATTAACTGCTCTGGCTTCGTGTCAGGGTCTGTAGCTGCCAGCACACCTCCACACAGACATACGCTAGAGCCCTCATCCACCACTAACATGTTTCCTAACAGAGGAAGAAACAACATAGGTGTTATTTATTGGTCAGTGTTTTTATGCATCATTGTTCAAAAGTTCAGAACCACTGATCACTGTGCTTAATATTCCGATACCTGCAGAAAATCTGATTTTGTCAGTAATCCAATCAACGCGTTTACATGCACTTGATAACACATGGTTTACATGAGTCAGGTTGTAATCAGATTTCTGCTTTGCAACCAGCCAATAAACTCACAGAAGAAGACGTGACATATATTTAAATCCTTCATTTCATCAATGTATTCGTTTTCAGCGTCAATCCAAAAGTGTTTTGCTGCGTCCCACAGCAACACCGCTTGCTTATTTCCAGTACTGCAGTCTGTTTTCGCACACGTGCAGACTGAGAAATCCAAAAGAAATCAGAGTAAGAGTTTACATGCAATGAGAAATCTGATTACTGAGCTAAAACGCAGCTTTCTTTGTCAGATTTCTTTATTGGATTTCTAGACCTTACTCCAACCTGAGAAATCTGAGTATGCTGTTTACATGACTATTTGAATAATCAGATAACTGCAGAAATCCGATTGTGATTGGATTATTGAGTACATGTAAACACACTCACTGTTACATATGAAACCAATTTTCTTACAAGTACATATATAAAATGATGGTGCTGTGGACATTTCAAATAATTTGTAGGAAGCCATAAAAACTGTATATATTTTAGATGCATCCAGAACAATGAACAGAACCAGTTTTCATAATAATTGAGAAAACTATGTAACGTTGAGAGTGACGTTATAATGAATATCCAGGATGCCTCATATTCAAATAGCAGGCATATTTAAAAAAGTTATTATTGAATAAAATAAGAATTACTAATGTGGAAAGTGATTCCAAACTTTTTAACTGTAGGGCATATTTTACCCAGGTATTTTTAAGCCACACTATTTCCATACTAAAAATTTCAGAGCGTTACTCCTTGGGATGCTTCCGCTCCCTTTATCAATTTCTTTATCTCAACAGCCACGTATCCCATGCTCACTCTCTCTCTCAGACTGCCCGCTGTTCTTTTTTAATTGGCTCTTCTTGCATTCTTCCTCTCTTTCTCTCTTTGTCTTATCTCTCTCTGTCTCTTTATCTTTCTTTTTCTCACTACCTCTCTCGCTCTCTTTCACGCACTCGCTGTCCCGCTATGCCACCCCCCTTGCGCTCCACTCATTTCGGCTCTTGGCCAGCCCGCTGCCACCTGGGTGCTGATAAAGCCATCATGCCCATGCTCACTGGCATCTGCTCCCATTTACTGCACTGATAAATAATGAATGGGGAATGGGCAAGAAGGGGGCTGTGTTTTGGATCAGGCTCTGCAACAAGGGGAGAAATTAATGACCAACAGTCTGGGATAAAGGTGATAAAACCGTCATCCCCGTGTGAGGGAAGAGGGAAAGCCAGATTCCCACTCGTTCCACTTGCTTAATGCTCTTATTCCAGCCATTCTTTATTCTGTGTAAATTAATTAAACAACGAACTCCATTTCGTCATAAACCTGTCCGGGTCTGGTGTTCGGTTGCAGTCCTGGAGAATCCTTCCCCGTTTTCTAGCCAAGGATTTGGAGAATTAGTAGATTGTCACTGGGATGGTACGCGAGAGGTAAATCTTGGCAGGTGGAGAGGCGGAGGGGTAAGCTTAGGCTGTGTCGTCTATTCTGAATGAGGGAAGCTTTATTGTGTTCTCCTCTGCCTCATTGTCCACTTTCTCGCAGGGAAGCCTGCCTGCTGTAGCGTTTTCTTGCTGTGTGCTCCCACCGTAATCTCAGTCAGCTGTACATTACTCCAATGCCCCTGAATACACCAACAGCCAGCATGTTGGGATTGCGTGCAGGCGTCTAGCTGTCACCCAGTCACTTTCCTCCTTCCTCTCTTTGTCTCCCAGTGGTCACTGTTCTCCATTGATAACTGCAGAGTTTCTTGTCAGTCCAGAGAGTTTAGAACAAATCCCTGCCTTGGCTTCAGCTCTTGTGAGTGAATAAATGTAATATAATGTAAATGTTGTGAGACATTGTGTATAGGGGTGTATGGGTGTACAGTGCTTGCCTCCCTGATAATCCCCATGCTCAGTATGGGAGACAATGATTAAGCGATGTTCCCAGCAGGATGCAGCGCATCAACAAAACAACGCTGAAAAATGCCTCGATTTATTGGTTAACTGCTTAATCATAAGACGCCTAGACTTACTATCATTTTCCTATTCTATTTAAAGTAATTCGGTAACCACATAGTTAATTACACAGTTATGTAATGAATTTAATTTATGTTTATTTTACATGCTGAATCTACATGTTGTATTAACAGCCTCTTTCTACTGACAGATTTTTTCTGTTTGTTTTTATATTTTTTCCATTTTTTCTTTCTGGAAAACAAGACTATACACACAAAAATAACTTTCATCCAATTCAAATTCATAAAAGAAATATTTCCTTTTGTACTTACAAGTCATTCAACCTAATTTCTTAGATTGTTTTAATGAGCTACTAATGAGGAATATTTGACATTAAATTAAACCATGCTTTTGATATCGCTGGCAATAACTGTTGACTAACTGTTAACCCTTTAAAATCCCAGGCTTATTACATACTAAGGCGTATCATTTAGTAACTCCAAGGCAAACTGGTTGAGCTGTTCTTAGGTTATAGAAATGTGTAATAAAACTTAGGGCCTCCAGGCAGGACCTAGCCTTTTAAGGGGTTAAATTACGATGCCTGTCATTAATAAGTCCACATATGAAAAAACCTTGGACAATAAAGTATAGATGACTGAACACCTTGTTAAATCTTCACAGCTCTACAGCCACCAAGCAATGAAAATAGTCTACAAACAATACTGCATGACTTCCACCAAAGTGATGGTGGTCCTGGTAGATGTTTACCTATGGTTATGGATGGCGGCTGGTTGTTAATAGGAAGCACAGTGATGTTGAGGTCATAGACAGGAAGTGTCCCATGCAGGGGGACGGGTGGTGGGACAGCATCTTCCTGGCAGCAGCCGTCTGTTGTTCCACCCTCCCCATCTGACACTATGAGAGTGACCGTGTCAGATACGGGGTCTGGGCCGATCTCACCGCCTACACACAGAGAAGCAGCCAATGAGGAAACATATACACAGGTCATTTTAAATAAACATAAATGCACATCATAGCTGGGTTAGGTGAATTGTCTTCACTCACTTCATGCCCACTTATATAAAATTAAAGCAAAGGTTTCTTTGAGTGTATAACAAACCATTTCGTTACTAAAGAACCATTGAAGATCCATCTTTTTAAGTGTGTACATAAGAAAATCTATTTCAGTTCACTTCTGCACTTTGAGGCAAGTGTCTGATGATTTAGGCATGCATTACTAGAAAGATTAGCCTTGAAGCTCCAGTGCAAACTAAATAAGCAAACTTTAGGCACAATGTCTTGGCTAACTAACTGCATTTGGGTTAAACTGGTAAAAGGGAAAAACTCCAGTAAACTTGATTTTTCCCCTCAACTATAGCTTCAGAATACAAATATTTTTGTACAATGTCGTACGAGAAGGTACTTATTTTGTTTCATTTAAAGTACATGTGGTAAGTTCTTGCTTTAAGTGCAGTATCTTACATATATTTACACATGGCAGTAACCACTGCTGCCTCTTACCTGTGTGCAGGTAGAAGATAAGGCCGTTGAGCACATCCAGCTGTGAGAACTTGTCCACGGTGACTCCGTCCCGCTGCAGCACCCCGCGGGCTGGGGTGCGAGCCAGCATGTAGGTGAGACGAGTATCGTCACTGTCCGCGTCTGTGGCGAATAAATACTCGGTAGTGATCTGCACACGACTGCCTTCCTCACAGGACAGTCCAGCCCTCAGGCCTGAGCCCAACTGAGGGGGCTCATCATTCACAGGGAGGATCTATTCATGGGACAATCTAACATTAACAAAAAGTACTGTTTTGGCCTGTCATTTAATAAAAATCCCCCCAAAATATCCTGGTTTACATAATGAAAATAATTCCTTAAGTTTGAGGGTCTGTATTTTATTAAGATTTCACTCACCTGTACTAAGAGTTCACTCTGGGCAGAGTTGATTCCATCTGTGATTGTGAGTCCTACACTGTCCTTCAAAGTCTCAGAGTCATCATGAATATATCTGCCAAAAGAAGGGTCTCAGTGTCATTTTATTATATCACAATAATGTTATTTTTGAGGGGTATGCAGCTCTTAGTCCAACCTTGATGTTTGAGCAGGGAAATCACCAAACTATACTGGACACCGGTCCTGTAGGACCAGAACCAGACACCACTGGCACTGGCAGTTTCTGACTGTTTGATTCTCGTCTTGCTTTACACATACCTGACTCTCAGTGCTTTTAGGTCCTGCAGGTGGAAGCTGTCCCCAACTGCCAAAACCACACCCTGCAGTTCCAGCGTCCCGTGCCTGGGTTGGGTCCGTACTTGCACCCTGAGTTTCTCCTCTGGGCTGTCTGCATCTCGCACCAACAGGTGCTCCTCCATCAGGAAACCACTGCCACCCTCCTCCACCCTCAGCAGGTTAGTGAATATCTGCAGTGGTGAGGATAAAGATGCAAAACATTAGCATGAAGGATTTTCATATGAGAAGATTGTTTTAACTGTATAAGAACAAGATTTTCTTCTGACCGTATAAGCAGAATTTGCACCAAAAGTTTACGCATGTCATTGCTGCCGTAAAAAATACCGATACTCTAATGGTTATTAAATAGTTCATACACGCTTGAACACATGAAGAAAAAACAGAACAGTGACCTGCTGTGAAAGCTCACATGTTGCTGGCTACTGATCTTACTTTGTCTTACTTTGATATAACAGCTCTATTTTACCCTTTTTATTAATTTGTTATACCTGTTTATTCAAGATATTTAATGTGTTTATGACCTAATTCATAACCATTAATAAGCTGATTTTGAAACCATTCATAAACCCTTTATAAGGGTAGTCTTATTCTAAAGTGGTACCAAAATACTCACACGAACAAAACTTTACAGAAGAGAGTAAAGACGTTTTTAACTTAACATCTGTTAATGTAACAATATATTTTTAATATATTGTAATTAAAAAGTAATTAAAAGTAATTTTGGACCATTTATATTAAACCATTCAGCATGAAATGTTCACACAATGGTATAAAAAAGGTATAAAAATGAACAATTATCACAATTATACAATTTTTAAAAAATCATGAGATTTACTTATGACAGAAAAAATTACACTAAACATGAACCAACATGAATATTTGTACAGTAAATTCAGTAGAAAGTAAGGATTTAAATGAAGGTAGCTTCATTACCTCTGGAGCCTGATTATCCACGGGCGTGACTGTAATATTGAACACAAGCCCAGTGAGAGCGCCGCCCTGTTGGTCACTTACAGAGAAGATAAACTGCACGAAGAGTGGCTCGGGACCAATATCCTCTATAGGGGGCATGTAGCCCACTTTGTGGTGGGTCACTGCATGCTAAGAAAAACAGCAAAAGGAAAATTTTTAAATGGTTTCATATTATTGTCAGACCAATCAGCAAATGAACTGAGAATGAGACTTACTGTGTCTCAACTGGAATGAATTTTTATCTCACACCTGAGTGAATGACCTGAGCACTGGAACCATGGCGTCCTTTTTCATGGACTTTGTGCTTTCTGTGTAGAAAAGTCTGCCTGCATCTGGGAGCCTGGAGAAAGAAAGTATATAAAAATACATATTTTGAAGAACACAGCATTGTCCTTTTGAATATCATTCAGAATCAGAAACTACGTATTAAACGTAAATCATGGTTCATCAGTCTGAAAGCGCACTGAAAAAGCCTGATCTTACAATCATTTTGCTTTATAACATTCAACAACGTTATAAAAAACATGAATTATCATAATTAAATAGATGCTTACTATCATGTTGAACATGTCAAAATTAACAAGGCCTAAATGCTCCAAGACATGATCAAAAACAAACCACGGTTAAGATATATTATATGTTTCTTTTCCACTTTAGGTAATAAACAGAGACATAGCACACACCCAGGCTTAGCAGGGCTGAAACAGGGCTGGGTGATGAGGTACATGAGGTCAGTGTCCGGGTGCTCAGGGGCTCGGAAGTGAAGGTGGCTCTGTGTGATGTAAACGACTTCGGTCTCTTTTACTGTGATGGAACGAACTGTGGCAGAGACCTCCACTGGCAGCTGATCCTTCACCGGGAACACATGAATCACCACTGTCTGTGAGTAAAGCAGTGGAGATAATCAAGTTTGAATGCAAACAGCATCTAATTGAAGACCTCATAACATAATCAAACAGTAATCTAATCAAGATCTAATAAGATGAGGCTTCAGAAAGCATTGGATAAAACAAATTTTCATCTACTCCTGTTTGAAGAAGATCTAATTTTAATATCTTATTGTTATTATTACGGTAGTAATAATATATACAATGGAACCATAATGCTAGTAATAATGCTAAAACACTTATGCAATGTAATAATGGTAACTGCAATACAGTAAGCAAATATTTATGCTTATCATAAATGTTAATTGCACTGCATTGTTTACAGCACATACTATATTTAGCATACTCTAATATTTAATACATGATATTACATTTAACTCACGTGTTTGTCAGATAGATTTGGAGGATGATGGATGTCAGAGAGGATGAATTCAAATGAGTCTTCAAACATTTCCTCTCCTGAGTGTCTGTAGTAGATCAGACCCTGAAAGAGGTCCCTCTGCATGAACGTTGTGACTGGAACACCTGCTAAACAACACAGCTGGTCACAAGTCTACATTTACACTGGTCTTACATAAGTCAATCACATCTACAAGAATCTTGGAAATGCTAGTTCTAGCTGCAATGCAACTAGCTTACCATATTTTTATTGCACTATACTAGACACTGTTGATCATTTTTACTTTACTGCATATCTACGTATCATATCTATTGTTTACATTTATTTTGGAGGTGTTTATAATTATTTTTACTGTTTTGAACTTATTTTTTATTGTTATTTTCACTTATTTTGTATTACTATTTATAATCAGAGTTCTTACATTTCTATAATTATGTATATTTCTGACCTTTACTTGCAATACTATTCTTTTGCTGTGTGAATTTCCCTCAGGGATTAATGAGGTGATCAATCGATCTATCTATCTATCTATCTGTCTATCTATCTATCTATCTATCTATCTATCTATCTATCTATCTATCTGTCTATCTGTCTGTCTATCTATCTATCTATCTATCTATCTATCTATCTATCTATCTCTCTATCTATCTGTCTATCTGTCTGTCTGTCTTTGATTTCAAGATGAATGAACATAATAGAAATGGTATGAAATCACAAAAGCTACCATTTCAGAGATACAACATTTGTTTTGATGGAAAAAATGTTCAGTTTAGTTTATTTGACACCAAAAGTGATATTTAATCAAAGCAAAAGTTGCAACACTAACCTGGGTCATGTGGAGAGGTCTTTTTGACCAGCTCACCAGCACGAGGGGAAGTAGTGATCTGGTACTGTATGTAGTCATCACTGGAGTCCAAATCTGATGCCAGGAGCATGTACTCCTCCACTAGCACTGACCCCCCCTCCTGCACCTCAAAGGCCACGTTATTGATGAGGAAGGGAGGAGTGTCGTCTTTGGGGAGGATGTAGATGGGGAACTTGTGACGGATGCTGTGGCGGCCGTCCATGATTCTGAAGACAATGTGGTCCCTAGTGGTATCACTGTCGGAGTGATGATACACCACCACACCCTCACGCAGGTCCTTCACTTTGAACATGAAGCCCTTTCCACCTGGGCAGTAATGAAAAAAATGCAGTTCAGTCATTCAGCATAGCACTACCAGGGGCACTAAAGCATGTCGGAATCTGCACTCTCACTCTCTGAAACTGATTCAGTGCCCACTTGGACATCTGACAGATCATACATTTTAGGTCAAAGGCAGTCTAATAGTGGACATAACTTTTTTGCATCCCCTCCCATTCTCTTCTGCTCATTATCTCATTCATCCTTATTTTCCACTCATGGTTTTATTCACTTTTGGACAAAAATGTGAAAAATCGCAAGTTTCATTTTTCTGCCTAAAGGCACATGGCTTACGCCCATAGCAGAAAAACAAAAAGAAAAATGGCGCCTTTCCCAGGCAATGGCTGCTGCCCATAGAGCGGATGGGCATCTTCTGCTTGCCAGGGAGACAGAAGGGCAAGGTCACCAGACAGATTGAGTGATGACTGGCTGCACAGCAAACCTAATTAGCAACTTTATCAAGGGGGAAACGGCTACAAGTCCAATGGAGAAACAACTTAGTAATTGGGCCCAAAGGTGGCTGTGGGCACCAGGCCCAAAAAAGCCTTGAAAAAATATGTTCTGTGTAGACACCTGACTCGAGAGGACAGAACGTGGAGGCAGAGGCACTGTTCCATTTGGCCGAAGGCGTTGGACCAGCCGAACGGTGACTTTCCCCAGGCTCGGAGTCCCAGAGTTAGAGGTGTGAGTGATTAATTCCCAATGTCCCACCAAGTCCTCTAGAGAGAGCGCGCCGTTGGACCAGCACTCATGCTGAAGCCCAACGAGCAAACAGGTGCTCTCAGATAGACAGAGTAGGTGGGCTGGGGAGTCAAACTTTCAGAGCAGTTTTGTTTTCAGTCACGAGGATGCCATATCAACACATAAACCCAGAAAAAAAATGTAAACAGTAACTAAAAAGGAGGGCTTTGGCCATGAGTGAGAGAAGTTGTTTGAGCAGGCCAGGAAATGGTGCTGACAAGGTGGTCTTCCATCAGGGAATGACACAAGGCACTGGGCCATGAGCCTGGAGAGACTCCAAAGAATGAAAACAACAACCCACCATCGCTTCCTTGGGAAACCACAGGCAGAACACCGTCCCATTGGTTTCCAATAGGATAACACATTTCAGCCTATTTCTTACTGCAGAGCACAGCTTCATTTATGCAAGATGGTCCAAACCTGGTTACTTTTGTGAAGTACTCCAGAACAGGACATATGACTGTCACTTCTCCACAAAGCTTGCTAAGCTAACAGGCCTGACAGCAAAATGACCTTGTGTCGTACATCTGGCTTGTGTGCAGAGTGGCATGAAATGGCATAAGTCTTTACAATCTGCTTCATTCAGGCCTTGTGCAAAACAAGGGCCGTCTTGCCACCCGCTGGACTGGAAGGACAGACGCTGAGATTCTGAAGACATCTTTGTGCAGAAGGCCTCTGGCAAAAAGTCGCCGGTGAATTTTACACCTGATTAGCAAACACATGCAAGCCACCTCACATATGCTGTGCACGCATAATAGATGCAAAGCACATGGAAGGGAACGGGGGAGCACTGCCTTTGATTTATCATGACTAGATGGACGGCAGTCACTGAGACATTCTAATATGGATGATATGGCCTCTTTTATCTCCTGCAACTAAAAGGTACAACAAGGTTTCTGTAATATGAACTGTGGCACAGAGCGAATTTATTACACCTCGAACACTCAGTCGTCCATGCAGCGGACCATCCACAGCGACCAGCGTCACAGCATCTAAATTGTCGTTATCAACAATTTGCAGGTTCTCCCATGTGATGGGTCTGGATTGACCCTCCAGTAGATCCAGTCCTATATAGAAAGAAGCATTATAATTATTAGAATCTGTAATAATGTAAAAATAAGAAAGTTAAAATGACCACTTAAATGAAAAATTTTACTTCAGGTTTGGATACAGTTCACATACCCAGATTCCAGGAGACTCGTGGAGCGTTTGTTTCTGCAGTGCGGATAGAGATGTGAACCATAATAGGAGCACTAGTTGCGAAGAAGCCATCAATAGCCTGAAACTCAACCTGTAAGACAGAGAAAGTGACTGAAACTAATTGTTTCCAAGAACCTTTATGGATGTTTATTAATGTGTAACTATTTTAGTATTTATTTTATTAAAACAAGCTTTTGATATTGTAATTTTTTATAATAAATTAATTGAAAAAAATAGATTGAACATCACAGAAGTATAGTGCATTTGCATTTATATACCTGCTTTGTTATTTCTCCACTGAGCATGATTCACTGTGGAAATATCTGGTTTTAAAACGACTACAGCGGCTATCAACACTATGAATATCAAAACTATCCTTTTTGTTCACCTCATAGTTTCTCCTATTGGTGTGGCTGCTGTTTGGTGGCTGGTATGCGATCTTCATCTCATTCAGGTCTTGCCAGGAGAAGGAGGAGACAGCCTTGGTGTGATCGTCCAAATGCGTGATGTAGCCCTCTGCGGGTGGCTTGGTCACATTAAAAACTAACTGGGCCTGAGGGGTCTCATCATCTTTGGCGTCCAGAGCGGCAGTGGTCATGGGGGTCAGGATGAACTGGTCCACCTCCAGGATGAACATGGACATGAAGGCAGCATGAGGAGGCTGGTTCTGCATGGCACCGTGGATCAAGACAGGTAGCCAAATGCTTTCAGCCTGACCAGCAAGAGGAAGAAAGATGCAGAATTAAAAGCGTTATCAATGAGCAGAAGCATCCAGAAGCACACATTTTGTTTATTTGTTGAAGAATATAAACTGCAAATATTATTCAACCTCTTAAACTGCAGGGTTCTTATTCAGTAGCTACAATAAATAATAACTATTATGTTAGTTATGAGTAGTCTATATGTATGAGCTTGCTAATTATTGTATAAAGCTGCTACTGTGATCTTTTACCTCAAGAAGAGCTCGAGTGGTTTGGTCCCGGAGCTCCACTCTAACGGGGACATAGTCAATCTCTGGGGAAGGAGGGCTGAGGTGCTGATACTTCAGACCTGAGGTAAGAAACTCACTGCAGCTGGTTTTCAGGAAGTGTACCTCTCTAGTATTGTGGACGCAGGCCTTATTTCCAGGGCAGGAGATAGCTGTTTCTCGACCTTGAGAACAAAAAAAAATGACAGCAGTTTCAGCCAAAGTATTTTGATTTGTAAAGCTGAAAGTGATTTTACAGTTGTTATCCTTCCTCAGTTCAATCACTGGATTTTAATTTTTAGCTTACAAAAAGATTCATGTGCTGTAACCTAAGCACCATATGCACGACTGATGCCTAAAACAGATGCTTCTTAACTTACTCAGACTTAATAGAGAGACGTCTATCCATATGTGAATGCAGAGTTGCCAAGACAGGAGGGGGCAATCAACAACAGTACACTGGTTTAATTAAAATACACCCGGAAAAAAGTGACGCCCTGAATTTTCTTGATTCAGATGTGCACGTCATTTCCACATGAATAGGCCTTAAAACATCAACAAAAATATTGCCAACTATGAGTAATCTAGAAGACAAAATTGTAATATATTTATTCATTTATATTCATTCATATTATTCATGTGGAAACAGTGTAGATGACTGAATCAAGTAAACTCAATGTATCAGTTTTTACTGCATATAATCAGAAGCCAGTGACAACACATAAATGAGTGAAAAAGGACATAGGCTTTGTTCTGCACACAGTGTCAATGCTGCACTACCTTTCCTTGGCCCAGTGATAGGCTCAGAGGCCTGGTCTGTCTGAGCTGGATCCTCTGTAACCATCTGACCCAGCATAGGGACACTGATCTCAGAGCTGAGGAGACGAACTGTACAGATCACGCTGGGCAGAGTTCTGAAGGTCAATACATTGCTGTCAATTGCATTGGAGAGGCCATAAAATGTTGGAACCACCAAAGGAATGCTCCCAAACTCAATCAGACTCTTCTGGGGTACCAACACCTGAACCTCCAACAGGAACGTCTCAGTGAATGTCTCTGAATCTGTGAACCTGGAAAAAAGCATGCCATCTGTAAATATGCACCTTTCTAAGCAATAGAAAGCATTAATTCACGCATGAAGATGAATCTAACTTCACGAAAATCCCTAAGCACCTATAGACTCTTAGCATGACCACATCCTCCTCCAGTAATGGGCTGCCATTATGGACATACTTCACCTCATCGGGGAGGAAGTGGCAGTCAAACACCTAAAAAACAAATCAGTGCCATTAGAAATAATAGAAATCATCTCTCACACAAAACACAGCACTGACGCAGGTTTATAGAGCTTTCAATTAAGAAAATAATCCACCCTGTATGTTTCATGAAGCATATCAAATATCAGCAGCCATTTTTGAGCTCATAGTAAAAGCAGATGTACCCAGCCTAACCCTTGAGGATCTGCCTTCCTACAGAGATTAGCTCCAACCCTGCTTCAGGAGACATACTCCTGTGGATATCTAATCTCTAGAGCTGTCAAAATGCATTGATGCTTTGTGATGCATTGATTAGAAGGTGTTGATTCAACAGCATTGATTTTGGAATGTTATAATTGATTATATGCTATTTATTTGACTACATTCAAATTTCTAAATCAATCCAAAATAATCAAACCTTAACTTAATAACCTCATAATAACTCAGATTGTCATTGCTGAGACACACTGAATATGTACCGAAACATAATTGAATTGATTTACATCCCAACTACCTTCCACACGGACTACATGCTCACTTAACCCCTTAAATGGCCAGGCCCCAAAGTTTTACTACGCACTTCTATAACCTAAGAATAGTTCAGCCAGTTTGCACTGAAGTCCCTGTAGTTACTGAATAATAAGCCTTAGTATGTAACAAGCCTCAGATTTCAACCCCTTAACAATCCAGGCTTATTACATACAAATGTTAATTATTCAGTAGTTACAGGGACTTCAATGCTAACTAATGGAGCTATTCTTAGCATATAGAAGTGTGTAATAATACCTTGGGCCCACCAGCGGGTCCACGGCTTATGTTCTCATGTTCCTGAAGTGTTTGATTAGCTGCACTAGTTGCACTAGATTAGGATTACTCCTGGTTGGTGGATCTCCATAAGCAAGTACTGCACTTTTGAGATACATTGCTTTATAAATCTGCCTTGCCTGTTGATCATATGTTAATGAGTGTTACATGGTCTTTACCTGTGGAGTAAGCTTCCCCACCCTTTGAGTCACAGGCTCGTTGAGCACTACCTCCACTTTGCATGCCTCTGAGCTCTCATCAGTATTGAACTGAAGCTCTTCTGTGGTCACCGATACACTCTGGCCTCTGATCACCTGGAGTCCAGATTTCACCCTCAGCACACTCTCTGTCTGGCCCAGGGGTAGGACATGGCTTAAGGTGACCAGCATCCATAAGAAGTCCACCACCTCCATTTGTTCAGTTTGCTTAGCTGGTTTTGTAAACACAAGGAACGATGTTGCAGAGATCCCAGAATGTTCATCAAGGACTCATTTCCATGTGTGTCTCATCAGAACCTAGGAAAAGAATGAGGTTAAAAGAAATCTCCAGCACTTTTCTACCTAGTTTGCCTGCCATGTTTGAAGCATCGGTTTCCACATCGGTTTCCCTGAAAAGAGCAGAAAATTTGTTAACTCAAAGTACACTTTTAACAGAAGCCAAATGCACCTGCCCATTGGCTTCTACTAGAAGCATGTTTTGAGTCATAGGGGTTTCTCTTTTTTTCTTTTTCTCACAAGAAAACTTTTGAAGTGGATTTGCTCTCTGCTTCTTAATGATCCAACGCAGTATGGGATGTGAAGCGTTAACTGAGCCTGTGCAAAATTACTAGGAATAAAATCCCAGGAGAGATCAAAGTAACATGAACAGCAGACGCCCTGTTACTCCAATTTCTGCCAGACACTAGAATGGCAACACAGCCACAGGTGCTACATACCTAGGACAGTGGTGTGTGTAAGGAACTAAGAGTAGTAAGCTTTAAATGAATGGACGCTTTGGCCGTGGCTGTTTCTAGTGAGTCATTCAGGTAAATCAAAAACATGCTTTCGTGCCTTGTGATAATCTTACCTCACAGAGAAAATATTTTGCCCCCAAAAGCCTTTCTGAGATGTTTTGACACTTGGCAGGGGGGCAAACTGATAGTAGAATCGAAAGGCAAACATGAAAAGGATTTCAGAGTTTAAATCCCTCTCCAAAGTGATGATTAGAAAACTATGGGATATCTAGCATATTAGAACAAGGCCCAGCGCCACATGTGCACTCCTGATGGGTAAACAGAAACTTGTAAACTTGAAAACATGTTCAGACAAATCAGGCTGCATTAGAAACACACAGGGCAAACCCTGCTGTTTCCTGAGGACACAATAAAAACGGCTCAAAGATGTAAACCCATAAACTGCTATTTGTCTCATTAGGAAAGGAGGCTGTAAAATTGAGTGAGGATTTGCAGTGGAACCTGTAGTCTGAGTGCGTTATCAGTCAGAAACACAGTAAGGCTAGGCATGGAAAGCATGGAGGTATTGTTACATACCTGCTACAGCTGGGTCTCTTCTTGTGGCCTTCTCTGCAGCGTCTTCGCGGAGAGCTAGCAGTGTAAGAATCTTGTCAGCTCAACCTTCGTGAAAGAGGGCATCCAGCCGTCAGCCTAACAGGACCACCATGGCTCATTACAAAAGAAAGCAAACAAAGAGGGAAAGAAAGAAAGATAAAGAAAACAAAAGAGGGCTGACACGTCTGTTGAAGACTGCCCCACTGCCAGAGTGAAGCAGCACCACGCAGCAGCAGGGGAGAGAGAGAGGGAGAGGGAGAGAGAAAGAGAGGGAGAGAGAGAAGAGAGGAAAAAAGTTAGACCTCCAAACACAGGAAATGTGCAGAGAAGTTCCAAGAGTTTTTACTCCTCTGTTGCTGCACTCACAAACCCAGATGTTCTTATTCCCTAAAGGAGGCAAGCCTCAGACCCCACTGCTCTGAGAGAGAGAGAGAGAAAGAGAGAGACAGAGAGAAAGAGAGAGAGAAACAGGGAAAGGAAAAGAAGTTTGTGGTTTATGTGTGTTCAGGTGCTCTGAGAGACACAGCTCTGAGTGAGTTTTCCATTTTTAAGCAGTTTGAAAAGGCAGACCTGTTAGCTGAGTGTAAGTATGTGTGTACGTACCAGAGACTTTGATGTTTTATGGCATTCAGTGCTTCCTGGAAGGAAACGGGTGCTACATGTGGGGGAAATGGAGAGAAAGGGCTGTAACACAAAGGGCTATGACACACACACACACACACACACACTCTCTTTCTACCCCCAACAGACACACACACACAAAAACACTTTTAGCATAACATCAAACTGATGGTAGACTTTTTGAGTGGAGAAAGCTTGGAGAAGAACTGCAACCAGAGTGCACTAAGGCTACTGTAAAGCATAGAGGTGGAAACAAAGTTTTTGGCTGTTTTTCTTACAGTGAAGTCAGTAAAACCCCAAAAAAACAATGGTCTAAAACTCAACAGCTGTGTTTCGAAATAATACTTTGTCAAAAAGAAAATTAAAGTCTCAGAATGGTCTGTTTAATATTATGGCCACTTGATTTGACATGTTGTTTAACACAATGGACTTTAATGACCCACATCATACATTTTTCTTGCATTTAATTTTTCCTCTGAGCACCATTTATGACATTTGTATAGTTTTATGTACCAAAAAGAGTCATAATTCATTTTTACATGAACATTTTCAAACCCTTATTTTATCCCTCGGATTTAAACAGGCTGTGTTTGTTCCTGCACCTTTAAGAAGAGTAATATATGTAAATCACATGGTGTTTTGAATGTTCTGATTGGTTGCCCTTTTTTGGGCTTTATTTAAAAGCACTCTGTATAACTCCAGTGTGAGTGGATAGGGATAAACTACTGTGCACTGTTTATGAATATATGTAAATGTGTTGGTTTTTGTGACATCACAAAAACAGTGAGTTTATGTGTAAAATGGGCTGTTTCTGCACCTTAGTTTCCATTTATGGACTGTATGAAATTAGGATATTTTGATACTTTAACAGTGATTACATACCAAATGAAACGCAAAGTGAGGAAAATTAATTTTTCTATGACACGGGCCCTTTAATACATTTTAAGTATGGCACAAATGTGTCAATATGTTTTGGGCAGACACAAAATTCTCCACACACACACACACACACACACACACACACACACACAGACTCCAGACTCCGCAACATGCATTCACAGTCTCAACCCCCAACACACACAGGGTCTGTCTCTCACCCTTGGTTGACCTGTGAGACAAAGGCATTTCCCCCCTGCTGTGCGGCCCAGCTCGGCTGAGTGGAGGCTAATGAAGTTCCTGCACTGTCTGCTCCGGCTCTCTCCGTACAGGGCTAAGAGGCGCGCTTCCACACTCAGCTTCCCTCAGAAAACAACAGAGAAATGCAGCAACAAAAAAAAAAAACACACATTTACTACTGTTGTTTCCAATTTACAATGAAAATGTGTCAAGTGGAACCAAAAAGTATTTTTTACTGTCAAGAGCCACTTTCTGCTCCCGAAACAATTAAAAACGTTCAATGGTTGGTTTTTCAAAGATCCATTTTTGCTTGCTGCCACAAATAACTGCTTTTGGTTCAATAAAGAGCTCATAAAAAAGATTCAGATAAGAGCTCCTAGTGATTCTTCAGGGTTCCTTACGGAGCTGAATGATTCCTCCAAGAACCAAAACCACAATGTTCTTCAGATTCAAATGATTTTAATAGCTTTGCAATGAAACCAAACCTAAACCTTAATGTAAAGGATTTGCAGGAGTGACCAGACTAAACAAGGCCGAATTCAAAATAGCTTATTGATTTATAAGCTCAAAAGCAAAAAAGTTGTGTAAGCCATTCAAGTGACATAATAGCTAGCTGCTTCAGTGGCTAACATAATATTAGATACCATTGTAGCTAACCTATAGCTAACTTATTAGCCAGCTAATAGTAATACTGTAGCGTTGGCGCAGAATAAGCCAGTAACGGGATGCTACAATACTTTTAGCATTAGCCTGCAAATTAGCTAGCTAGCTTTTTAACTCAATAGGCTAACTTTAATTTTTCTGCCACAATTGTCTGCACAGTCCTAGCAAATTATCATATATCATGAAGTAAGTTTGTAAATGTTAGCAATAGTCTGTGAAACCTCACTTACGAAGGTTCATCCACCCACGTTTCAGTAAGTGAAGTGAAGCAACGGATGGCGTTTAAACCTGCAGTACTGTTTCCATTTGAACTTTCGATGGAAGCTCCAAATATCAAATAAAATCACTGAAATCGGCATATAAGTTTGTACACGTGATTAAGTGGATAACTTTTTTATTTGGGTTAAAAAAAGATAAATACTGATGGAAATGTATTTACAGAATAAATAATGTAAATACAAATAGAGTCAAATCACATGATAGCTCACTCACTTCCTTATTACACTTATTTGTTTTGAGCCAGTGCATTTGCCAGAGAAAACATAAATAAATCTCTGTCAACTCACTCCATTCGTCTGAAGTTTTTACAGACAAGACACAGAGAGTTTATTCTCTTGTACAGAGCTGATGGAAACTCTGTCTTATTCACATATTTTTGCGACAGCTTAATGAAAACCTGACTAAAGTGAATATATTTCAAATATTGTCAGGTAACATCCCTTTCATGCATGATGTCAGAAACAACAGCAATGCAACAATTGTCTAAAAAAGCTACCAAAAGTTACTCTCAATAAGGCCTTACAAGGGAAAAAAGAATAACATTAGACATGTTTTTAAAATTACATTTTTAAAAAAAAAACACATAAAGTACAGTTTGTACAAAGTAGGGGCAAAAACAGTCACCTCTTTAATGCATGGTGTCCATGCATATGCTTTGATAAAAGTGATATTTGTATGCTTTACTGCAAGTTATACTGACTGACAGATATTCAATGTCCACTTTAATAACCTTCTAACACTTTGATCATGAGAGGTGATTAAGAAAGAAGAACACATTTTGTGTAGTGTTTTGTTTATGCATGTTGGGCCTGTAAAATAGCATTGCTGAAAGAAAACTTATTCAGTCATTTTGGACATTTTCTATTGGCCATTCACCTTGAACTTTTCACACAATGTAAAAAGTGCTGGTGCTGTCAAATAATGTAAACAATAAAATGCTGACAGTTTGCTATCTTGCTAAGAGAAAAAGAGAGATTATTGGATATACAGCTCATTTTAATTTTAATTATGAATATGAAGGGGTTTCATTCTGAGTGAATCATTATACATATCACAATGTCCAGACTTTATACTATAACAGTGCTTAAAGAAACCACAGATTCTTTGCTGTATGAGTTTTAGGGCCTGTCTGGCTCTTCAACAAATTCCTCCCTAATACCACCCTGTGTGTTTTCCACGTCTGGCTTTGGTGTTGGGCAGATCCAACTTTGACCAGAGGTGTTTTTGAGCTTTTGTACATATACCCACAGCCCCCAGAGAGCGCAAGTGATATAGCATATGCTGCAAGGAAAACAAACCTTGTTGACATGGCCTAGTTTGAGCTTTCTGTTTTCTGCTAACGACAACTCCATTTACAGGCCGGCTAATGTTCACTTTCAGTAGATCTGTGCTGGGGTTTCTGGCCCCATTCTTTTCAACTGTTTTGCCCAAAAATTTCCCTTTACCCAACATGTAACTGATCAGCCAAGATATGATTAGTGTACAAAGTTTTTTTCTTTTTAGTTGAGCCCTGGAGTGACGAGGCTAATGAAGCTAACAAGTAATGGATGCTTATAACATAGCACAAACTAAACGCCTACATCATCATACTCTTGATGAAATGTTACTACATGCAAGCTAACACGCTGCGCTCTGAATTGCCTAGCAACATCACCAAAATACCCCACACAAACCAGCAAAATTTGTCAAATGTAGTGCTTGAGTGATTTTAGCAGTAGTAGCCTATATTATCAGTAATACTGAAGTTTAATAGTTGATTTACTTTAATGCAATGTCATTAAGGCTAACAACATTAGCTTGCTTGTAGCATGTACATAGCATTATTTGCGTTATGACTGCTAAACAATGTTATAATTCAGAGGACACTGTGGCGCTCAGGGGAAAAGTGTATGTAGAACAAAAGAACGAACATTTGGAACATTTATGGTTACTACAGGGCGCAATATGCAGTTCACATTTCCAAAAAAGGAAAGCTGCTTAGTTCCTAACATGAGCTACACAATAGTCACGTTTACATGAACCCTAATAGTCCGTTAATAATCTGACTAATAGCTCAATCGGAGAAGAATACGTCCATGTAAACACTTTAATCTGAATAGACTGGCCAACTGAGGTCGTTCAGAATACAATTTCTATCCGATTGAACGAGGTAGGTAATCTTGTAAATAATCCGTTAAATAGAAGAGTAATAGCCATGTAAACGCCTGTATCTGATTACATTCCCAATCGGAACATGTAAGTATGTTCTGCGCATGTGCGTCACGTCATAGTGAAAGTTTATAACGTTCAACATGGCGGAGCAGAAACTGGTCTGCAGAGGAGACAAAGTTTATGCTTTGAACTGAAAAAGATGGTGGGACGGGCGTCCAGCTTATGTGTCTCAGGACACGACGTCTTCCGCTTGCCCTTCTTTAAGTACATATAAAGTATGTTTTCCTGGGTCTGACATAATACTAAAGTAATTCAAAAAACAAGCACCGCTTAATGCTGCTAGTCTCACTCTGACTGGACTCATGTGATACTCGTCATTTTAACGTTTACAGTAAATGTTACTCTATGCATGCGCATTATTTGGCTTGGATTACTTGTAGTGTGCATGTAATCTGAGATTGAGCAGAGTGTGCACATAAACACCTCAGTCTTAATCTATAATCGGAGTGTATTCAATCGGATTGGCAAAAATCTTTGCATGTAAACACAGCCAATCATGGACAACTTCAGAAGTAGCCTTAGTAGCTTCAGAGCAAGCA